CTCGGGACTTTTTGAGTGTCTGATCATCGAGCTGAGTACTTCAATGGCGGCACTCTCCGAAGATCCACCGGACTAGAATTCTAGCGGTGACATGATGTTGGGGCAAGAAAATAATGAGTGGGATCAGTCACGATTCCTCGTCACAATTTCGGCTTCCCGAGGAAGCAGCATTCTCTCGGCATGGAAACCCCCCTCTCAAACATCATCATTCATTTCACAGAAGCCTGGAGCGGCAGGAGGATGCATTTGATTGGATCGGCTGGGCCGCCCCTAGAGGTCTAGAAATTTCCACAGATATTAAAGGGCGTCCCCGTTGAAAGACCTGCAGAGACGCTGGCTCGTCGTGGCTTAGTGGTGGACGCTACTGTGATAGTCATCAACCAGAAAATCGCGCATCGCCCCGCATATCCTCCACTCAGAGGTCCATCTGGGGGAGAACAGGGCGTAAGTAACAAGCTCTAGTCCAATAGAAGACACTCTACCCCATCCCTAGGGTTCCCTCTTTCGTCGTCATCCTGGCCAAGGGACGATAAACAGGGGGATCTCGTCGAATGCTTCGCTTAGATGCCGAAGGTTTCCGCCTCATGGCTTTCTTGCATGATTCTGGAAGGAAAGATGTCTTAGATCCTCGTGTTATTGGTTCGAAACTCAAACGGACGGACCCCAGACCCCTGATAGACTTCTCTCAATCTTTTCAAGCACGGGCATAAGAACGTGGGGCAACATGAAGGTCAGACATAAATCTGACCAGAACCAGATTGAGGCCATAGAAGTGCTAGACTAAGGGTGGATGTAATGGATGTAATAGCAGAGGTAATTAGTACTGTATCAGGGCCTCGTCGTGCATGGGCCTTGCGGGGTTGAACTGCTAAGCAGGCCCCGCGCTTTTTCCCCAGAATAAGTCTTAAACTTCATGATTTCATGATTCCGTGATTCTACCATCTCAGCCCAGCTGTGAGCCCACCAGTGGAATTTTATCATCCACACCTACTACTCTGTCCCTCTGTTTTGGTTATCATGCACTACAACCATCTTTAACTCTGATCCTTGACGCTCTCTTCCATAGTCTGCGCCAAATCATGGACCTCGCCCAACCATCCAAACCATCCTCAAAACAAGCATGTGATAATTGTCGCAGGCGCAAGATCAAATGTTCGCGCGAGCTGCCTTGCGATAAATGTCAACGCCTGTTACTATCTTGCTCTTACAGCGATGTTTTGCGCCGAAAAGGCCCCAAATTCCGAACGCTGTACCCTCTCGCCCCTGTTCATCCCCTTTCGGCCCGAAGTGACACCCCCCGAGATCAATTCTATGCCGACCAGGACAGTTTTCCCGACCCTTCTGTCTTTAGACTGAGTTCGCCCGCTTCACCCGCATTTGCAATTTCCGATGCGCATTATGCCTCCTCTCAGGATGCCTCCGATACACTTTCCCAGCTCCCGCCTCCGGAGCTGGCCTCCTCTCCGGACTCTACGGATTCAACAGCAGAATGGGCGAATAACCAGGCACTCCCACATTCGCCTCGCCTGACGCCGCAAATTCTTTTGGCACATGTGAATGTTTATTTGAAGTACTTATTCCCGATTATGCCGGTCGTTCGGGGAGACGAGTTGCGTCGCGACAGTCACCAGCCAGAGCTCCTCTCTCCGCACCGATACGCTTTCCTGGCATCGCTGTGTGCGGCAACCCATATTCAATTGAAACTTGATGGAGCCACACCGGTCCCAGATCCCGTTCGCTTGCAAAGTTTAGGCGATGGCCATTCCCTCGTCTCCGGGGAGAAACTATTGGCGGAGGCCGTGCGGGCGCGACGCGAATGTGACATCGTGGAAGAGATCAGTATTGAGAGCCTTCTCACCTCTTTCTTTCTTTTCGCCTCTTACGGGAATCTCGACAAGCAAAGCCAAGCCTGGTTTTATCTATGCCAGGCTACTTCAATGGTGTTTACATTGGGCTTGAATCGCGAGTCCAGATACGCAGAGTACCCACCAGAAGAGGCCGAGGAAAGGCGGCGAATCTTCTGGCTTCTCTTCATAACGGAAAGGTTTGTTTTCAATTCGACCCCTGAAAGAGTCATATGCTAATTGAAATAGGGGCTATGCGCTTCAGCAGTCTAAGCCCGTCATGCTTCGCAGTTCGATTCACAAGCCGCAAGTTCTTTGTTCGGAAGATCCAATTCTAGCATACGGTTTCATCAACTTGATCAATATTTTTGAGAAGCTCACGTCCAATCTCTACGACTGGCTGGCTGCCGGAGGGGGTGATGGGCTTGTCGAGAGACCACCAACGTCCGTTATCCAGTCCAGTCTTTGCAAGCCCATATCACTGGAAGGTGTTCTCGAGATTCAACAAGTGGATATCTTGATTACACAACAATGGCTACAATCTATGATGTGGAAGCTATCCATGAGCCATGCAACTCAGCCAGGCTCGCGTGATGACTCGGTATTGCCCTTTCACCTCCCGGTTTTGGTCGGAAAAGCCGTGATGAGTGTTATTGGATCTGCATCTCAAGGTGCAGTAGATGCGCATGGGATCGGAATGGTAAGGACTCTACCGTGTCTCCAACTCGAAAGATTTCTCGTATGAAAACTAATTGAATTATTGCAGGAGCAAAAACTCTTCGACATGGGTTCCTCAGTCGCCGACGTTACCCGATCCCTAGGCTCGAAGGCTGTCGATCGGCTTGCCGAATCGACGATCGATCCCCGGGAGCTACTTTGGGGTATACTTCACACGCTGTCGCAGATTCGTGGCTCGCCATCTTATTTGTTTCCGGACTTGTTAGACCGCTGCAAGACGGTGTTAGGTTTGGATTGCACGATCACTACTGGCAATTTTCTTCCTACCCTTGGCGCTGCCACTCCTGATCAGCTAAGTGCATGGGCAGTTGAACATGGATGGGATTCATTCGCAAACAGGGAAATACAGGCTGAAGCCGATTGTAAACGAATCGAGGCTATTACTGATATGTCTGGAATGCACCAAGGAGCTGGAATTGATTACCAAGATTGTCTGCTTTCCTAGGATAGGTTTGACTCTTGTTTATATGTGGATTTTATGACTTTTATGATACCATTTGGAGTTAACTAGAATAGAACTGATCATTCATACTTTCATTATCGATCGACTATCTACTAGGTACTAACTATCCTCGGGTATCTCTACTACTAGCAGGTAGATACCAAGAACGAAAAGAAAACTTAGCTTTAAATCCGGAAAATAAAATTCACCTGGAATGGGATTCTCCGGGACTGATTAACAGACAGATGTAGGTAGAGGATAGGTAGTAAATACAAAGGTAGCCACGGCCCAACCTATCTTGGTATCGGCCCGCAAATTTTCCGAGTCGCGATATGTGGATAGCTTCAACAACCTACCTTCTCCCCCGGATCTCTAGACGAGCAATGAAACTAATGCAGTGGTACTAGGTAGGTGTGCTACTAGACTGAACACTATTGTTAATAAAGGTACGGGCGCGCTAACTATTAACTAGTCCTTTTATCGGTATCTATCGACTCAATTCCGCAGACCATCCGAACCGTCCAAACTTCGCCCAATTACCCAACACCCATTGCCACCACCTCCGCTGGTCCGTCCGACTCAGTTAGCTCTGGCTGGGCATAATGACAAGCCTCCAAACTCGATCGCTCGTGCTCCGCGCACTCCGCGCAGCTCCAACCAGCTCCGGGTCCTCATATCGTCACACCTCTCCTCTTCCCTCTCTTAAAACCCGAAGATTTCCCAGCAACCGATCGCATTCTACATCATCCGTCTCTGCCGATGAGGTCTCGCATTTCTCCAAACTCGCCAGTTCCTGGTGGGACCCCATGGGACCATCACGAATCCTCCACCTAATGAACCCGCTCCGTCACGAATTCATTGCGTCGTGTCTGGCAGACAGCGCGCCAGCTGGCTCCCCAGTTCCCCAATCCTCCAACTCCGCGACCGCCGCAAACCTTGATTACCTCGACATTGGCTGCGGTGGGGGAATTTTTGCCGAATCACTGGCGCGCACCATCCCGCTCGATCGCGCTGCCTCAGCCCCAACGCCCACGCGTGCCGCTTCCATGACGGCAATTGACCCAACCACAACACTTATCCAGATCGCGCGGGACCACGGACGCATGGATCCCACTGTGGAGGCACACATGCGGAGCGGTCGCTTCCAATACCTGAACACCACACTAGAAGACGTTCTCGCCGGTTCCACGCCTGCTTCCGCCCCCGCATCTGCACCTGCATCTGCATCTGCATCCTCATCTTCACCAACCGGCCACCAGCAATTCGACATGGTCACCCTCTTTGAAGTAATTGAACACATCGACCCAACCACCACAACACCCCAGGCTTTCCTTGCGAACTGCCTACGAGCCCTTAAGCCCGGTGGCTGGCTCATTGGATCGACCATCTCCCGCACATTCCCATCTTGGATCTTAAACCAAGTCATTGCCGAAGCACCCTGGCCCATTGGCGTCGTACCACGTGGCACGCACGAGTGGAGCAAGTTTGTCAACCCTGATGAATTGCACTCGTGGGCGCAGGAGGGTCTCATGCGTGCCGCTGATACCAACGTGACCCGCGCGGGTCCGGCTGCGCTGGATGGTATGCGCTGGAAGTGTGTTGGTACAATCTATGTGCCTGGACTAGGCTGGAAGATTGTGCCTGGGTCCGAGGATTGGGGAAATTATTTCTGGGCTGTGAAGAAGGGGATTTGAGGGCGTAAGATAGATATCCTTGTAAGATATATGCATTGTCTGTACAATAAATTTACTAGAGCAAGATTTTTTTTAATAAATATACCTACTACCAGCAGTATGGCGTATTCAACTCAACATAGTACTATTTCGCCTTCAAGTTGAAAGGTTCCCAATCCCTGCCATATCTCTCGCTGTAAGCGATATGGGTTGCGACGGAGGCGACTATCGCGATGCTGGCGGATAATCATCCTGTCAGTGATCGCCCAGCTTCCAAGGTTGACAAGCTTGGCTGGTCGTTGTTCATCCAGCTATCTGGCTCCCAGGTGACCCATATTTTTGTTCATAAACTTTGCCCAGTTTGATATCCGTTTGTTCTCGAAGTACCTCGTAGATGAACTGCATTTGCATCTCGTTGTAAACCATCATCATGCGTTGCTCGCGCATCAAGTTGACCGTTTCAAAGATAGGGTCAGTTTCAGGATCGGCTACTTGCAGCAATTGGCCCGATTCAAGCTCTTGGAGAAGATAATCAAGGGCGATGAAAGTTCCTGTGCGGCCGACGCCTGCACTGCAGTGGACCACACGCGGATTGTCAGGCCCCGATTTGGAAGCTGATAATTTTATCAATTCAAGGAGCGCCTCGCGATCGTTGCCTTCTGGCTTGGAATAATCTGCCCAGCCCGCAAAGAGAAAATGCCACACGATCTTCGACTCTGAGCCGATTGTCAGCTGGAGCTTGCGAATCTCCGAGCGTGACTTGGCATCAAATGTTGACTCTAACAAGGTGACCTTGCCCATGTTCTTGAAAGTTCTCATTCTCACCGGGCTGCTTTGATTGGTCACCATCGGTTCCAACTCCGATTTCTGACTCGGAACATAAAGCTCAATAGTCGAAGGCATTTCTACCTTCATCTTAGCAGCAACTATTTCGGCGGACTCCCGAGGAGCCTTCTCGGTGAAAATCTGTTGAGCAACGGGTCGACTAACAATGGCGGGTTCTTCAGCCTCTGCTGTCTTAACCTTCCTCTCGGTTACGGTGGTTTCAATCCTCTTTTTAGATTCCTCGGATACAGTTTCTTCAGCATGAGATTCCTCAACAACAGCAGGCTCAATCATTGTTTCAGGTTGCTGCTCTAAATCGGCGTCTTCAGCGGACTCCTCAGTCAGGGTCATAGAAACCTGCTCATCGTCCAAAGGGAAGTACTGTGCACATTTTTCCCGACCTGCCTCGAAAGTCTGTGTCAACATGACAATAACAGCCACATCTTTACTTTCATGGAAGACCATATGCCAAAAGTGCGAGATATAACCAAGCTTAGGCCCCTGTCGATTTAGAAAGTTTGTTCAAGTTAGCATCATGATTGTGAGAAATGGAAGGAGAAACGCTGATGCACTACCACCTACCTAGGTAGGTAGTTCAACAAGGGCATCAAGGATGATGAATTTGCCAACTCACCTGCGTCGCGATATATTTCCTCTTTTCTTGTGTGGCCGAGTCCTTCAATGTGATCGGTGAGGCGTTGATGAAATCACACTCACCCTCGGGCACCCGCAGATGAATGCGGGAGTTGGCCCATGCCTGTACATTGACATATCGATTGCGGGCCTTGACTTTTGGATCACTTTCTAGGTAGTAGGGATGGGCAGGATCGTTGGACAACATGCCATCAGTAAGTCGTACCCGCTGCATCCATTCGAGGTCTTCAAACTTGTCGTGAATCTCTACAAATATACCAAAGCAGTCAGTCAACTGGCCATCCAGATGTGCGAGGCACCTGGACACTCTCCTCCAGGGCTGCCTCTTTCCCTCCTTCTGTCCTCTACTCCGATCAAGCCACACACTCTCCACTCCTTCACTTACCTGCGACTGACTGACACAGAAACGGCGGGACATGATGATCGTCCGTATTCTCGGGATCTAACCTGGGGCTTCCCTGCTTGCCACGAATCCCAATAGCCTTTCGACGACTTTCATTAAGTGCAGCTTGTAGTACATCCGCACCGCTGTCTGGCTCGGACATCGTAGCCCATCTCACCGAATCCTTGGAGGTCTCACGTCTACGGAAACAAGATGTTAGTGAAAGTGCAGTGCGGTATACAGCACTAGAGGTCATACATGATCGAATTGTTGGTATTCCTAGAGAACAATTAGTATCATAACATAATACCGGCTAGATTACATACCCAGCGACGTCTTTTGTGATCTCCTTCGCTTGAATTTCAAATTTAGCGATGAAGTGGTGAAGTGTCAAATCCCTCGAGGGATCCTCCTGTGGTTTTTGAACTTTCTGCCACAACGCATCAACCAGCTCGACATCTGCATCTGGGATTACCTCGTCTGATAGAAATGTGGGGCCTTCATGGTCATCGCTATCTCTGAACTCTGAGTGCAGTCGTTCCTGAACAGATCCTGCACTGGCCGGGCGTGAACTTGGATTTCTTTTTGATTCGGACCATGCTGATTGCGACTGGTCACCATCTATATGGCCTGCAAGAGAGATCTGTGCCAGCGCAATAAGGTGGTATGCGATATGATTTATCATATCACTCGGCCCCAGCTCTACATTCTGCACTGTAGGACAGAATGGACATTCCTTAATCATAATATCCTCGGGTAGCTGTTGATAGCATGCGGCCGCGATGTCGTCGATATCGTCGTCTTCGAACTGGTCTTCATGAAACTGATGCAAATGGTCTATGAATCCAGATTCCGATTGAAAGAAAAAGGACGTATCATGTGTTTTATCAACACAGGTCCAACCACTAGAAGGGTGTTGGTTTCTCATGTGATTCAACCACTCCTTACTTGACTCAAAGAGAGAGTTTGGGGTGGGACAAGATTCCAAGACACAAATATACGGCATAAGGTCCTCAATAATGTGGCGCCTTTCTCAACGATTAGCCAAAGATATCTTCCTGTGTACTAAGACAGCAGCTACTCACTTCCATCTTGTTCCGCTCAGCTCTTCTTTTGAACAAACCAGAAAGCAGTACGGACACTCCGACTCTTTGATGTTGCCGAATACCTTTGGTGGCGGAGGAACATCCGCGTCGCTATAATCAACGCCATGGTTTGGCCTCTCATTGGCGGAATTGCCAGAGTAGGCCTTTTTCATTCGATCAGGTTGAGCTGTTGTCGCTGTCTTAATAGACTGGCGAGCCCTTTGCATACGCGGTGATTGCTTTGTCGCTTTTCGTGGTGTCTTCGACGTGAGAGAACCAGTGATGCTGGCTGTGGACCTGAGTGCCGACCTTGGAGTTGCTTGATGGCCCTGGTCGGTCTTTGTTGCAATTGGGCCGTTTTCGGCTTTTCTGGTCTTTTGGTAGGAAAAGTATTGCTGGCGCAAGCAGATGGTATCAATAATGCGTTGCCGTAGACCCTCACTCGCCTTGGATTCCTTCATGCGAAAATCTATGAGCATTTTTGCACCATTGCAAAATGCTTCTGTTAGATTTACGCCATCTTCATCAAACTCAACATGGTTTCCGACTTTCATGTATCTGCGGAGAATTCCTGAGCGGCGAATGGCTCGAGACAAGCGGAAAAGACCATCCAGCGTCTTGCTAACAGCATGGAAGAAATTCTCGTCTTGCATTCCCTTGGGTATTGTGACACTGTATGAAAGAGTGGACTGCGCTTAGTTGTGTTAATATCAATGGACATTGATTCAGAAAGAAGCTCTAGGCATATGGCATACTAATCAGGTCCGATTTCAAGTCATCTAGCAACTCGACCATCGTTGATTGTTGCAACGGGGCATTCCGCAATCTCCAGTCCATCGAAGCTCGGCTTGGAGCCAGTATGAAGTTACTCGTCACCCACAGATTAAATCGGAAAATTTGGTTTTCCATATCCTGCATGAGCGGCTCATCCTCGGCCAGTGTACTCGCATATCTGTCGAAGAGCTGTGCGCATTCAGCAGCTCTAGATGCGATAGCCATTGTGGTTGAGGGATTGAATATCAGATGTTCACCATGCCTAGTGATATCCTTTGCCAGAATCAGTTCAAGTCGAGAATGAGAACCTAAATCTGATGCGGGGCCATCCGTCGACATGTGTGAGTTGGCAAGTAGTAAACTAGCTAGTTATAACCTGCTAGTACTCTAGAGCGCTAAACCCGAAGGGGAAGCGAGAATCCTAATAAAATGAGGGGTTTGCAGCTAACAAACACCAGGCAGATTGAGGCTGACAAATTAAAAGTGAGAAGTGAGGCACCTGTTGCACATCAGGATAGCTCACCAACAACAACACACAATACTACCTAGGTATTCAGCGACATTTTATTCCTGATGGTAGTACCTACCTAGATACTAGGTATATCTCACACGATGACCGTTCGTCCAGCGGAAACCGACCTGGTTTTTCTAGTGTCAGATGTTATTACAGCGTTAGGAGGGCCCTTCAGGCAGTCCCCACGACTGTACCGTGATCTGAAGATATCACTCGCCATAATGGCCTTGGAGATCCACAACACAGATATTCTCGTGGCCCTGTCCGAAGGATCTACATTACGGCGTTCATTTGAAAATATGGCAAAGGCTTTCGATAAGGCCTTACGCGGCGACTTCGTGAGCGCAAAGTATCTGCAGCTAAAGGCAGAAGAAGAAAAGCAACCTCCTCGGGCCTCCAAGTGGTGGCCCCGATTGTTGCCTGGTTGGACCGATGCCCCTAAAGAAGAAGTGAAAATTTGGACGCAAACCCCTTACTCATGTCTTGGGATGGTGCGTGAGCTTCTTCAGAGCTCTTTGCAACGAGAGCTAAGGATAGCAGAGCTCCTGAGTGATGACCATCGGGTAATTCAAGACCTGACCAGCTTGACGAATATTCTGGTAGAACAACTTGATAGTGGTCAATCTCTTGAGGACGAGGAAGACCTGACTGAAAAAGCACACCCGACCCCGTTGATCAGCGAGGCGGCGATTTGTGGTGAGACCAGCATTCGCCATCTATCGCAAACTCTGTACCACACTCTGCATGAAAACTGGCCCTGCCAATCGGAAGGGCATGAGCATAGCGGAAAGCTAGGCCATTGTGTGGAAGCAAAGCTCTGCCTTGACCCCCGATGGAGCTCGCGAGATCCAGATCCGTCGCGCGATAGCTTTTTCATCCTGTTAGCGGGATCAGATATCATTCAAGAGTGCCGAATTCGTTGGGGTCCTATTAAGTTAGATATTCCTTGTCTTATCAGAAAAGCCAGTAGCTGACATATGCAGTGTTTCAAATGAAAGGAACACACTTGCATGCCTTGTTGACCACGAAGATTCGAAAGACATCTGCTTACAACTGACGAAGGATGGCAATAACAAACTATGGGGTCTTGAGCTAGGGCAGCCACTTGAAGTCCTACAGCTGGAGGAAGAGTGCGCTGGGAGAAGCCTTGAAAGCCTTCGAAACTTGCTGGAGGTTGTGAAACCCACATATGCAGCAAAACGAGTTCTGGGGCTGATTTTAGCACGGTCTCTTCTACACCTTCTAGAAGGACCGTGGATCAACTGGTCTCTATCAATCGATGATATCTCTCTCTTTTGCAAGGTGCAGAATGGCCATCCATACCCATTATTCGACAGAATATTCCTCTCGACGATTTTCAAAGGAATTGATAGCCAATGCGGTTCTCAGGCTAGCCGACGGCCTCCTTACAGTGTTCACCCATTTCCGACGATCCTTGCCCTTGGGATCGCGCTGGCCGAAATCGAGCTAGGAGATGAGCTTTCTGATATCTATAATCAGCCATCTTTCACTGGGCTGAGAAACAAGCCTTCTAGGCTTGCGAAAAAGCTGTGGGAGGAATGTGAGCGTCGGTTCCATTTGGAGACTGGTTTAATGCGGGCCGTCAGGTTTTGTACAGATCAGACTTCGTTTCTTCGCTTTGCCGATAAGGGCAGAGAAACTGTGTTCGCAGATTCGGGATTTGTGGATGCATATTACATGAAAGCTATCAGGCCTTTGGAAGAGGATCTCGTTAATGGGGCGAAGTGGACATGGGATGAAGTAAATTGGCTCCAGCGTCGCGACCTCAGCGATCAGGGGATTTGCAAAATCATTACCAAGTTGAAAAACGACCTCAACTTTGATGAGAGCAGTCATCCAATGATAAAAACGCAATCAAAGGGGACCAAACCATTAGGACCCGTGGCATCCTTGCTATCGATTCCAGAAGCCAACGATTCCACGGATGATAGCCAACAGAATCTCCCAATCAGCGAAACTCTGCATACCCATGACAAGAAATATCATTATCAAGCACCCGACACGCAACATCCCGCGAGACCGAGGACCAGAGATGACTTTGACGTAGCAATTATTTGTGCACTACCTCTAGAAGCCGATGCAGTTCTTTCAACTTTCGATAATCACTGGGATGAAAAACTGTACGGCAAGGCAGCAAATGATCCCAACTTTTATTCAGTTGGCGTTATAAAAGGTCGAAATGTTGTTCTAGTTCACCCTCCACGCGCTGGCAAAGCCCCTGCCGCCAATGTCGCTACTGCGTGTGCCATGAGCTTTACCAAGGTGACTTTAGCCCTTGTTGTTGGGGTATGCGGAGGCATTCCGTTCAAAAACAACAGTGAAGAGATCTTACTTGGGGATGTGGTGATTAGCAAAGGGGTTGTACAATACGATCATGGACGACAGTACTCAGATGGATTCAAACGGAAGATTGATATGGAAGCGTCATTAGGTAGACCGAACCCACAAATTGGCTCGGTTTTGGCGGCGCTGGAAACTCAGTTTCACCGAGAGAACTTCCAGCATAAGGTGAGAACCTTCCTCGATGACTTGGACGAAGATGTGACATCGTATCCTGGGCATGTGGAAGATAGGCTATTCCCATCGTGGTACCGTCATAAACACCACAATACCCAGGTCTGTCGTGAGTGTGCAGACTGCCGAAAAAGTGACGACCCCGTCTGCGACGGTGCTCCAGAATTAAGCTGCCGAGTGACTGGTTGCGAGGATGTACAGCTCGTACAACGGTGTAGACAGAATCAGAGGCATCAACCGATCGTTCACGTTGGTCTCATGGCATCTGGAGATAGTGTTCTCAAGTCCGCTATACATCGTGACCAGATTGCAGTGAACGAGAATGTTGTCGGGTTTGAGATGGAAGGAGCAGGTGCTTGGGATGCCTTACCCTGTGTTGTCATTAAGGGGGTCTGTGACTATGCTGATAGCCACAAGAATAAACTGTGGCAGAAATATGCAGCAATTACTGCGGCTTCTTGTGCTAGGGCATTTATCCAGTACTGGTAGTGCGCCAGTATTGATGAGCACCTAAGCAAATATTGGAAATTAAATCAGTTCCCTTCCCAGGGTCCGGTACTACCAGAACGACACCGATCAGAAAGGATATTGATAGAGACACAACGCGCTATAACCCGACGCTTTCTCGTTGAGTTTCATTGAAATCATAAATCATAATCATACAACTCTCGAGCCTTCATGCACCAGAAAGATCCAGTATGCAACGACCGATGCAGAGAAAAGCAAAACACCTCCGGTATTAGACAACAAGGGACAATACACTGATCCAATCCAATCAACACCTGGGCAGTCATTCACTTCCTGCCCTTCCCTTTGTTCCTCTTCTTCTTCACCTCAGGCTCAGGAACACTAACAGTTCCCTGAACAATATCCTCCCCCTGACCTTGCAACTGCTGCGAACTGCTAATAAAGAAAGTCAGATCACGATTCTGTTCCTCCAAATCCGCCTTTTCAGCCTTCAGTGTCGTATTCTCTCCAGAAAGAAGATCCAATCGTTCTAAAAGAGACTGATTCATAGTCTTTTCCTCGCGGTAATCCTTCTCCATCCGCCGGGCAAGTGCCTCGAACTTATCCGCCCGCTTCTCAAGACGTGTTCGATCACGCTCGAGACCCGGTATCGCCTCAGCGGAGAGAGCATCATATTTAGACTGAAGATCTTCCAACGCCATCATAGTCTTGGAAGAAGCCGCCTCGGCAGCAGCAGCAGCCGCACTAGCCTGCGACGCCTTATCCGCCGCCCGTTCAACAATCTCTTCGAAATATGCGCGCTGACTCTCCAGCTGGCTCGTGAGGAGGTGGGTGTATTCCACGCTCATGTTCTCAAGTTTCTCGCGTGGGACGGCGTCCTCCCAGTCTGGTGGATCCAGCGCGGAGTGGTCTGCGGCTGGGAGCTCGAGGAGTTTGCCCCCAGGTTTGCTTTGGATGATGCGGTGTACGTATGCGTCGCCTTCGTAGTCCCAGACACGTTGGGAGGTGAGATCCATGGCGAAGGCGTGGGAGGTTTGTTTCCAGTGGTCGAAGGCGTGGGCGCCGTCGTATCGGCCGCAGCCGACGCTGCCGCAGATCAGACATGCCCAAAGGTTAAGGTCGGATTGGCAGACGCTGCATTCGGCGGGGTCTTCGTCTTCGCAGGGGAGTTGGCTGGTTTTGCGGAATTCGTCTTGCGTGTAGCGGCAGACGGGGCAGCCGCTGCCTTTCCACTTTTGAAGACATGTGCAGTGGAAAACGTGTTGGCAGATAATTGTTAGGAGACCGGTTGTTTCGTCCATCCGCTCGAGGCAAACGGGACATGTTGGGAGCTCGATCAGAGCTGGTGTTGGAGGGGCGAGGGGTTTCGAGGATAAGGTTGCTTGGCTAGTTGATGGGACGACGCCGTGCCGGGGTGTGCCTTGACTGTTTGAGGGTGGAATTACGCCAGAGTCGGATGAGAAACCAGAAAGAGATCCCGGCTCGGCTACCTGGATTTCAACTGACTTGACAAAGACGACATGGCAGGTCTCAGGCTAGAGGCAGTTAGCAAACCAATATCCCCTAACCAAAGAAGAAAGAAAGAAAGAAAGAAAGAGGAGAGCCGTACCTCCATGCTATTGAAGACTTTCCCATTCCACTCCTTCTGCCATTCTCTTGCCTTCCTCCCACTCCGAAACTTCATCAAAACCATGTACCGATTCGCACGCGAGGTCCGAATCATTCGAAAATGGCAAACATCATCAAGAGTCTTCTCGCCCACAAAGCCCAAAAAATCAGAGCCAGATAGATAAGCCGGCACAGCCAAAATGCACAGCGTCGTGCAATCTTCCTCGGGGCCCTGTGCCGACGACGACGCCATCGCAGGAAACGGATACCCCGGTGGATCAGTGCTCTTCGCTCCAGACCGCGACCTGCCATGTCCATATCTAGTTCCATGCTTGCTACTCGCGCCAGGACCACTGCCAGCAGCGATGGCATCATAGCCCCCGGAGTCAGGCCCATGTCGCGCAACAGCAGCGGAGGACCCTTTCAAGTAGGTCGGGTAATCGTCATCATCAGCGAGGAAAGACGACTCCCGCACATCGCGATACAAATGAACAATTCCCCAGATACTCTCGCCGACCTTCTGATCCAAGGGGATATAGCGACCCTTAGTGCGTAGTCCACCCAGGATCTCGGTGCCGATGCCCGCCGCCACGAGGTTATCTTCTTCCTGCGCGGCGCTGCGGGCGCGGGCGCGCTTTGGCGGACAGTCGGGGGTAACCATATCAATGCACTCGATGGCGATAGTGTCGAAGCGGATGTCGGTCGACTTATTGGAGGATGACAGAGAGGTAGATGGGGCGTGGGGTGAGGAGGGGCTCTTGCTTGGTGTACTTGTAGCTGTCTTTGTGCTGGCGGTTGGACGCCCGCTATCACTTGATGAGTCAGGGTGATGAAGTCGAGATCTTCGGTCGTGAGTAGGTTCCTTGTTGGTACTTGCGCTGGAACTTGAAGTGTGCGTGGACTTGGAGCTGGTGAGGTACTGGAACGGGCGCAGTGCTTCGCATGCGGACTCCAGAGCGAGCGAGGTTGTCGGCGACGAGCTGCGTGGGCCGGGAAAGAATTCAAGAATCAGGTGGTAGAAGTAGGCGGGCATCCCGGCCGATTGCACCCCTTTCACTGTGAATGGGCATCAATAAGATCGATCATCTGGGGGTTCTAAACCAACGCATGAATGCCAACTTTCCCAATCGACGTGGGTTGATTGCGATAAGGCAATGACTAATCATCCTAGGATCCCCGGATCTACCACTTTCAGTTTAGCCTCAAGGCTCCGAGTGGCAACAGACGAGAGGCAAAACTTCCATGGTCCGGCTGATTTAGACACGGAGTGGCGATAATTGAATGGCTTGCGCCTAGGCTCTCAGTGAGAAGACTATCAGGGTGGGCATAAGCGACAGGTTTGCGTGAGGGATATTTACTATGGGTTATAAGTTCTAGTTAACTAGTAGTATGTTTACGTGGAAGAGATATTAGTGAACCGCAAGAATAGCGAGTTTCAATTCATAGATAATAAACTATGGAACACCGTCAGGGGTGTCCGAGAAAGAGAAGTTATGCCCGTAAAACCATCAAAAAAAGCAGGAAAGAAGCCGCAGCCTCGAAACCGACCAAACGCCATGCAGGCCACATAGGGCCTATCGTAGTCGAGCTATCATAAAGAGCGTTTACTGACCACCCCGAAGACGAAGCACCAAGTGAAGAGTAGACTCCTTCTGGATATTGTAGTCGGAAAGAGTTCGGCCATCCTCCAGCTGCTTACCGGCAAAGATAAGACGTTGCTGGTCAGGAGGAATGCCCTCCTTGTCCTGAATCTTGCTCTTCACATTGTCGATTGTGTCCGACGATTCAACTTCCAGTGTAATGGTCTTGCCGGTCAGGGTCTTGACAAAGATTTGCATACCACCACGGAGACGGAGAACCAAATGCAATGTAGATTCCTTTTGAATGTTGTAATCGGAAAGAGTACGACCATCTTCAAGTTGCTTGCCAGCAAAAATGAGACGCTGCTGGTCAGGAGGAATACCCTCCTTATCTTGGATCTTGCTCTTCACGTTGTCGATTGTGTCCGATGACTCCACTTCCAGAGTGATAGTCTTTCCGGTCAAAGTCTTAACGAAGATCTGCATACCACCACGGAGGCGGAGAACCAAGTGAAGGGTGGATTCCTTCTGAATATTGTAGTCGGAAAGAGTACGGCCATCCTCAAGCTGCTTGCCTGCGAAAATCAGGCGCTGCTGGTCAGGAGGAATGCCTTCCTTATCCTGAATCTTGCTCTTCACGTTATCGATAGTGTCGCTAGACTCAACCTCCAGGGTGATAGTCTTGCCAGTCAGAGTCTTGACAACTATGAACAGTTAGTACAAGTCATTCTTAGGTGAGGCGATGCTGAGTAGAGGAACACATACAGATCTGCATACCACCACGCAGGCGGAGAACCAGGTGAAGGGTGGATTCCTTCTGGATATTGTAGTCGGAAAGAGTACGGCCATCCTCAAGCTGCTTGCCTGCGAAAATCAGGCGCTGCTGGTCAGGAGGAATGCCTTCCTTGTCCTGAATTTTGGACTTGACATTGTCGATGGTATCACTGGACTCAACCTCGAGGGTGATGGTCTTGCCGGTGACTGTGGCGAGTTAGTAAGGAAGATTCAAAGAGAGGAGGGTAGGGGATGTGATGTTGGGAAGTGGCGGTCAACATCGCGACCAGGTTGCAATGCGGCCTTGTCGGGATAGAGGAAGGAAGGAGACTCACGGGTCTTGACGAAGATCTGCATGATGGGGAGAGTGCGATCGGATAGTCTGGTGGTGGTGGGAGAGTTGATGCAGTAAGATAAGGGGGGAATGTGAGAAGAAAGAGAGGGAAGAAGGGAATGGGACGTGAAAGAGGGGAAGAGGTCTTAAGTATGAGCGCCGGGAGGGGGCGAGAGTTCCTTAGTCAGATGTGGCAGTGACAAACAGAACAAGCGCCAAAGTATGGGAAGTTGCTAGAACGATGAGTCAAGAAAGAGAGGAACAGGGTCATTGACGCCACCGGACTGTTCTGGTTCTTCGGGCTCTCCCCGGCATTGGCTGGTACCTGCCGAAAGACTCCATCTTCGGTTTTTAATAGGTTCTATAGTGCGCGACGCTATAACTATCAAAGTTTTCCAAAGACTTTGCCGCTCCGAAACGGGTGCCGTGTTGCCGGGGGCGCATTGTAGGCTACAAACAAGTACGAAGGCAGCCGTGGCTGGGGCAATGACGTTAGTAGGGGCTTATCGTAAAAGGAGGGGGTGGACCAGGACGTGTCCACCTTTGAGGACAAGATTAGACCATCGACTCCATTTGAGTGACATTCTGGCCAGTGAGAATGTCTGAAACCATCGAGGTACCCAGTGATGTACCCGAAGTGGACTACGTACACATGCACGTGACTGTCAGCTGACCCCGGATCCGGACGACTGCCGAGCATGGATACATACAGTACTTACACCTGGGCAGTGTGTACACTATACATTGCAATTACAGGGAACATGTTCATTTACTAGAATTGCCAGTAGCAATGGTAGATCCATTCAGGATATATAGACACGCAGGCCGCGAGGAGAATTCCACCCATCCCGGCCGCCATTTCGGCACGCCGGTTTCACTAAAAGAGATGCAGGAGACAATAAAGAATGCGACAACAGTCGGACACAGTTGGGCACTGTGTCCACGCTTTTTCCCTGGCACGATCCCTCCCCGACCGAGGAGAGAGACAGCCAACACTGAGAAATCCTCAGTTTCAAGATGAAACCGGGACCAGCGTTGACCAGCCAGGTGCTGTCACAACGGAAATGAAAAAGAAAAGAAACAAGTTATAAGTCGGCCGTACACAGTCATAACGTTCATAATCCTCGTTCATCGCTGAGAGCTATGCGAGCAAGGTATAACCACAAAAGACAGTAAAAAACACAGGAGGTTGAAGACACTAAAACAATTGACAGGGGCAGACACCAAGGAAAAAGGAAAGGTTGGAAGATAGGCGGTTGTTGGGAACCACGATGCTAAGGAAACAGGGAGAACCGGAGCAAAGAAAAATAGTCACAAAGAGCACAAGGGGTTCGATCTCACTAGGAGAGAGCCCAGGGGTTGGTTTCATAAAAGAGCGGGGGGAGACGCGCTCGCGCATCGTCACGACCGTTTCGCGTGAGGGGTTAGTTTCTTGAATTCTTTTCTCATCCAGGGCGTGGCGAAAACAAAAATTGTTGACGGGAAAATGTTCAATCGCTGGACAGCAGTCGCTGAGGGAAAACAGTAGTCGTGGGTGAAAACATCATCGTTATCATGCGCATGCGCATCATCTGGTCGTCTCTAGTTCGCACGAATAACAAGGCGGGAAACAAATTTGTTGGAAAGGCAGTCAAAGTCGTCGCGGTTGAATTTGGTGCCGGTGCGACCACGCAGATAGCTCTCTGAGAGGGAAGTTAGTAATCCGAGCGGACGAAAAGACAAGAGCCGGATCAATGTGCTTACCGTGCTGCTCAACATGTTGGCGAACCTCGGTCATAGTGTTGCACACGTCCGGGTTAGAATACAGCAGCTGGTGGTGCTTCTGCGAGTCCCACTCGGTAAAAGGGGGCAGCTTCTGGGAGATGGCCTGGAACAAACCGACAATGACACCGACAGGAGTGGTTTCCATATCGGTGCAGAACTTGTCGACGGCAGCCTGGTCGGGTGTGCGGTAGTGGCAATCGAATTGCATCTCCTCCCATACGGCCAACAGTATTGAGGCCAGGATGAAGATAGTCGGCCAGTTCTTTAGCTTATCACCGCTGTACACACTCGAGTAAAGTGATGAGAGCTCCTCCAGGACATCTTTCTGGAGTTCACGCCACATGCTCGCCATCGCACACTTGATCTGGAAGTTGATCATCACTGGGGCCATGGTCTTGCCACGGAACTTGGAACCAGGTTCTTGGATCTTGCCCATGAAATCATCCTCGGCGCCCAGTCCCTCGACCATCGTAACATGAAGGGTGAGGTTGTAAGCGATGATCAGTTTCAAGGCCTTGCGAATGACGGGGAGCTTAGTCCGGTAGTAATAGCGGAATGCAGTCTTGAGCATCTGGGTAAGGAATGGCGTTCCTTCAAAGTAATCGTCTACGAACTTTTCAAAGGTGCCATTGCCATCGATATGTCGGTCCAGGTAGTCGGACAGCATGGCGTGCGAGATACCCTCCATTCCAGCGGAGAGTTTAGCAGTCTCGACTTCATATTGTGTAGGTTCACGGTGCAATGTCTCGACCCAGTCGATGGTAAAGCACTGCTCGTCACGGACGTAGACCTCGCGAGCGTTGATGGGTAGAATTTGGCCGTAACCATGGGTGATGAACAGGGTACGTTCTTGGTCCGAGAACCCCTTAATGTTGCCAACAGAGAATCCCATCGAGATGTGTCTCTCGTAATCCGCCTTCCAGTCCTTCATGAAATACCCGATCTCCTTAATGTCGATACGGGTACACGGCACCTGCCACAATCTAGCGTGCGACGGCTGACATCCGGCACAGGGCTCCCCCTTATCACAGGTCTTCTTCAAAAACTTACAACGCAAGCAGGCACGCAGCTTCCGGATCTCACTGGCTTGCTTACGCTGATCAGGCTTGAGGGGGCCCTTCCGCTTACCAACCCGCTTCTCAGAGTCTGGCTTGCCGGTCTGGGACTGCTTGCGGACCTTGGTCTCCGCGGTCTTGGCCGCAATGGGACTTTTTCTTGATGGTTTCCGGCTAGGCGGTGATGCTGAAGATTGAGAGCCAGAAGAACGAGTTGGAGAGGTAGACTTCTTGATGGGGACCGGGATAGGCCGCACCATGGCGGTGCTGGGGCTGACGGCTGATGGGGAGCGGGATCCCGGCGAGGAGCGCTCGTGGCGCACAATGGAGCTGCTGGTTGGCGATGTACCTGCGAGACTAACACCATGGGGGTTGTTGTATGGCAGATCCATGTTGTTCTCAGAACTCGGGGAGCTGATCGGATTGGAAAGGTCGACAAAGCTACCGTAGGAAGTCGAGTAGGACGATTCTGAGAGACTGCGGTCGTGCAACGTCTGAGTGGGGTTGACGAATATGCCTTGCTCGGGGAAACCAAAGTCGAAGGAACGGCGGTGATCCACCGTGCTCCAGCCATTATCGCTGCTCGATAGGGAACGGACTTCAAGGTAGGTGTCCGTCGGCGAACTACTCTCTAGAACCGGGTGCGGGGCGGCATATGAGACATCAGTGAGCGAGTTCGGGAACCCCATCAGATCCGTCTGGAAGTCATGATAGGTGAATGGCACCATATCGACAGGCGCGGAGAGGGGTAGGTGATAGGAACTGTCGACAAAGCCGGTGGTCATCTGTCCGTGGGGCCCAGACATGAGGTCCACCGGGGAGGATTGGATGGCCATGCCATAACTAGCGGCGGTAAACTGCGGTGCTGACGAATGGTCCTCGGTCGAATATGATAGTTGTTGATGGTGAGGGGCGTGGAGCTGCTGGAATTGCCAGTCGACCAAGAGGTTGGGATCCTGGGCCACCGACTGTTCCAGAGGGTGACCGCTTGTTTGTAGAGGTGATAAGTCGTGGGCTTCGTCTGACCGTGGGGGGTGCTGGTCGGCCGCTACAGGCCATGTGTGCTGGAGATAGGCTCTGGAGTCGTAATCGACGCCGATGAGGCCGTCGCTGGATAAATCGACATTTGACATGGCGTCTTGTTGATGCCAATAACGTGGGAAAGGCAGGAAGGAGAAGAAGGGAAAGGGCCAGCCTGGATGAAAAGGCCTTCTTCAGAGAGAGTCACACAGCCATGAGAGAAGTGGGCGAGTGAGGCGGTGGGGGGGACAAAGCAGCGGTGAGCAGAGATGCGCTAGGGGGAAAATCGTGTGGAGAGTGGAGGCTGGCTGATGCGTGGGCTTTGCTCACTGGCGTCGATGGATGGGGCCATACTGCCACGCGAGGGCTGCGATTCCTCGATATTTGTTGGCCCAGCAAAGATTTGTTGAAGTTGGAGACATTGGAGACTTGGAGAGGCAAAGCGAATCGCTAGTTTCTGGTCCCATGATCCCGCATGGCCCGGAATGCGGCCTGGGTCGCTGGGCCCCCCGGGTCGCCTGGCGGGATGAGATTCTTATTCTTAATCTTCTTTTTGGTCTGTACCCCAATGAGTCAGATTAGAGGATAGATTCTGATATTTGTTTTGAAGGTGTTTGTTTATAGATGGTGTACGAAATACTCCGTAGCGCTGGACCAGATGAATGGGGACCGTGGAGGAAGAGTCCCGCGGTCTCACGGGAATGGCGGGACGGGAGATCAGTGGAGTAACCGAGTGTTGAAAGGCTGTGGCAATAGGCATGTCCGAGAAAGGACCAGCACACAATCCTCCAGGACCGTGCATGAGCAGATCTGACATGCGATCGTTGATAGTGCAATGTATCCCGGTTTTGACCCAATCATCGTGGTCGGTGATGTGCACAACGCCCGTGATTCGTATCTTCCAGGGTCTCTCCCTGGGATTCCCTCATGGACGGTGGGGGCCATGCAGAAGGTTTTTTTTTTTCTTTCTTTCTGTTTCTTAGTCCCAGTACGGAATAGTAATACTCATAGTACTACGCCGTAACCTGGTCCGCAAGAAGTAGATTGGCCGCGTCGAGGCCCGGAGCGGGCCCCGAACAGGTGGACAGGGATAGGCCGATGATGATGATGATGATCTCTGCGAAGCATGGCTTCGGCGAGTTCATTTTTGGTAAAGTGCGAGAAGCATGAGCATGAGCATGAGCATGAACCTTGATCATAATCCGGGCAGAAAATAAGTTTGTCGACAGGTTTCATCGTTCGGAAGGCGAAGGGGTTGGGTCTTGCACGGTTGGACCATCTGCAAGCAAGAAGCAAGGAGGGGAAGAAAATAAGCCACTCTGCACGATGAGGCACGGCGTAGCACGGTGATGACACCACTAGCCACTTTGCGGGTGCAGACGTAAAAATTGGATAGATCACATCAACCCCGTGTACTCCGTCCGTGTATGTAAAGTATGGGTGGAGTCGTGACATGCAGGCGCCGGAGGATTCAGTTTAACTCCTGCACGCTGTCAAGGATCCATATTTAGAATCATTGGCTGTAGCATGTTGGCATGTTGGCATGTTAGCCATGCTGGCAAATGTAGACAAAGGCTGCATTGCATTGTATGGAGTTGGGCCCCGCTGCCCTGAAGCAGAGTCGAAGTCGAATTGGGAAGTGGGAGGAAGTGGGAGGAAGTGGGGGGCGGAACAATGCCAACGTCAATCCTCGACGGGTGCATTCATGGACCAGCAACAATCAATAATTCCCCCAATTGGTGACCCCATTGAGAGTCCATTGACTTCCTTTTGATTCATCTCTACTATCTACCAAATTTCTCTTTTATTAAAGCCCCTTAATTCCTATGCCGACGGTCGCGGGGAAACGTCGCAACGTTCGCTTCCCATTCGCACATCTCAAAACTGCACCCCTCACCACGGCACAGAAATCGCAGAAGCAGACCCAAAACCAAAAGCAGAATCAGGAGAAACGCCCGGACATACGATCCACTTCAACTCAAGGCCGGAAAATGGCTAGCCAAGCAGCTCACCCGGGGACCCCAGCCCTTTTCACGCAGCCGCCGCCCATCCGCGACCCGCTCGTGACAGAAACCACCGATCTGCAGGACGCAACCCTCTCCAAATGCCTGCCATTCCTCAAAGGTATCTCCGACCTCCAGAAGGGTCCTTTTAATCCATGCGGTGTACCTGCCCTGCAACGCGACGATCATGTCGAATACCTCTATGATTCCTTGGAAGACTATCCCGCCGGCTTCGTCGCCATGGACTCTAGCCGCCCCTGGATGATCTACTGGGGGTTGGCAGGATTAACACTTCTGGGGAAGATGTCAGTCGGGTTCATCAACGGTGTGTTATTTCTTTTTTTTCTCTTTTGGTTCTTCTTCCCCTTGTTTGCTTTTTTGCTCGTTCGCCTAGGCCATATGGCACCGCTGCAGAGATTTTTGCTTTTCCGTCACCCATATAATTAATTGTTTTATGGATTCATTCATTGCTCCAATGCTATTTTTGTTTCGTTTCTATAAGAATTATCTCCTTTTTTGCTTATTTCCTTGTTTTCTTCGTTTTTTATTCTTCCTTTTGTCGTGAAGACTGCAGTATGACAGGAGGCAGGATTCGTCGAGAAACATGTCACTAACTACTCTCCTGCAGCGTGATTGCATCAATTCGGCCCATGCAGAATCCCACGGGTGGCTTTGGTGGCGGCCATGGTCAAATATCTCATCTCGCTAGTAGCTATGCAGCCGTTCTGTCGCTCGCAATGGTCGGGGGGGCGGACGCCTTCGCATTGGTGGATCGACAGACAATGTGAGTTATCGCCTCAAAGGTTTGCCTTAGCTTGTTAAGCTCGTGCGTCTGACCAAGTCTCCAGGTGGCAATGGCTGGGTCGCTTGAAGCAGGCCGATGGAGGATTTCGCGTTTGCGAAGGCGGGGAAGAGGACGTGCGGTAAGTTATCAGCTTCAATCGGTGCAAGATCTAAGTTTTCTTGTTTCATTCTGATCTTCCTTGTCACTGCAGCGGCGCATACTGCGCATCAGTCATTATATCGCTCTTAAATCTGCCCCTGGGCTTGCCTCCTACCTCCGAGGCTCGACTCGCGGGCTTTGACAATCTTACAGATGGCCTTGGGGAATATCTGTCACGATGTAAGACATCTTCCTACTCTAGTAGCATGCAGCTTGTGTCAACGATATTTATTAATCCGACCTAAAAGGCCAGTCTTTTGAAGGCGGTATCTCGGGGAGCCCCGGTGTTGAAGCGCATGGTGCTTACGCTTTCTGTGCATTGGCATGTCTTTCCATTTTGGGTCCTCCCGAAAAGACCATTGCAAAGTATGACCTCCCAACCATTCAGCTAGATCTATCACACTGACTTCACCTAAGGCACATGAATTTACCCCTACTGTTGTCTTGGCTATCTGCACGTCAGTATGCCCCAGAGGGTGGGTTTTCCGGACGTACCAACAAGCTCGTCGACGGTTGTTACAGTCACTGGGTTGGCGGATGCTGGCCACTGTTACAATCTGCATTGGATGGCAAGCCTCAATCTGCCAGTGCACCGTCCATGACGGTTGGCAGTCTGTTCAGTCGCGAGGGATTGGACCGATATATTCTCGCGTGCTGCCAACACCCCCAAGGAGGTCTCCGCGATAAGCCTGGAAAGTGAGTACTTGTGTACCCGGGTGCACTCTGATATTTGTTTGCAGCCGTCACTGACCGTCACACTCAGGCATGCGGATGCTTACCACACCTGCTACGTTCTCACGGGCTTGAGCGCAACACAACACCACCATTATCGCACGGACTCCAGCCCCTGTGCCAACAAGAATTTCTCCTCGGCATTTTCATGGCAGTCGAAACCAACTGGCGCCGAGGAAAATGTATTTGAGAAAAGCGACCGATTAACGGCGTTCCACCCCATCTATGTAATCCCGCACCAAGCTGCCGAAAAGATGCGGCTCTGGTATGAAGCGGAACCCTTTGCAACCTAGCGGCCGAGGGAAGTGAACTGATCACCATTCAATGGTGAAACACGACATATCTGGCTAAACACCTTCACTGAATGATACGGCTCCATGAGTTTTACGAGGAGGCTGAGAATGAAAACGCGTCCGACCTGCAGGGGTCACCTAAAGAAGGAGCTCGGCCGGGGAGGCCCACCACAGCTCCGTCCAAGGGGCTTGGGATAATATTCCATTTTTACTTTTTACTTTTTTTCACTCCGGTCGGGGCACCCCGTGGGAGCCACGCGGGTGACGAGTCCAAGCTTTGCGAGCTGGAGAGAGAAGGAGAAGGAGCGAAAGTGCTAGAATCAGGGCATGCGAGATGCAAGGGATCAATCTGGCCAGTGCGACATCGGTAATGATTGCACACGTTGTAATTAATTTATCTCTTAGTCCAAAGAAAGAGTTTAGGATACTCGGAAATTTGGCGTTCTCATTGCATCAACGTCTGGATGTGACTCTAGATGCAAATGTCAGTATATACTCCGTACGGAGTAGTGAACTAAACGTCAACGAGTACCTACTAGTACTCTGTAGCCGCCCCTCTCAACTGCAGCGAAATGAACACCGTTTGCCATTCACTAACCTGCACGAGGCCCAACTCGGCAAAATTCATCGTCACTGCAAATAAATTGCTCCCCCACTGCATGCCAGCTCATCACTGCGTCTGATGCCTGTCGAGTAACTTTGTTCGTTCGATTCCATTCGAGGCTGTGATCCCGAGCTCCGAAATTGATCGGATCTCCTCCAGTCCATCTCTGGGTGGATTGACAGGGACAAAATACTAACCTTGGTGAACTTTGACATCCTGAGGTTCAAAAATACGATTACTAGTATGATGAAAATTCCAAAGGATCTCAATTCCAGACGCGCTCTGCACAACATCGTCGAACCCGGGTCCTCCTTGGCGCCAACAGAGTGCTCCAATCACGCCCATATTGCGGTGGATTCCTGCAGCGCGCCTCCAGGAAGATCCAGCGGCAAAATTTCATACTGCGTTTACTGCGGGGCGATGGAAAAGGCCCAAGCCAAAACTCAAACGACCCGAGGGGCAATGGACTTGTTCCGTTTCTGCAGATTATCCCCATTACCCAGTACCGACTGTCCGCTCTCTGGCCCCTGACGAGACCACCCCAGTCGCCGCATATTTTGATGGCTTCAAGTCAGGTACTAGATTTGGTCGACTAAAAAGGGCGAGCTATCCCATTCCTCAACCTACGAACTCAGTCACAGTCCAAGTCTAGGACCAGGCCTCGAGACAAAGCACCGGGATAAGCTGCTTAGTCTCCGAGCCCTTTGTTTCGATCGGCGAATTGCAGGCGGGGGAACCCTAAGCCCACTGGGCCCCGGAGAGGGCGTGCCTCCATTCGGCTTGATTCGACTGGCAAACAGCTATGCCAGCGCATCATTGCTTCCAAACCCACCGAGAAAACATACCGCAGCACACTTACAGTACGATGCTTCCCACTGACCCTGCCCTGGGGCCCTTTTCAGAGTAACAGCCTGGGCCATTGAGACCTTTCCCCCTCGTTCGCAGCCAATCTGGTCACCGCATTCCCGTGACATCCATGACATGCTTTCCTATGAGCGTTGTACCTCAATACGACTCGAATTCCCATCAACACATTTCCCGTTCTTCCCGGGCCTGAACCCGGACCTCATGTTCCAGGGTGACCCGAGAGTTTCTTTTGTTTTTCTCTCAGGATGTATCAGAATTAGAGCAATGGTCCCCTCTTACATACTTTACATAGGACCAGGGTACTTCGGTCCCGGTAAGCCCCCTCTCTAATTTCTTAGACTGCTCAAGCGGATGCTAAATTCCAGGAGAAACGGTTTCCTCCGTCCTATCTTTTACCTGTTCAGGTTTCTGCAGCGACTACTGAGACAACGGTGTCGAATCCTTCCTGCAGAATTCAAATATGATTTTCCTTTAACCCCCTCTCCGTAAGCCTAGCCTTCTAGTATGATCCTAGTGAGGTATTCGGTACTGAGTTTTTTTGCCTCCTTTGTGCGCTGTCTCGATTGCAACCGTCCAATTCCTTGTCCCCCCTCTTGGATCCTCTACCTCCGTCGCTACTCTTCTTGTGATGGCGCATAGAGGTATTGAATACACTGGGGACAACACATGGTATGACTCGGTATCAACGCAGATGCCCCACCCGTTTCCGGTAGAGGGGAAAAAAAACCAGCATTAAGCATAGCTTGCGAGCCCTGGAGGTCTGATGAAAATTAATTTTCTGCTTTGTTTGCACCAAAACCTCGTCCTGTATTTTTGCCTTCCTGTGTGATACGGAGGGGGACGTGTATTCAGTATATGTGTGTGTGGCGTGGCATCTTTCTAATGCCTTTTTCAAGCCTTTGGTTCCTCATTCACACCTTCTTTCTCCCTTACTCTCCCTACCTCACCTTTCCCATATCCTCCTAATCTTAGAGTGGTGAGCAGATTGGTTACATTCTCATTAGCAGTTTGTCTCGGCCATCTTTTTCGTGGAACAAACTACCCCTCCAAAAAAAAAGGCTTGAATCGGAAAGGAAGCACCGGAAATAAAAGAAGAAAGTCCCAACCCAACAAAGAAAGTCAAAATTACAACCAGCAAAACCACCAGTCAGCATTGAATCAAAGAAGCAAGAAGGAAGAAAAAAAACGACCAGATCCCACTATTCCGGATCTCGGCTCGCCTAGTCTATGATAGACAACAGCACCGTTGGGCATCGCCATCCGCATATCTTGTAGCTGCAGTTCCATTCCGCAGCTCCGCCTCAGCCCTACCCGTCTCCCGTCTCACACTTCATCAGCCAATCCCTTCAATGCTGTCGGGCTAGCCGCGCCTCATATTGCGAAGTCGACAGTGGCAACGCCGCTTTCCGTTCTATCTCTATTCCCTGTGGCTATTTCCGCCGTTGAAGATCCACTCCGCCGAGATGTACTATATTCTCTACCTTGCAAGTACGTATATCCAACGCATACGAGCCTCATCGGCTCCTGCTGCCAATGCACCTCGTCCCAAACTTGAACCAATGGCCTCGCCTGTGTCTTTCCCGGTGCAAATCGCGATTGAGACCCCAGAGAGCCCCCCCCGCATCACGGATACTAGCACCATGACACAAGCCGTTCCCTGGTCTGATAACCTCATGTCCCCCTTGATATTTCCATATACACCTGGGTACAAGAGGTCCAAAACCACTGGCAGCTATTTACTAGTACACAGCAACCCGCTAACCAACAAAAACAGGCCTTTGTCGCCGCCGCCGCTGGCCAGAACCCTCCTACGAAGCCTACACCTCCCCAACTGGCTTCACCTGCGTCGTTCGCGTCAACAACCGCGAGTATCAGACTGACGCAATCTACGGCAGCGAAGAGCTAGCCCGCGAAAGCGCCGCCATGCGCGCGTACCTGATCTGCCGCAATTTTTCCGTCAACGACGGCAAGTACCCGGCCGGTACTAACCACGGCGGCGTCGTGCAGGGGATCCCCGTTGCGATTGGCACGGGGCGCAAGTCCAGTCGAGACGACGATACGGATACCTCGGTTAGCAGTTATGGGGGCAGCTGGAGTGGTGGAAGTAGTCCGGAGCGAATGGTTATGCTTGAGCGCGGGGAGAGGGTCATTGTTAGTGGGGTGCCTGGCTCGGCGAGGGAGCTGGCTTATTCGAGGCAGGAGGCTTAGGTTTGATATTGGGGAGAAAGGGGCAGAGATCGAATTACTGGCTCAGACTTGGACCTCCGCTCGTGTGGCCTTTCTGAAATATGGTGATGATGTTATGACTTATGACGATGGCTTTCTGCATGCGTGTTGCTTTTCGTGGGAATGTATTTGCTGTCTTCTTCGCGTTCTGCTTCTTTTCATAGATGGAAAAGCTCCGGCTCTCAGATGATGCGTCTTGTGGATTGTCACTGGACAGAATTGTCTGGGATAATGGATGCATAGATGATGGGTTTGACGGGGTTCAGGCCCTGGTTATGATTTCTATTGGCATATTTGCATCATTGTGGTGGTCAGCGATCGATTCAGTGAGATTGTGTGGTTATTTTGTTCCAGAGACTTTTATGATGGCCTTCGATTATCGCTTGCTCGAATTTTTCTTGCCATTTGTCTTATTTGGCTTTATTCACCATGCGTACTAGAGCCATCTCATCTCTACCTGTCCCGAGGTTCCAATTTAGTGAAAAGGGACTTCATGACAGGAATAACACTTATTTGGTAATATGAGGTTCAAATTGGGTTTATGCAGTGTCTGAGTGATGTCTTATGACCGCCTGGACACCTGGGCGTAACGCGCAATGGAACCTTGGAAGCCTCCTACCTAGGTATGAGTTTGTAGTCTCTACCACCTACTAGGTATTTAGTACTAGCAGTTTTACCTGTAACTACCCTAGCTATTTTTCATTCTGACCTATTGACTTTGCCTACATCATTACTAGGTAGGTAGATAGAATTTTAACAGATGCAGTTTGCCTTGACTACACGACCCTTACTAAATACAATTTTGAATGGTGTTTTGAACGAATCACAGCCCGGCCCAAATACCGTAGCGGCGTAGGCGGCACTGATAGCCAATCCAAAATGTGAGGAGCCAGGTTCGCCGAACATAGCCAGAGGCTCTGGACGTAGCCTCCCCGCAAGGTGTTTCGGTCTCGAAGGTCAAGGACGGATTTCTTATCGCCCGATCTGCCGATCTGCAACGATATCCCTTGGGAGTCGATTCCAATTGGATGGCGCACCATGTGGGTCCGACAAAGATTTCCCTTTCGGGATTAGTGTTTTTGTCGATAAACCACAAAATTCGCATACCTAACCACAACTTGGAGCTTTGTAGAAGACACTCAAGCCATGGCGTTTGAATCGGGGCTCCATGAGTTATCATTAGCCAATAGTAACCTGAAGGGTTGCTGTTGTATGCCTTGGGACGTGGAGAAGTCATTTACGACCAGCCCCAGGAAAGCACATATAAGTTTAGGTACGACCGGCCAATTCAAAAGATAGTATCTCTTCAACTCCCTTATAATCTCCTGACACACATATACACCCACAAATCCTTCCAAGGTTCCAACTGCCTCAAGCTTTTGGGGTGAATAATACTATTCTTCTCACAAATATCGACTCCATTATGGGTGACTACCAAGCAGAGACTATTGCTTCGCCCACCCCAGCCGCAGCTGGGAATGAACTGAAGGTTAAATCTACCAATGATAGCGGCGTTCTCTACCACCAACTTCGTCAGAAGCCTCTCAATATCGTCGGTGGAAGGGGCAGCTATCTCATCACGGATGATGGCCTCGAAATCTTAGACGCCACCTGCGGCGCAGCCGTATCTTGCCTCGGCCACAACGATAAACGTGTGCATGATGCGATCATGGAACAGCTACAGAAGATTCCTTACGTTTACTCTCTATACTTCACCAACAATGCGGCAGAGAATCTGTCTCAGGATCCTGGTGGACTCTACCGGTGGCAAGATGTCTCGAGCCTTCATCGTGAGCTCAGGTTAGTCGTCATCCTCCGCCGGATAACTATTTTGATCACTGACTCATATCTCTATCTGCCCAGGTACCGAAGCCGTCGAAGCATCGGTCAAGATGGCTATGCAGTACTTCAGAGAGCTTTCTACCCCGCAGCCTCAACGAGTGAACTTCATTTCGCGCACGCAATCTTATCACGGCAATACCCTTGGCTCCCTCGCCGTTGGCCATCACGTTGCCCGTCGAGCTATTTATGAGAGCATTTTGACCAAGAACGTGCACCATGTATCGCAATGCTATCCATACCGTGACATGAAGGAGGGAGAAAGTACGGAGAGCTACGTTGCAAGACTAGCGCAGGAGCTGGAGGACAAGTTTCAGAGTCTGGGGCCAGACACAGTGTGTGCGTTCGTGGCAGAGACCATGTCTGGAGCTGTAAGTTCAACTTAATTCTGGACCGTGACTGAGCAAATCTTGACTAACTATATAAAGACACTAGGATGTGTTCCTGCGCTCCCTGGCTATCTGAAAGCCATGAAAGAAGTCTGCGAACGCCATGGGGCTTTACTCATACTAGACGAAGTGATGTCTGGAATGGGCCGCACCGGAACCCTCCATGCTTGGGAGCAAGAGGGTGTCGTTCCAGACCTACAGACCATCGCTAAGGGGCTTGGCGCTGGATATGCTCCAATTGCTGGTCTTCTGGTGAACAAGCATGTCGTCGATACCTTGACTCTAGGCACAGGAGCCTTTGCTCACAGTCAGACATACCAGGGTCATCCTGTTTCCTGTGCTGCCGCTTGTAGAGTGCAGCAGATTATCCAAGAAGACAACTTGCTTCCCAATGTTCGTGAAATGGGTGAATATCTTGGTCGTCTTCTTCACGAGAAACTGGGCGACAATCCTCACGTTGGGGACATTCGTGGCCGAGGTCTTTTCTGGGCTGTAAGTGGCGACTCATTTCCGCTTTCATTGTCTTGAGATAAGCTTACCTTTTTGTAGTTGGAATTCGTGCAGAATAAGAGCACCAAGGAATCCTATCCTCCTTCCAAGAAAGTTGCGTGGACTATCCACACAACTGGCCTGAAACCGGAGTACGCAATCTCACTCATGCCAGGTAACGGCGGCGCAGATGGAGTTAATGGCGATCATATTTGCTTGGCTCCACCTTATAACACCACCAAAGCGGAGATTGAAATGATTGTCGATCGTACATCCAAGGTGATTCAGGAAGTTCTCGGTTGAGTGGTACCTAGGTATGAGAGTTGAGACTCCTCGTGTCGCTTCTACAATTATGTAGGGAGCTTTCCTTAATGATTGTTGCTTCTTAGCTACCAGAATTCCTGCTGTCGAGTTGAAAGGTACCTATTCAATACTCTATTCCCGGGATGTTGGCACGTCTTGGAATCCAGTTCTATCAGAGTATGGCGCAGTTATATTTAAATTATACCCTCAAGGATAAACACAGTCCCCCTATTATGTAAAGCGAATAACATAAGGGCAAGGTTTCTCGCCAAAACCCTTGATACTGTTTTCTTGAACCTGATTGACACGATCATTGGGAGCATTCCACATGCGATCGCCAGAATCCCTAAGTCCCGAGTCAGCCTCAAAGAGTCGGAAAATCATTACATTGAAACTCACATCATAAGTCCGACGTGATGAATACTACTGCGGTCATTGCAATCACACTCACCACCAAAGAAAATGGCATCTCCGGCACGACGCTGAGAAAGGGGATATTTCCTGCGGACATTTTGATAAGCTGCGATGACTTGCAAATTTATGAACCCGAAGGGAACACACTCACTTATATTCCAGCTTACTCTCAGATGCACAATACATGGAAGAGGTCACTCGGAGCCCCTCGGTGAAAAGATCGCGGCCAGTCACCTTACAGACGGCCCAGCATACGAGACCGGAGCAGTCATAGCCAACATCGCCGTAATCATAAGGAGGCTGATCATCAGTAGGCCCGCTGCAGGCACCACCACCCCAAGCATAGGGCGTTCCCTTGGCTGTCATAGCTGTAGATAGGATCTTCTTTCCAACGTCGGAGGAAGAGATGTTTGAATGGGGCACCGCAACGGCGCTAGTGACCAAGGTGACTAGAAAAGTAGCGACGAAGAAGTTCATAATTGTGGAATTCTTGATTGAAAATGATGAGTTGTAGATTCAAGTTGTTTGTTTGAGGTTGCGTTCGTGAGTTATGAGGGATATCGGGGTTTAAATATTCACCAACTGATCCGACTTTTAATAGCCATGAGGAACTGGAATGATAGTGATTCAACTTTTGATTGCCAAGTATGTAACATCGTGTTTCCACTGGATCCAAATGAAGATCTGCGAATCAATATAGGAATGAATCTGCAGAGGACTGATGAAACTCTGGGGGCCAGGCAAACCAAATGATCAAAGTGCACGAAATCACGGCCACGCATTGGTGGATTTCCTGACCAGACAGTGAGGGTCCAGAGAAATACCTTTTACTTGTTAGAAAATACGATAAGTTTATGTCCAATAATAGCTCAGGAGGTCCAACACATGTTGATTATATCGAAGTTTGTTGATCGCCTCTGGGTTTGGGTCGATCGTGTCTGAATCAAGTATTCCGTACCTAGTTCAATCAAGGGGTGATAAATACGAGGAGTGGAGAGCCAAGATCTTGCAATGGGAGCATGTCTAGAGTTGGCGGAAGGCTTGGAGATCGACGGTCGTATTTCGACTATTTTTGGAAAAATCCTTGACAACAAGTACGCTATTCTATTCTCTCGAGTTTTCTTAGAAGGCTTTTTTTTGATGAAATAGTCTCTATGTCGAGATAATCGATGACTTGCCTCTTGAGTTGAAGAATTGGCAGTGTCGTCTCATTGAGGCTAGCGGTGAAAAGACTACTAGTATCCAGTGACAGAAACTAAGCAATGCTTAAAATTTGAATGATACTCTGGGCCCCTTCCGTTCTCTCTGGTATCCCCATTGGGCCTACCTGTTCGTTGTATACTAAACTCCATCATGTGATCGGGTCACGATAAGCGGGGAAGTGTGGCTGCCCTTTGGTCCACTCCCCGCTTCAATTATATTGCCATCTCACCTGCCTTGCATCAATTAGAGTACTACTGTATTTTTCAACCGTATCAACGGAATGCCCCGTGGGGAGCGTTTCACACGATCGCGAACCGGTAAAAAGCTCGCCTTCACTCATGCATGATGTACAAGGACCACACTGACATTAGCGCGGCAGGATGTCTGCAATGTCGGAAAAAGCACGAGAAATGCGATGAGAGCCGGCCCCTGTGTTCCTTCTGCGCTGCGCGAGGATTGACCTGCCAATATCCTTCGGCGCTGAAATGGGTGCGTCGTGCGCAACCTACAGTGTCGAGGCATCGATCTCGCAAAGAGCCTCAGGAACCTGATAGTGCAGGAGGACCTAGCGGGCCCCTCTCCCTATTTTCGGGCAATTTATTTCAGTCCGATGAAGAGAAGTCAGCTTGGGAATACTGTATGTCTACGTTGTGTAAGGAACATGGCATTTTCACACTGATACAGACTAGATGTGAGATTGGTCTCTTCCAACGTCCCGGCACTAGACGGACCAGATAATCCATACCGACAACTCTCCTGGACGGCATTGTCATCCCCGGTCCTTCTGGACACAATAGTCTGCATAGCCACGGAGCACATGCTCAACTTTGGCCTGGGCAGCGTGTCAACAGCAGCGCACCGTCAACAACGCATGCTCCGAACAATTGGACAGAACCTGCGACTGATTGAAGCCGGGAATGGCTGTGAAACAAGAGACGTAGTAGTACCGACCAGAAACTGTGATCACGAGGCATTGCTCACAGCAATTGTCCTACAAGGTGTTGTCGTCGCCCAGTCAGAGGACGGGATCTTGGAACCGCATGTCAGATGTGCATCATTCCTCATGCAGACGCTGGACTACTTTCAGCAGGTACCACGCAGCGCCCTCACCCGGATGGCGGTGCAACGGTTCGCCATGGTTGACGTGATGCTGGCCATCGCGCGACAGCGACGACCGTACGCACCTGGCAACTTCATTCTACACCAGCCTGATGCGGCACGGTGGGACGGGACAGAGCCTTCTTTCCACGAGATGACGGGATGTCCCCAGCCTCTGATGTGCTTCCTAGTGAGGATTGCCCACCTTGCGTGTGACGTCGAGGATCGCTTGGACCAAGAGGCGTCGATCAGCGATCTCCTCGCTCAAGCTCATCGGTTGGAGAATGATCTCCGCTCATGGGGCTCGCATTATACAGGTATCACCTCAGTCTTGACGGAGTCAGAAGAACTCGAACGACCACCATTGGACATTCTCACAGAGTGCTTTTATTGGACCGCTCATTTACTACTCGCGCGACGCGTTTTTCGAGACCCAACTCGCAGTCGCCGAGTCCAGCAACTCACGCAGACCTGTTTTGGCCTGATGGATCGTCTTTCTACGGGCTGCGGCCCCGATTCGTCGCTGCCGCAACCATTCTATCTTGCAGCTCGGGAGGCAGTCACCCCGAGCGACCGTGCTTGGGTGCGACAGAAACATCGGTCGATGACCGAGTACTATCGGGAACAACAACGCAACATGGCGATGCGACTCACGGAGCGTGTTTGGGAGATCACGGACGAGTTACAATTGAAGAACATGAGTGAGATTAACCCGGACCAGGCGGTTTCGAGTGCAGACAGACAGATTAAATCCCTAGATGCGGGATCTTGTCTGTTTGCATTTTGACTGGAGAGAGTGAAAACTTCCAAGAAGAGATGAAGATGGATGTTTCTAAATATATCCGGGGTGGCGATGTTCCAAGGTTCATCACATGTGGGTCATCTCTAACAAAGGCGTAGTGAAAATAAGCTTGCATTGGCCCAAGGGGATAATATGACATATCCCACATTAGGGGAGACAAGCACGTTCAATTTGATGCTTCATTCAAAATAGAATCTGATAATACTGTGATGTCGCACACCTAGTTCAAGTCTGGAGTATAACTTTGGATTGCAGCTTGTAACCTTGCACTAACCTAATTGGGCAGGCCACTAGAAGAGTCTGAGTTATCCGACCGGGCAATGATCTCCATGCCCACTTCATCTCCAACTCTGTTTCCAAAGAACACCTCTCCCTAGTCCTGGGCCTGATGGGGTCAAGGGCCTGGACTGTGTTACGGCAGAGAGGGTACCACAAGGTTTTTCTTTTCCTGTTCCTGGCCCAGGACCAGGACCAGATCCAGAACTGAAACCGACCGCAGTACAGAGTACTCCCTACAAGGCCATTCTTCTTATTCTTCCTAACTCCTCTTTATGGGTACGGAGTAAAAGTCTACGAAGTACGGATGCGACGGAAGACGCGACTGCGCACGGAGTCTCACCTGTGACGTGCGCTGCAGGCAGTCCCTCAGGCTGGTCGTCTCGGTTCAATCGCACCAATGGGGCCCAGTAAGATAGCGCACGGAACCCGAGGGGGGGAAGAAATGCTCAAGAAAATGGCAAGGCTAGACCCCTTGAAAAGTCGCAGTAACCCGCACCACTGCACCACACCGTAGACCGGGACTGAACTTGACCAAGCCATGTCTGGAATGACCTGTCATGCAGTCGAAGCCAATCATGATGGCCGGTAGTGCGGGTACCTGAATGGCTGTCCGTCTTGTCCGCAGACTCGGGGCACCGTGGACCAGAGAACAATTGAACCAATTGTACGCTCATTGGTTCCAAGTCCCCGGAGAAGCCCCTGCCAACCGTGGGAAAACCAGCGGTGGCGCTTAGCGGAGTCGTGGCTGAAAAGGTTCTCGAATCAGGGGTTGTCTGGTCCCTGAGACCGACAAAACAGAACTGCAGGAGGGCTGCGGGCGGCGCAGACAGCGCAGACGGTGGACAGCGGAGAGTAGATAGCGCAGGTGCCGGAGAAAAAAAAGCGAAACGAAACGAGGGGAAAAGGAGAGATTCAAGACAAAACATACCCTGTTGGGTCTTTTGCATCCAAGAATCTTGGTATTGACCGAGGCCTCCAAATATTCCAGCATCACGGGCATACCAACGTTTCAGATCCCCCGCGGATCTCACGTGTTTGGATGCCGTTCAGCGGCACTTGGGACGGTCGATCCAGCGGGTTCTGGACGGTCGAAAAAAGAGTGGAGGGAGACTGGTGCTCTGGTTCTCGAGGCGCCACCGTGCCCATGGCTATTGTCTATGCCCATGGTCATTGCACGACGAGCAAAGTCCCCCAGTCTGACACTAGATGAGATCGGTCGCACAACCAGTGGGACAAGTCCTCTGTGTAAAGACGAGGGCAAGGCTAGTGCCATTGTTTACAGTGTCCAGCCCCCCCCCCCCCCCCCCGTGTTGATGCAGGCAGACGCATGGGGGCCAAGGGCAAACAGACAGGAAGGCAGAGCAGAGAGCAGAGAAGAAATGATCGGAATAATCAGGATAGAAGCAATGCTAAGAATGGAGGATCCAATGACATCGATATAGATCCAAAAAACCAAGAAAGTCAGTAGTTCGAACGGGGGGGGACCCACGAGTTGTCAATAGTGCCGCCGCCAGTGCCAGTGCCAACCGGAGTAGTCAGCATCTCCTGATGTGTCCAGGTCCGCTTCTCACTCCTCTCTGCTTCTCTCTTCTTCTCGTGTGTCGTCTTCATTCCCTTCTTTTCTTTTTGCCGACTAGGTCGTTCGTTTCACTCTTTCACGACGACCGTATCGCTCCTTATTATTTCCCCCATCCCATCCCCTACCCCCATTCTTTTACTTCCTTCGAACTGGTTTCTCCTATCCTTTTCCCCCAAAAAAGACCAGAAGAGATTCCACGTTCCCACCCCGTTGATCGATTCAACCAGGCCTTGCGATTCCAGCCATCCGACCTCCTAGTCTTTCTCTGACCAGGTCGATCACTGAATCAATCGCCTTTCTTTTCCTGCTGCATAGGCCAGCCTTTTACTTATCCCACCTTCCTTTACACGGGACGCCTCTGCGACGCGCCCTTACCACCCAACCCCCCCCGGTTTCTGCCCAGCATCGATCGCGACTCGACTTGACTCGACTCGATCCTTCATCGGAATCCCTTCCTTTCATTTTGAACTATCCTCTCGCGCTTGACGCTGCTTCGAGAGAACAACACTCGGAAGACTCTTCCTCATTTTCTACACACCATCTCTACTTGTCGGCCGGATCGTCACGCTTCAAGCCTTTCCACCATTTGAAACACACACGGCATCCACAATCAAAAAAGTCATAAAAAAAGACACACAGGACTACTTGGATCACTTTCGCGACATAATCACCGGCAGATTATTCGAAATACTTGGGTTTCTCACTGTGTCGCAACATTGAAAATGTCCTCCTTTACAGAAACGCCTGACTTGACAGGCGCGCATACCGCTGTCTCATCCTCGCCAACAAACTCCACTCCTTCGCCTTCGACCTCAAGTGTCACAACCGCCAATTCTGCGCGTCGCCCACCGCGCAAGAGCACATTGACTCAACAACAGAAGAACAACAAGCGTCAACGGGCCACGCAAGATCAACTCGTCACCCTCGAAGTCGAATTCAACAAGAACCCTACACCCACCGCTGCTACCCGGGAACGAATCGCAAGTGATATCAATATGACCGAGCGATCAGTACAAATTTGGTTCCAGAACCGGTAGGTCCTAAAGAACGGTGGCAGCCCTAGAATATCAATTGCTGACCATATTAGTCGCGCGAAAATCAAGATGCTTGCGAAGAAGAGCATCGAGACTGGCGAAGGCTGCGATTCAATTCCCGAGTCAATGCGCCATTACCTTGCGATGCAATTCGATCCCACCAAACCCGGAACCCGAGACCCCTTTGGCCGCTCGGCAGGATATGGAGCTCCCAGCATGTATGCGAATGAGACTAGCCCTACTGGGAAAGTTGGTACGTGTTTACAATTATCTGAGCGCGACATGTTGTCAACAATCTGCTAACAAGTAGCAGTCATTTCGCATTTCACCTGCCGTTCCCTGACTATCGGTAGTTGGCGGCGCATCGGCCAGAATGCCATGGACCTGGTGGTTTTTTACTCACCAGACAAGGCCTGCATGACATATTATATCAACAACGACTCCGCTGGTTATAAAATCGAGTACCCCTTCGCCCATATCAAGAACATCACATTGGAGACAGGGGACCCCACTCCTGGACCGAACGGTGCGCCACCTCGACCTGGTGGGTTAGTGGTGGAATTAAACCGCCCACCTATGTTTTACATGGATTCATCCAATTCAGGAGGCTTCTACCAATGTGGTGATTTTACTGAGGAACAGCAAGCGAGCCAAATCATGGTTCATCACCTCGGAGGTCACCCCAAGGTTCTGAGTGTCCAGCTCGCAAAGCTTGTATCATTGGAATCTTTCCAAAACCGTTTGGCGTACCATGCCAACAACAACAACTTTGCTGTACCTGCCGTGCCCGCTACACCCACTGCGCCTTCCACGATGTCGCCTCCCTTTATTCAACGACCTGCCTCTCAGCCAAATCAATTTGCACAGGCCCCTTACGTGGGACTGTACCAGGACGCCAATCATTTGGGCTTCAATATGCCCGCTGCTCGTGGCCACAAGCGCCAACGTAGTCGGTCTGTCCCGGTGGCGGTTGACATCTCTGCCCTGCAAGCCCCCATGCACTCCTTCCACATGCCGCAAACGCCTGCCCCGTTCAACCACGCCGACTCTGGAATCTATGCGCCTATCCCGCAGTCTGTCCACGCCCTTCCCACAGATTTACGTATCGACACTGAGGGCTATGGGTTGGATTTCCGACAGAACCCCATGTCTGCAACCACTACGGGCTCGCCATCCGAATTTGCCAGCCCGTCGATGTTTAGCAGTGCCGCTCAAGGAGACTCCACACCAGTCGCCAGCATGGCTCCTCAGTTCAATGTTTCGTACATTTCTGCAGGACCGTCCGACCCTTCCACTGTTGGATCGCATGCGCCATCACCCTACTCTGGTGTCAGTCCAGCGGACCCTATGATTGCCAACCACTCTCCTCCTCTGTCGAACATGTCTCACGGATCATCTGACATGTATGGCTTCGCGCATGATCAGCAATCGGACTTCGCCGAGGACGGCCTTTCAATCAACGATATGTATCCCAAGCATCATAACGTGAACTACGCCGTCTCTCACGATGGTCCTAGCTTCGACCTTCCGATGCACGGCATGCCTGGCCACGCCTCCCCAGCGATGGCCGATTACTCCCACCATGGCATGGTCAACCTTGACGAAATCAACTCAAACGGCCTGCCTACCGGGCCCTGAACGGAGCTATCAAATGCTCCTGCCGCAGACATTGATTGAAGTCTTTTTTTTTCCCCTCTTGATTCCCCCTTTTCACGTTTCACGGCCTTTGGAGTGCTTACGGCGCTTATGTTGGTGGTTTCTGGTTTCCATCTCGGAGGTATTCCATGGTTATCTGGGTCTGGCTGGCGCAAATATGATCGTCTGGCCTGGTTTGGATAACGCGTCTCGCTGGCGATGGCCGGGAAAGCAATTTCGACTGGACTTGTTACTGCTTTTTCTGTTCATTGCGTGGCATATATCCCTTCTGTTGTGCGTTGTTTTAATACCCTTTCCATTCTGGGGCCGGTCCTATAGCGAGTTTTTGCTACTTCTTTTACCATTTTTTCTGGTTACTGTTGCTACATTCTACCCTCTCAATGTTTCCCGGATGTCCCGGTCGAATTATTGATTGCCCTTTTTTTCTTCTACTTCTGAACTTCCTCTTTTCAGCCCTGGTCAGCAAACCAACTTTTCCTTTTTTTTTCTTTTTCTTGCCTTGGTTAGCTGGCCAGTGGCCCCTTTACGCGGTTATGCCAAACAGACCGACCGGCTTGGACGGCGACTTCCAACCCCCCCCTTGAATTTCCTTTTCATTTTCTACTTTTTTTTTCTGTTTGAATGTTTTTTGGCTTAGCCGAGGGCGGCATATCAGACTTGACTTGTTCCAGGATTCAATTCCATTGTGACCTGACACTTTGCATACCATCCCCCTCGTGTTTGATGATCATTCTTTTATGAGTTTTGGAGCCTGTCTTTTCGCATGAGCTGTCTTGTCGGTCTTCATTGGGCCTGACGATACTGGCGTTGTTTCCAGGGGTTCGGCCTGAGTTGAGATATTCTCTGTCTGGGCTTCTGGAGGCTGAAAGAGGGCGCTGGTCTGGCAGTATAGTGGGAGATTGATGTTTGGGCCCGAATCTACTTTTTTGTTTGTCAAGCATAGTACTGAGATATATCTAAGCATGATCACTCCGTGGTTAAGATACTGCATTCCTTATTGATTGAACTTCATAAGTTTTTCGTAGCTCGTAATACTACTAGTCGTACTAGCACCTAGGTATGCCTACCTGAGGACTCGGTATGGATGCCCAGGTGGGTAGCCTCCACTACCCAGGTGAGCAGACCTCGGGAGTTCCAAGTTTTACTATTATTACTAGGTCGTAGTAGTTAGTATGCCCAAAAAAAGAAAAGAAAAGAAAACTTGGAAGACAGCTTGAAATTTTGAGGCTTAGGTATTGGAATGTACCTAGATAATTGTGTCAAAAATGCAAATGTACACGCCGCTCGGGTATATACTGGTAGGTGCTTCAATATCATATCCTACAAACTTGGACAATCCCAATAGTACAAAACCATCTACGCCTCCTCCCAACCTCTCGGCATTGGTGCCTTATAACCCTTCCCCCTCAAGTATTTCTCGACCCAAAACTCCATCTTCTCTAAGATATTACGCTCGGGCTTCCCAACCTCACCGGGCTCAAAAACACCCTCTTTACACCAAACACTCCACGACCCCATTAAGCCCGCCATAACGACGTCTGTCCCCAAACGATCCCCGACAACGGCAATTTGATCCGGTGAATCAACAACTTCTCGCTCTCGAAGCCATTGGACAACTTCGTCCCCGCAGAACGGCTTCTTCTCCACGCCATTGGGGAGTCGGAAGACTGGGATTGAGAGGTGCGCGAGCTGGGACTCTAGGGATGAGATCTCATGGTCGTATTTTGAGTGACTTCCTGCGCGGTTGGAGACGATAAGGATGCTGTTTGGGTGGCGGAATGGGGATGTTGGTGATTGTCGGAGGGCGGCGAGTTTGGAGAGGATTTGGGGTGGGAAGGTTGTTGTTTTGGGGGGGCACAGCGTGTTGTCTTTGTCTAGGACCAGGGCTCTGATTGTCGGGATTTTTGTCTTTGAGGTATTTGGGTCTGAAGGGACAAGGTGTGGCCCTAGTTCCTCTGGGAGATACGTGAAGGTTGGAATTGTGAGGTGTGGGAGGAACTGGGCGGGTTGTTTGAGGAGGGTGTGGACGGCGTGGTTGAAGGCGCGGAGGTTGGAATTGGGTGAGCCAGCCATAGCTGCGTATGCGATCAGATATTCCAGAGGTCTGACGTGAAGGTGGAGGGGTTATTGTAGTAAATCCATGAAGATTATGGAGGTTGGTTGTGGTTGTGGTTGGTTTTCGCGGAGAAGAGTGGCCCAAAGCGGAAAGGAGGGAGTTGCGCCGCAAAACTCACCTCGCGCCCTCCGCTTCTTCTCTCAACACCGCTCTCTTCGCCCTCATCCACCCCCGCCATCGCCCCGTGACATACCAAGAGTCGCTGGGATATTTAACCACGAGTCCAATTCTCACCTTCACACCCATTCCTCTCTCCGCCTCCTCTCTCCGCCGCGATGGGCAAGCTCACCAGCACGATCGGCATCCCGATCAAGCTCCTCAACGAAGCGCAGGTCCGTGGTCATCCAGTTCACCTTTCCCAATTGCCCGACAAATCTGAAAGAAGCGGAAGATAAAGAATAGAGCTCTTCCGCTTCCTTGGGAGCTCCCATTAGCTTGTGATTACAGACCGCTAACTTGACCATAGGGCCATGTCGTTACCCTCGAAATCACATCGGGAGTCGTTTACCGGGGGAAGCTTTTGGAAGGTGCGTAGAGCAGCGTCTCTCGGCTCAATGAACTTGCAATTGGAATCTGCGACGATTTTGGAACCCTGCCTGTCTGGCAATTGCAATAGTTCCGCCCACAGCCACAGCTCGAACCTCTGCTAACAGTTTTCACTCGCAGCCGAGGACAACATGAACGTCCAACTGAAGGATATCACCGTTACTGCCCGCGACGGCCGCGTCTCGCATCTCGATCAGGTCTATATCCGGGGAAGCCATGTGCGATTCTTCATCGTACCGGACATGCTGAGGTACGTCAAGCGATAGTAGCAGCTAGTAACTAGCAGGCTGTCGGCAGCTGAGAATGCTGTCCGTTCTTCTGGAATCAAATTTGTTAACGAAATATTCTTGCAGGAACGCTCCCATGTTCCGCTCACGAGGCGTGCGTGGTCGCGGCGTGGGTTTGGCCCGTGGTAAGGCCACCGTGCAGCGTGCGCGTGGCCAGCAGCGGAGGGGTTAAATGGGGTATGCGGACGAAGACGAAGCGAAGCACCGAGACCTGGCAGGATTACCGTGGTTGGCGTTTGTCATTTTTTTTTACTTGTTTTTGATTTAGGGGAAAATTCTCAGGCTTCTTCTTGCTGGGGTTGGGAGTCATTCGTCTGACTTGTATTTTCGCTCACGAATGAATACCCGGTTGCCGCTGTCCAGTCGAGGATGCGTAGATTTGTTTCATGGCACTGCTATTCAAGAACCAGCAAGGGTCCTGTATTGCAATCTTCAATGATTGATCATTCTCTGCGAGCCTTGTTTGATAGCCTACGATGGCCTTGCGCTGCACAATGATGAATACAACAAAGCAGAAATGGAGAATTAAAATAATATAATAAAACATAAATTTCCTACATTTATCTCGAACTTCGATTTAATCATCAATCTGAGTATCCAATGCCCTAGAGAGACAGAGCTAGCCAATTTTATACTCGACTTGCCCCTCAGCAGAATCTCCGCAACTTTTCTCAATGCGGGGACACCTTCGATCTTCCAACCTCCCACAACTTCAGCCAAGCGCACCCTCACCAACCTTGGGCGAAACAATCATCCACGAATAAACAGCCAGCTGCAGCAATATCAGAACTCACAATGCCCGCATCAACCTCCGCCCCATCCAAACCACCCGCAAAGAACGTTCCCAACCCACGCCGTCTGCTAATCCTCACCCCGCCAACACAATCACCCTCGATCATTCCCCCTCTACTACACACTCTAAGCGGTGTCCCCGTAGCAGACTTCCCAAATACACAGCCAGTCCCCGACCCATCAAAAGACAAACAGCAAGAGACGCAATCTCAATCAAAAACGCAGCCCGAGCAGCCCGAGACGGAGACGGCTTCAGAACCAACATCTCCCCAACCCTCCTTCGCAGGCTACACAACCCACAGCCCCCTCCGTCTAAGCACAAAATACTACACAGCCGAAGTACCAATCTGGGTCGACGAAGTTCCCCTCCTCCCCGCGCCAAAGACCACCTCCACCTCCACCTCCACCCCCGACTCGAGTTCCGGCTCCGCAATATGGAAAAACGACTTCCTCAGCGAGGAGGCGCAAATCGTCCGTGAAGCCGTCGGCGCTCTAGTCGTCGCTGTGCGGGCCCCCGTTCCGCGCAAAGATGCAAGTGCAGACGTGGATGTCGCTCAGTCTGAAGATTTCCTTGCGCTGAGCGCGCTGATGTGTGATATTGGGGCTGTGAAGAGCTGTATTGATGAGGAGCGGGGTGGGATGGATGTTCCTGGTGTATTTCTGCTTGTTGGGGCTGGTGGGAAGTCGAGTCCTGTGTCTGCTTCTGCGTCTGCGCAGGACCCTGAAGATGATGTGGGGGATGAGCTTGGGGGGAGATATACCGCTCTCAGTGGGGTGGTGGGAAGATCGACTTTTTGATATGGGGTTGTTTGGGTGGGAGGTTGTTGAGTGGGATCCGCTTGGGGAGGAGAAAGAGAAGACGAGGAATAAGTTTGGTGGTATGTTGCTCTTCTCTGCTTTGCTATACTTTCTAAGGGCTATGCTGATATGTTTTAGAATACGAGGGCATGCCTAGGGTTAAGGAGGTTCTTGAAACGCATGATTGGAGTGCTGCGGGAGAGGATGGTCTTGATGAGGACCTTGAGGCAGAATTGCTTGGATTCGATAAGGAGGGTGGTAGTGGGTTTGGAATGGAGGTGAATGAGTTGGAGCGTGAAATGTTTGGTCTGCGGATGGCGATTGAACGGGGTGGTGGTGATGGGGAGAGTGACGGTGAGGAGGAAGAGGATAAAGTTGAGTCGATGGAGTCATTGATCATGCGCATGCAATCTCTACGAGGTACGTTGTTACTCTGGCGGTTTTGGCGCGTTGCTAATTGCTTGGTTAGATATGGGCGCTGAATTGCCAGACAGTGAGCGAAGGAAGTTTGCTGCGAAGGCGGTGCAGGATATAATGCGTGAGTTGTGAAAGTTCCATAGATATCGACAGATACTGTATACCCTTCAATCCATTCCGAGTCGAACAAGCTGGTCTATAGAACACTAGTATTATAACTTATAGAATGTTATCGAACTTTTAGCCCGACTTCTCGGGCATCTATTATAGAACAATTGATATCCAGAAATATCAAGAGATCCAGCTGGTTCTCTCTAATAATAGAACCTGCAACTCCATGCCGCAGCATCTAATCAGCACGCTTCTTGCCCCGAAGGACCTTGCGGCGCTGCGCGATCATGTGGGTGTAAAGAACGTAAGAGCCTAGTTGAATCATCCATAAGCAAAATCCAACCACAATGGCACAAAAAATGCATCAAAGACTTACCAGGCACATAGACAGCCAACACAGCAATTAGGAACCACTTGAGAAGTGGCTCAATCTCACCCGCGGGGCCAAGCGCAAGATAAACAAGCGCACACTCGCTGGAAATACCAACGGGGTACAGGACATAGAAGGTATTGTACCGCAGCCAAGTCCACCAGGCGGGGACTTGGTTTCCAGAGAGGGTAATAGCAAAGAAACCGTAGCGAATAATCTCAGTAATACCCCAAGCCGTCACACAGCCCAGATAAGCGTAATCACCCAGCTGCGTCTTCTCGGCGCCAACAATGTCACCACCGAAGACCGCCATGATTCCCCAGACCAGCAGAAGTCGTGAGGCAACCTGCATCGCGGTCGTGAGGAAGGGTGCGCGCACGAGGCCGATGATGCTGTGTACGACTTCGAGGATGGCGAGCGATTGCGTCGCGATTAGGAGGGGATTGGCGGTTTCCTGGAAGATGGTGTTGATGGAATCATTTCGCAGGGCGGCCGGAATGAGGCTTGCGGTATAGATCACGCAAGTGGCCCAGGTAACGAGGTTGGTTGTGTTATAGAGGAAGAGGTATCCACGGGTGAGGCCCGAAGGCGAGGAAGAGCGAGGCTGTTTGGATGCCATTTTGATTGATGGCGGTATCGTGACTATTGGAGATGAATTGATTGAATTGAGTCAAGGACTCGGAAGGGGAGGAATGATTCCTCGTTGACGAGGTTGTTAGCGATGGGCGTTGGGAAAGGAGTCTTACAGGTGAAGCTCAACAAAATGGACCTCGGATGATGACATAAGCCTTCCAGAAGGGTGGTCCAAGTTGCCCAGGGATTAATGCCTGACAACAACGAGTGGGGGATGTCCGGGTGTCCGGGGTCAATGAGGCTGTTGCTTCAATAGACTGGACACTTCTTTTTTTCTCTTGTTTGCTTTGTTACCCTAGTCCCCTTTGTCTTGATCGCCCCTCGACGCCTGCATTGAACAGGTATTTGCTCCAATACTAGCGTGCTTCCCTCTAGTCATGTGCATCTATCGGTTTGACTACGGTCTAGATGATATCTTGCGTCGATGATTTGTCTGGTTATCGAGGCTGGGGGCCAAACGGATGGTTTCCACGCCGGGCAGTTCTAGTATGCCGCTTTGCCTATGCGGGCTTGGCCGTGTTCCACAGCCTGTCACCCTCGTATCTGGCAACGACGCTGGCACCGGCACTAGTCCTGGCGCTAGTCATGGCACATCCGACGACCTAATTTGGGAGGTGATCGAGTCGAGTGGAAGTTTGCAGATACGACCAGCTGGCCGATCCGGACGATGATGGGTGGACGATCGGTTCGTTGATATGTGCCGAAGCTGTCGGCGATGAAATGCGTGTGTGACCGATTCGATTGGCAATTTTCTCCAGTCCGACTCGGAGGTTGCACGATGCAGCCTGACATCATGCAGGAGGGACTGCGGAAATTTTATGCTAGGTGTATGGGTGTACTCGAGATAGCATGTCGTGCTCTATCAGTTATCCATAGTCAAGGCCAACCTAGGATCCATGGATGTCATAGATTATACTACATACCTAGGTAGTATCGAATAGCTAGACTATGTGTACATAATAGAATCACTATACTCTGTACACATACTCCGCACACTACTATGAAGTACACAGAGTACACAGAGTACGGAGTATGCACATACACTACACTGCACTATAGTAAGATTTATGGTTATGACATCAGAGGCTGATCCCCGCTATGATGTCATGGACTCATGGCGTCGGCATCCATCGTTGATTGGTGGAAGCCTGCCTGGACGACCACAAATTGTTGAATTCGCCAAAATGTAATGGCTTGCCTTGTCCGTATATAACAACTCTTGGTGCAGGTTTTCTGACTCCATATTATATACTGTCAGTCCTGGCTGCTCGGTGTCATCTGATTGTCCTGTTCTGGTGCAATCTAGGCCAGTCAGACCAGCTCTCCTCCAAAGCAAAAAGAAAGAAAACAAAGCAACACAATCGGTCCATGCCCGACCTCGTCATCGGTGACAACATCCTGTCTTAGCCCGACCCCTCTTCTCTTCCCTGCTCTGCTTGCGGGCCAGCCAAACCATCAAACCAGCTCACGGGCTAATTAACTAGCAAACCAGCTAACCATCAAGCCAGCTACCGAACCAGCCAGCGAGCGGGCTCTGGCCCTGCCAATGTCGACGGGATGGTCCCAGAAGGCCCAGACCGTGCCCGCTTGCGGTCCAAGGATCGGGTCCTCGTCTCCTTGCTCTTTCGTCCTGAACTCGATGGGATTTGCTGTTGGTTACTAGCTCTTATTCTAGTACCCAGGTGACCTGTTGCTGCTGCTGGGTTGTCTGTGAACACCATAACACCTCAGTTGCCTCGCTTCCGCTCCCTCGCCTTTTTTCTACTCTATCCTGTCATTGTGCTACCTGTGGTACTGCTACTACCCCTGGTTACATTTCGATTGCGCTGGAAGACCGGCACCCGATGGTGCATGAAAGATAGATGAGATATGATGTCGCGTCGCGGCTGTTCCGCTGCGGCTAGTCTCCCCTCTTTCTTTTCTCTCGCTGTCGATGTCTTATATTTTTACTATAATAATTTTCTATTTATTTTTTAGATTGATGTCTCTGGTAGCCCCTCTTTTATCCACTGCTACATTGGTTCCCCTACCGAATAGGGTTGTGTGGGAGCCGATAGGGCCTGACCGATGACCTCACATTGTTCGGGACGGAGTGGAGCGACGCCCGGGGGGAATGGATTTTTCATCCTCTCGTTTCTTTTTTTAACCCATTATTTTGGGGACTCGCGCACTTTCCGCTGAAGGGAACTAACCACATCTTCACTGGTTTGCTTTTCAGGCTAATCTATTCTCATTTACGATGATAATGGTGTTTTTAGATCACCCCATCATACCGTGGAGATGATCTGGTATAGGAAGGTCGAAAGGACAGCCCAACTCACACTAGGGTCGGGAAAAGGGGAATGAGATCCCCCTTCCCCCCGAAGAATACACCGTATGGGAACTATTCCGTACGGGTATTCTGTGTTGAAAGAAAGATCAAATGGAATGCAGGGAATGGAAGGGAGCAGAAGTCGTGGAGGAACACGAACGACATCAAACCTCCCCACCAAGCTGGTATACAGAAAAAAAATAAAAAATTAAAGAACTCCGACTGACATATGATCCGTAACAAGTTATGATCCGTAGCAAGAATTGATCCTATAGGATAACTTGAAGTAAAGGGTAGAAAATTCAGATCCCGTATAATTATAACAAGAAATCCATAGGTAAAATATAATTATAATCCGGCAGTCAAAAGTGGTAGGCTTACCCACACCGTTCTCCGCCCCTTACCCTTTCCACCTTCCACACTTCCACTTCTTCCACTTCTTCTTCTCCCTCTTCTCCTCTGACTCTTTTTCTTTCTTCTCTTCCCCCCTTCCACGTCGATCACTCATCGCAAAATAATAAAATCACAAAAAAAGGTGAATCCTCCGACCTACCCAGCCCCCGCAATCTGTCATCCTATCCAATCCAATCCAACCTCTCAGCCTTCTGCCCCCCCTCTCCAACGGACTTCAATTTCTGCCCCTCCCCCTCCAATCCCCTCGGCCACGCGATACCCGATTGATCTACCTATTGCATACCTACTTTGTCTACTACACTCGCTTGACCCCTCGATCACTTGCTCCTCCCTCTTGCTTCTTTTCTGGCTTGCTACTGTTGGCGCACCTGGCTACGATACACCCTTCCCCACCGTTGTGCTGCCGCCGCCGCCACTCTATATGCGAATAGTTGATATCCCTGCCACCAGCGGTTTCGCCTAGTAAGCCGCCAGTTCGTGATTGATGTGATTGATCGCTGCCTCGGTTGCTCTCACTGCAGCGCCACTTGCCCTGCCGAGTTCCAGACAGATCTATTCACTCCGTCTACTCCTTCACTGCCACTGCCCTGCCACTGCCCTGCCGCTAGCCTGTCCCCTTCTACCTCTACCTCTACCTCTACCTCTGACCCCCCCCCCCCCCCCAAAACACTCCTCTCTGTAATTCACCAACCTTGTAACTTGCTTGCAACTCAGTTCAAATCGGACTGGTTCGACTTGACTGCAAGCGTATGATTACTGGGTTTTAGGCTGTGGGTTGCCTTTGATTCATACATACCACCTGAACACACCTGATGACCCATCACATCCCTGCTCCTACTTGCCACCTGCCCCTGCCATTCACTGTCTCTACTGCCTGCATTACTCTGCACCGCTTTGTCGCGTCGCCAAAAATAACCAACGCTAACCCATTTATCGCAGATCTCGACTGGCCTCATTCAGATCGAGCCGGCTTGATCCTTACTACTCTTTGACGATCCGATCCTACATCCACTAGGTGCATTTATCCCACCTACCCACCTGGACCTCCTCAGTACACGACGAGATGGCACCAACAGACCCCAGGAAGGCAGATGAGCCCGTGCGTCCATCAACACCCCCGGCCTGCCAAGATGGACGTCGCTAACGCATGGTAGAAGACGGGCCCGCCCAAGCTCTCCGATGTCAAGGAGCTGATCGATGAGAGCACCTTTGAGCAGATCCTGGAGATGGACGATGATGACGACCGCGATTTCAGCAAGGGTATCGTCTACGGATTTTTTGATCAGGCACATGCTACTTTCGAGAAAATAGAGAAGGCAATGTAAGCACCCACCTTTCTTCCCGACCCGCCACAACACCTCTATCACAGGCTTGACTGGGGCTCATATGATTTGCACGGTACTAATATCTTGCAGTGCGGATAAGGAGCTGGAGGAATTGTCACAGCTGGGCCATTTCTTGAAGGGATCCTCCGCCACACTGGGTCTCACGAACGTTAAGGACGGGTGCGAGAAGATCCAGCACTTCGGCGCCGGTAAGGATGAAGCTGGCACCACCGATGAGCCCGACGAGAATGTTTCGTTGAAAAACATCGACAACACCCTCCAAGAGGTCAAGGTCGAGTTCGTCAAGGTTGAGCGGTTCTTGCGCCGTTTCTATGGCGAGGAACTAAAGGACGAGCCCGAGGTGAAGGAAGAAAAGAAGGAGGAGAAGAAGGAGGAGAAGAAGGAGAAGAAGGAGCAGGAGGAGGCCAAGGAAGAAAAGAAGGAGAAGAAGAACGAGACCCCCAAGAAGGAGGACTCAAAGAAATAGGCGTTTCCAGACCCGGCTCAGCCCAAACACAATGATAGCTTTCTCGTGGCTTGATTCGATTCAATTCGGACCGGATCTGGATAAGGCAGGCGACACATTCCAAGCTCCGTCACATGTTCTTCTTTTTTGCTCCCTCTCCCTCTCTCGCTTGTTTCGACTCTCGCCAACCTCTTCTTCACCTTTTCTTTTTTTATCCTTTTTAGCGACGGATGGAGCATTGCAATGGCCTTTCTTTATTCTCATCTTATCCACACACATACTCACACACATCTTTTTCTTCCACGATTTCTTCTTTTCTTCTTCATCCAGTTCCTTTCCCCATCTATCCATCGTCTCGATCTCCGCAGTACATACAAATCTACCCCCAACATCCCGGCCACATACACCGATGAATAGACCAGCCCAAGATCCCCACTCCTGTCTTGACTGGTCTCAGATTCGATCGACAGTCACAATACCCAGTTGGAGAATAACGGAACCAGAGCTTCGTCTGCATCTTATGATATCCACTCAGATTCAATTTTATCTTGTAGCTGTAAAAAAAAAACCGGATAGTCGAGCGTGTAGCGGGACGACCACTGCGTAATACAATACTAGAGTATCTAGTACGTCCACGAGGACCCCATAAGCTTGAGGGGACGGAGGGGCGCGAAGGCGTAGAATAGCTGGTTTAAAGATACTAGTAACGACAATATGAAACCACAATTCAAGTGCCACTCCGAACTGCATATTATCATGTATCAGACTTCGATCCACATTGCCCTCGATTGGTTCCAAGCTCCCGCCACATCGTGGCTCGCTCGCACCGGGCCGCAGTGTGGATCAACGCTTGAATCGTGGCGTGTTCGATGGAGCATGGGGGATGAATCAGATCGAGGGGGTACATAATATGTGCATACTAGTAGTATGTATACTTGGGTTGGATTCAGTAGACTTGAAATTGGTAGCGCTTTTACCTGTTATCCGCGTCCAGGCCAGACTTTGAGTTTTTCCGGTGATGCTATCAACGCGGGCATCTTTGCCAGGGCCAGTAGTGTTATTTTACAGGATGGATTTTGGTCGGCGTGGAAGTTGGAGCATGACTGCCTTGACAAGAAAAATCTTGATAACAGGAGTACTATGGAATGATCAAGTGCATGCTGTGTGTGTCGCTGCTGCGCTTGTGTGGCAGACAGTACGAAGCATGCACGTGTTTAGTATTTTCTCATGCGCCGACTCGAGTATTTGGCGCTTTTAGTACTCTGTTCTAGCATCGTCTGGTTAACTCTGGAACTTCCGGTCGTGGAACTCTATTCTTGATGAATTGAAAACTAGCTATTCCCGTACTGCCTTGAATAAGAGATAAAGTTTCAATATGACTGACTTCCTCCGAAATAAGAGTTGATAGACATATCGCTCTGGTCTCGTACATACCCCATACCCGGCACTTGCACAGAGTTTCTATAAAGTCAAAAAATAGACTTCCAATGGCACTTAATAGACTGGGCGCACGCCCGTGGCGCTACTAGCGAATATAAGAAACTATTCATGGCCAAGCTAAAGATGGCTTGAAGGAAGACTATTTGATCAAAGCGGGGATAAAACAGATATCCATTAGAAATGAATAGAACCACAAGCTACATCGTGAAGGATCCATTGCCCTGCACTATTGACACTACTGCAAAGCACAGAGCAAATATTATACACTGTACGCCTCACTTCGCCCCAGTTTGGTGGTAATTTCTTGCGGGCAAAATCCTCTTACGGCCGCTCGGACTGGGCCGCAATTACCACGACCCACCGGGCTTACAAGGCTCTCTTTGACGTTCGCTAAGTGAAGGGCCAAGTGGGTACAAACTGAAATTTGAGAACACGGTTGCATAGTGTTCCAGAAGCGCGACCCACGCTCGTTTAGCTTAACGACCGCTTGGGCCTCCCGGGTGTCTGCGTGGCATTTCCGGCGGACCCATTGCGCCAATCGTCAGTGCGGACGATGGTGGCGTGGAGGTCGATCGGCGGAATCCGTTGTTTGAAGATGAGAAATTGCCTAATTCGAACAGTGTTCGGACCCCGAAGGATCATCTGTTTTGTCGGATTAATCCAGAGCATTTGACATTACAATTCCCCCACCGGTATGGAGTATTGCGTGGCGTTCGGCAACCAAATACGCGGTAAGCTAATATCGCCAAACAGGGGGGGGGGGCTGTTTAGATCGGACTTGCCAGGCTGGATCGAAGGAATGAGTGTAGGGAATAAGTTCGTTTCAGTTATGATTATTTGGCGCTATGGTATTTACATTGTGTCCAAGCAGCGATTAATTTGGAGACTCCGATCTGGATTGATCACCTTTCCCCTATTCCTTTTCCCCCCTGGATTTCGTTATTCCCGGTGAATTTGGGCGTCGCTGCGTGAGTCACTGCGTGATGATCCCGGTTCCATTCGCTCTTCCGTCACTTGCCATTGAACCTCTTTGATAATGTGGGACTGGCTGTGTGTGCTTTCGGCATTTTCTGCTAAAGCGATATCATCTTGTAGACGGCTGAGTCCCTGCTTGCGACGGCTGCGCGAGAGGCCCGTGGTGCCGGAACTGTATTCGCGGAAATAGCGTCGGCCGCTTTCGCCGATCCAGGTGGGTGAGTAGCGGCGCATGAATTGGCGAAGGAAAGGTAGACAGGGGCAGATGATAATGAGGTTGGCTTCGACGTAGCTGTAAAAGTGACGTTGTTAGTTCCGGGAATAATCCACATGGGCAGAGTATTACTTACATCCAGAGCTGGGATGGGGCTAACTGGTATGTCAAGTCGGTTGTCTTTAGATAGGCGATTAAGGTCGTGAGTCGTAGAATACTTGTAATGAGCGTGCTATTCGAGAGTCAGTTAGATATCTTGATCCGAGTCATGTATGATGAAACAATCCGTCCAAGAGGTGGGAAAGATACTCACGCGCAACCGACGATGAACATTATCAGCAGTCCCACTTTTTGAATGCGTGGCATCTGCAGGCCAAGTACTAGAGGGAAAGGAAACACCAGGAGAGCGATATCGGTGACGATGTTTGTGACTGCTGTTGCGATATACAAGCCATTGCGATTGACGCAATAACCAGTCGTGATGGCAGCGTTCCATCCTCTTTCAATAGGATTGCATGCAAAGATCAAAGCAAAGACGATGGCAATACTGTATCCGCAAACGATAGCCGAAATTATATGGAGCGACCACACGTAGAGAGGTTGTTTATTCACGATGCGGTGGTAAAGAATGATCAGGGCGACCTTGGCGAATGCGAGAGCTGGGACGTAGATAACAGCGGCGGCGAGAATGACCTTGCGTCGGGAGTGTTAGTTGGCTTACTTGTACCTCAAGTGATTCATCTCTTGAGTAGGTATATACCTTTTGGAAGACGGTGAACATCTCTGGAGTCACATTCCACATATGGATTCCGGTTCCACCGAAGCGATAGCCATCTGCGAAATCATGTTAGAAACCTTGTTTCGGGTGGTGATGAGAAAAGGTATCACATACGTAGACATACAACTTGCGTTCCCAAGGAAAATATCTGTCAAGATGTTAGGGCTTTTCAAATTGTCATTTCGGCTTTTCGTACCCAGGCTAATATCATTGATACTATTTAAAGAGTTAGCAAAACACGGAGGCAATTGATTGAAAGAGGTATCGACATACCATCATCCCATCCAAATTTTGATAGCAGACACGCTCGAGTGTAAATTCGCATAGCCAAAAAGAGTGTGCTTAAAGTCAAACCAATGCCAACAATGACCAAATCTGTCTTCAGTTCCCATGGATTGGAATAGTCGAAATCAGGCGTCACCCCAGCGGGGGGAGGAATTACGCCGACTTTCTCCCCCATGTCGAGTGCTGTTAAATGTAAAAAAATGAAATAAAAAGAGTGTATAGGTTGGTATCAGTAGATAGCGCGAGAGTGAAGATGTACACCTCAAGAGATTGGCGTAGAATATACTTAAGGTTGAAGATTTAGGGCTGCTGTTATGAATGTCATATGGACCGACATTTGCGGACCGTTCCTGCGTGCTTCCAAGGTTCAGCGATGTGGAGGTTCAGCAGAGTTTGACGCCATGGCCCACGTTCATGCTAGTTGGCTGCTGGGGGCCGGGGGATCTAGGCTATGCGTCTCTAGTGCATCCTTCGGGTATAATCAGTGGATTGTCCTACGGCGGAGTTCCGAAGAAAGAAATCGCCGTGAGACAGCTGCTACGGGATTGAAGATTGGGATCATCGTTGTGCTAGGCAATGTCAACAGAGTCTTGCATACTCGGTAATGTGTCTGCTAATGGAGTACGGAGTAGACATGGTGCATATGTCCGAGCGCAGTGATTAATACGGAGTATGGGGTGACGATGTGGGTTCATAGTGGATTTTCTCGCAGAGCATTGGTTGCGTATAATCAATTGCCACTGTATTGAATACTGATTGTACGCTTACGGAGTACAATCCATTGTACTCGAAAAATAACCGGGGGCTCTCCATGTTTTCTGGGGGCTGAAAGTCTAGTCTCCGCAATTGTTGACATACCGGCAACCCACCCCCTAGCAAGGAAGGGGACAGAGAATCCCATGCTCAAACCCGGCTAACTGGGCCGCACATGGCTTATTTTTGAGTTAGAATATTGAGAAACAGGACTCGAGTCATGATCCCTGTCACTGCATGGCTCAAACTTTGGAACCATGGGGAGAATAAGAACAAAACGGCATTTCGACCCGCGGTGGGTCTGAAGGATTCGCGCCAGCGGATCTACATCTCGTTAAGGAGGCCTGGACATCCCTCACTTCCATGCCCGGTCCATCTGCTGCATTAGTTCGTACTAGCTAGAAAGAGCATGTGTGCGAGCTCGGAATATCCGCACACTGCGTAAATAAGTACATGCCGAAAAGCTAATCCTTCTCATCCCTGCAACGTAATACGAGGTTGGACAACAGGTCGTGATGCTGTCTCTCAACACCCTCAAGATCGGTGCTTTCCTCGGTTTTGCTGCAATTGCCCCCACAATTGCAGCATCCGAGAGCTCCACGTGCCGTTGCCTCCCCGGAGATGACTGCTGGCCTTCCGTTTCGACCTGGCAAGCTTTCAACCAGTCTGTTGACGGACGTCTTGTCGCAACCGTCCCTCTCGCAACACCCTGCCATGTCCCCTCATACGATGAGAAGAAGTGTGCGGTCTTGAAGGAGGGCTGGCTTCTACCTGAGGAGCAGTAAGTTCTTGGAGTCATGCATGTCGTGCGGGGGGGCATAAACTGATTGATCCTTCAGCTATCAATCCTCTTCGTCTTTCATGGCTCCTTTCTTCACCAATGGAACATGCGACCCATATCACCCCGTCTCCAAGCCATGCACCCTTGGAAATTTCGTTAAATATGCAGTCAATGTCTCCTCGCCCGTCCATGTAGCCAAGACCCTGAAGTTCGCTACCAAACACAACATTCGCTTTATCATCCGCAACACCGGTCATGAGTAAGCCGCCATTCATGCCAATACTTTTGATTCAACCATGACTGACTTTTCTCAGCTACAACGGAAAGTCCACTGGCGCTGGTGCTCTTTCGGTCTGGACACACCACCTTAAGGGCATTGAGTTCAAGAACTGGAAGGACGAGCATTATACCGGAAAGGCTGCCAAACTCGGTGCCGGTGTTCAGGGAATCGAGGCCTATGAGGCCGCCCAGAAGCTCGGCCTGCGCATGGTCGGTGGAGAGTGCCCCACTGTCGGTATCTCAGGCGGATACAGTCAGGGAGGAGGCCACTCGTCTCTTGCCTCGAAGTACGGACTTGGTGCGGACCAGGTCCTCGAATGGGAGGTTATCGACGGTAATGGTCGATTCCTCACCGCAAACCGTGCCCAGAACAGTGACATTTACTGGGCTCTGACTGGTGGAGGTGGTGGTACGTACGGTGTTGTCTGGTCCATGACTTCCAAGGCTCATCAGGACAGCCATGTGTCTGGCTTGAACCTCACTTTCACCACCGACGGTATCTCCGACGAGACCTTCTATAAGGCTATTGAGCTTTACAACACCCACCTGCCTTCCTACGTGGACCGTGGTATTATGAGTCTGAACTTCCTTACCAACGCTTCTTTCTCTCTTTCCCCCATGACCGCTCCCAATATCACTCTAAAGGAGCTCAAGAGTCTTACCCAGCCTTTCCGCGACGGACTCAAGAAGCTTGGCATCAAATATGAGATGCAAGCCGAGGAATTCAGCACCTACCTTGATCAATTCAACGCCCAGACCCCGCTTGTTGAGATTGGGGTCGCCCAGTATGGTAGCTGGCTTCTTCCCCGCTCGATTGTTGAAAACCCCAAGTCCCGAAACGAATTGACTAAGGCGGCTCGCAATGTGCTTTCTTACGGCGCCACTTTCACTACTGTCGGTATCAAGGTCAACAAGGAGGTGACTGGTGACGTTTACAACGCTGTGAACCCGGCCTGGCGCGGCGCGATTGCCCATGTTCTCATGTCTACTCCCTGGGAGTTCAACAAGCCAGAGATGATGCGCGAGAAGCGGAAATTGATGACCGACGTTTTAGTTCCCAGCTTGAGCAACCTGTCCCCTGAGTCGGGAGCCTATCTCAATGAGGTATGCTATAGAATTTCTTATAAGAAAGTTTTATTACATATGCTAACCAACGATCAATTCTAGGCCGACTTCGACCAGCCTGACTTCAAGAAGGCTTTCTATGGCAAGAACTATGACAAGCTGCGTGCTATTAAAGCCAAATACGACCCTAACCACCTCTTCTACGGTCTGACTGCTGTCGGCTCTGATGAGTGGACCGTCTCGGAAGATGGACGCATGTGCCGGGCCTCTCCCAGCAACTAAAGTGCGGTAAATCTCAATTTATAGATATTGTTGCCTCGGGGCTCATCCTTCGCGTCACACTGGTCGCGAATATTCTTTTCTACACTGCGATTGAGCGGCAATCCATGGATCATTTTTAGATGAAGGATTATTAGACTCGGGCTTAGTATACTTCCTTACCATTCTAAGGATAATATAAACAGATAATCACTTTATGATGGTATTCTTGCAAAATACTATTGACTGTGTACCATGAAGCCTTCTGGAACTTGAAGGAAATGTCTAGCTTCCAAAGGTCTCCCTTAATTATCAATAGTACATCTGTTCCTCTCACATTTATTCCGGGCACGGAAACGGATTGGTCTTTTACCTACCTAGGCACTATCAACTTGAAGCTCTAGCTGATAAACCCCGATGGGATATGGGAATATACTACTAGTACGGAGTACTACGTTCAATTTGCTATTTGGAAACTATAGCTACTACCTAGGTAGTAGTACCTAGTAGGCCTCCAGCCACCAATGCCAAATTGACAAGTATAGCTTTTAGCTGTCATATCGAAGCACCCCGGTCCCCAAATTACGGAGGGAATTTGACATCCAACCACGCCCGCAGTCGCAGTTGCATGCAGGAATGGGGGTTTTCAACGGGGAAATCGGGAACCTGCATGTTAAGGCTTGGTGTGGTGGAGGGCCGTGCGACATTGATGTTTTCCATCAATCGAGCTTGAGAGGGCTTCGCCAACCCCTTGCTGACTTAACCAATTCCTATTTGTATATTTGAGGTTTGTAGTAGTAAGAGTAGCGATTGTCGTCGTTGGCGATCGCGATTTTGAGATGTAGTTAGTTAGATCCACCCAGTTTGGGGATGGAGATATCGCCGTAAAAAGAGGAAACGGATGCGTGCAGAACTGAAAACGGAGACACACGACGTATCTTTCCCAGGCCTTCTATCGGCCGTGAATGGCGATGGCAAAAGTTCCGATGGGAGTCCTCATTCATCCCTGCGTTACGCTCCCACGATGATTGTACATACCTCCTTCGACTTCCTTTACAACCCACCGACATCCCAGATTTACCTTCTCTGAATTTCATACAGAAAAGCTGAACAACTATTGCATTTTTGCTCTCAAGTTCGGAGACAATTCCCCGGCCCCTTCCCTTATTCTGAGATTCGTCATACTCTAGTGAAGGATACGTGATGGATCGAGTTTTCCTGAGAAATCAAATACGATTTTTATCGATATTCAGCGAATAATTGGGGGGGATACTCGAGTCTACTACTACTTGATTAGTATCTTTTCGTTACCTCATCACCCCAAGTAAACCCAAAACCACCCCCGGCCCCGAACTGTACACTTTACACAGGGGAAGAACTTATATTCCCCATAATGCATGCACTCTATACGGGAGTCAGCACGGATATCTTTCCGGTGAAGATGCAAGTAGGCTGGCCGTTTTTCTCATCGCAAGATTAAAATATTGCGCATGAGCCCGGGAGACGGCCGGGAGCGTCACACGGCATGGCCAACGAGTCTTTTTCTGGCGGAGCCGCGGCCTGTTACAGATAAGACAGCTGGGTTTTTCGATTTTCAGACAGCTACCGGGGCTTCGGAAAGAGTTCAGAAATGAAATAGTGTTTCAGATGATCATTCTTTGGGTTGTTATTCATATTAAAGTACTAATATTGCATCAGAGTATTTTGAGGAAGAGTCTCACAGCTTGGTAGCCTCCTTGAAGTCGTTATTGAATGTTATACATTGATTGTAAACTTGGCCCGAGCCGTCTACGGATACTCACATACTACCTGAAAATTGGCCAACACCCACCTCGTTGAAGCCTTGCTGCATCCCCTGTATCAACTCTACCCGATATTCAAGCCGAGGCCGAACGCCTCGATGCATACACTGCATTTAACTTCTCTCTTCTTTATCTCGGATGGTGGACTCGATATCAGAATGCCCCTCGAGCAGTTGGCCAAACTACGCTCAGTCCCTCGACCCCGATTTCGTGTCTTATGGTGTTTGGATTTGATGCAAGTTGTCCATGTGACATAGAGACAGGGTGTAAAACCGCAACATCTGTCTGTTCGTCACTAAACATACTTCCCGTTTGTCTCGTGGCTTTTGATGCATCGACTGCCTAAGTGAGGAAAGACACGGCCCGTACCTTGGCCGTTCGGAGAGCACTTCTGGAGCGGACTGATCAACCCAGGGAATCGTTTACTTCATGGCCATAATTGCAGTCAGGTATCTCGATTATTAGCCAAGATTGAAGTAGCTATAATGTGAAATTCTGGATGTGTGAACAGGCGTACTACTGTACAACCCCAGTTGCACCAAATGATGCAGGCAGATCTTGTAGACGCATTCAACTACAGCAACCTGGATTATACAAATTGGAATCCCCAGCGGATAAAAGAGAATGAGTAGGATCAGATGTTCAACATAAGGTTTTCTATCCCGTTCGGCATCAACCCCTGGTCCTTGTCTGTGAACATGATCTATTCTCGTCTTACTAGTTCTTGCACATATGAGAGATGTCAAATAACCAGTCAATTAAACTCCCGTGCGCGTGTTTCGGAGACACATGGACCCTAGCTCTGCCCTGCCCTTCCCTGCCAACAAAAACCGTTGGGCAATAGCTACCCGCGTCGCCTCACCCTCGACATCTCACTCGCGGACCCTCTCTGCATGTGCGTCTACACCTCTTCGATCTCACCTACCCACTTGGTTTGCACATTTCCTTCCTGCTTGATTGTCCACCCCTCGTCCGTTCGCTTGCTCTGTCCTATCCCGTCACAAAAGAGACCCGATTGCGTTCGCTCCTCAACGGAAATTTTGTACAGGCTCGGGTGAATTGCCGCTGAGGTAGTTACTTGCTGCTCTTTTTTTTTTTGTTTGAGGTCATCTTCACTTCTGGGACATGTTATAAAGATCCCGGGGATTCAAGAGATCTTTGATTTTCATTTGAAGTTCCAGTCTCACATATTCCCACTTGGCCTCCTCGCCCTTTTCTCTTATCCACGATTCGGACGTTGTTCAGCGCCCATATATCTGGGATTAGGGTACGACGCATAGCATCTTCAACACGCATAAGTCTTAGCCAATACGTACCTGAACGGTCGCTACCTATACAGCCATCATGTCACCTGTCGGCCCTCGAGTCTCCAAGGAAGAATTTATGCTGGCGCTGGGTCTGAACCCACAGGATGCACAACATGAACAGTATTACCGAGCCATGCGAGTAAGTACATTTTCGTCGAACAAAAGACTTTTACCTTTACAAAAATGTTTCCAATCCATGTCTAAGACCTAGCAGGATGAAGCAATCATCGTTTATAATCGTATGCATCAGGATACCTCGCATCTCCTTGATAATGTGCGTGCCGACCCCACCACCCGACCTCCTTTCTTCTGGCACCATATTCGACCAGATAGACAGCGTTGGGCAACAACAGAGGTCTGGCGCAACGCAGCTCCTCTCACACGTCCGCTCTTTGATCGCGGTGGGACGAATGGCGAACATGGCCCGAATTGGGTTTCTGGTTGGTTGCTGTATAGCGTTTTTCGGTCCAGAGATGTTAGAAATAATCGGAACCGGCGAAAGGGGGAGACTAATTCTGGCGCAGGGATTGGTAAGAAATATCGTGGTCCCCGGTTGAGTAATCGAGACAGGGCTTTGAAATTGACGCTAATTATTTGGGGCTGTGAGTAGATCCAAAGAAAGTAAAGCAGGCAGAAGAAACTGCCTCGCCGAAGAAAGGGTACTACGACCCGGTGCGAAATGGGACACTCTAGATTTTAATACTCAATGTTGTCCGAATCTGTTTTGTTTATTCTTGATATTGGCCCGAGATGATCGATGGTTATGACCAGGTATAACAGAAGAATGCAATGCAAGTAATGCATGTGATGGAAAGCCAGTTCTCAGAATGCAGATCTAATAGATTCCAATTTAATCATCATCCTCGTCACGTTTATCATCTTTGTCCCTATTTTTCCCGTCTTTCTCGCCGCGATTCGACCTCAGCACCTCTGTGACCCGCTCATCTTGTTCGTCAGACCGTTCATCCCACTCCGCATCATACTCAGCAGCAATGCTCTTGATCTCTCTTCTGAGCGTCTTGCCCTCGTCAATCAGGGACTCCCAGAGCTGAAGATCGAGGTTATGCTGCTGGTATAGCTTTCGCTGACGCGTACTGACTGTGAAGTCCAGCGCAGATTTGTATGAAATCTCACGGTTGTGATACAAAAACCACAAGTAACCACCCATCAATGTTGACAAACTGACCAAGTAGGTCACAGGCTCCATGGTGTCCCATCCTAGATCCGTCTCGAAAGTCAATTTGTAGACACTATACCACCAGACCGAGAGGATTCCAAAGCCACCGATGGCAACTCTTTGGGCCCCACGATGCGCAAGCTCGTCGCATTTGGTCTTGATTTCGGCAATACTTTGGATCCGGCGTGCAAGCTTACGCATTCGCAGTCGAAGAAAGTACGTGCGCTCATTGAATGATGGCACCGTTACTCGGATCTGACCAAGGCCCGCTGGTGCCCCTTCGATGGTAACGATGAACTCGCCCGCCCGCGCAGCGTCACGAATGAAGTCCCCAACCTCCGTCGCTTGCGACCATCGAACGAACCGCTCTGGCTCACCACATAGCGGGTCCAAGCTGCTGTCTGTCTTGCGTGGGTAGCTGTAGATCTCGGCATCTTCCTCTCGGGAGCGTCGGCGTTGGACGGGGGTGTCATTGCTGTGTTCCTTTTCCACTGCAACACGCCGATTCTCGTCGGTATCAAGATCATCGATCCTCTTTCTTGGTTTAATCGCGTTATCTTCGTGTTGGAGAGCAATGAAGGATATGGCTGGTGGGCGAAGCTTTTCGAGCTTTCCCTCGATGGGAGGGACTTCGGACTGAATCAGTCGTTCGAGGTATGACAGCGGTTGCTGGGGATGAACAAGTATAGCTATTGGTTCGATTCCTGGTGGCTTTTTAGAATTTTGAATTAACACGCTGTTTATGGATGCCAACGATACCTTTATCACCATTGTGGCTGTCGACCGTTGTCAAAGGGATGATAAGCTTGAACAATCGGGATGGTGTTGTTAACAATTTCCCTACTCATGTTAGCTATTAACAAGCGGAGATTGTTGAGACTCCATCATCAACTTACCCTTTGTCATATCCTCCGACCATTTCCTCTTCTGGCCGTCCATCGGAGGCCTCTTCCCGTCCTTGTCTAGCACATGCCGTGATGCGCCGGCCTTTCTTTCACTATGCTTCTCCTCCAAGGATTCTAATAACTCCTCCGTTCGTTCATTGTCACCGATCTTTTCCACATAATTTGCCTTTTTAAAGTACCGAGCTTGTTGACACCCAGCGAGTAGAGAAACACTCAATCCAGCTTGATCCGATCGGAGTTGTGTTGAGAGGGTATCACCAGTGGGCCTCTTGGGGAGACTATGTAACCGACTGAGTAACGTTCTCTGGTAGCCCCCGTGGGGGTGAAAAAGCCCAGTTGAACTGGGCAAAGGTCGTGCTGCTATGCTTCGCCATGATAGTGAGCCTCGTGTCGCCGACAAAAGGGACACACAGCCCCGTGTTGGTGGACGCATAACAAAGCTTTATGTCACAGAGGTGAAAAGGGGGGGGGCCTTTTGTTGGTATGGTTTCTATGGATGTTGGTGTTGGTTTTTGGTTGTAGGAAGAGGGCATTCTCGGGGAAGCAGGCGGTGTTGGGGCGCAATCAGCTCATGACGCAGGTGTCAGGGGAAATTGTGGGGGTGAAGAGGAGTTGGAGCGATACCATGACCAAGCATAAGAGTGCTGGGCATTGACATGATCAAATCCAAGCTTTCCTGGGCAATTGATCCAGGCCCAACTGGAGCTGGAACTGGAACTGGAACTTGGTCATGCTGGGATTCTGACCTGACGTCAGTGTGGCGCTGCAGGGCGGTGAGGTCCCAGGTGGCGGTGAGTGGCTTTGCCTGCGCAAATTCATATGTATACCCAAAGAAGCTCTTTGCTGACATATCTTGAAACTCAGGTCTATGGATTATATCGACATGATCAGGTTATCCACGGATTGAACAGGGCTCATTAATTCTATCTTCCAATCTAAGCATCGATCTCACCAAATACCGAGCTCTGCCTTGGAAAAGCCCTCATGCATGAATCTGCAGAGTCTAGATATCTATTTAAAAAGTACATACTCCGCAGGTCACTATCCTGTTTTAAAATACCATTTCGCATAAAGCAAGGGAGATAATATAGAACCTATATCCGAACCCAATGCCTCGTCGTTGAGATAGTACCAGTGGGCTCGACTTGTTAGTATCCGTACATGCCCCACGTATGATGATCTGTGGCTTACCATGGGGCGCCTAATCTTCAGGTCGTTGCCTAAGATTAGCCACCGCAGCTATGTATTTATTTAGAGTGCTGTTAGTTTTGGCCCCTGGTTGAACTAGGCTATTGAATTTCCCAAAGCGGCATGCAAGATGCTTACCCAAAATGCTTAATAGAGTGGGGCTCTCAACCATTTGCGCCTCTCTCAGACCGCGATGGTTTCTGAATTCGGATCAGTCTCTCGCTGTGATTGGACCGAACTTCGATATAGTTTATTTCTTTGGGGGCCGCTCGTGTTTGCAAGCATGAAGTTGGCCTTATTTTTTCCTATTCCTTTTCTCGGTCTCACCACCTGGGCAGGTATAAATAGTAATCGAAATGTCTGCCGGTGGCATACAGTTTGGAATTTTAAAACATACTACTATCCACCACATTTATACTACTACGCAACCTCAATACGATTAGTAGATTCATCCTTTACTCCAGGGCTATCTTCAAGTTCAAGTTCAGACCTCGGGAGTCCAACCTCTAAGGAAGGTTCAATTTACAAGGTTTCCATATTCGAGTCTCGAAAAATGACATATTCTACAATTGGGCTTCTCGCCTTTTTGGCCTTGTCAACTTGCGGGTCCGCAGGTCCTCTCCGCAGATCTCACCCCACAGTCGTTCTTGAAGGCTCAAACAATGTCCGATTCGAAGGAACGTCGGCTAATAATGTCGAATCATTCATGAATATTCGCTTTGCTGAAGATACATCGGGTATCAACCGCTTTGCCGCCCCCAACCCTTTCAGTTACCCTTCAGGGTCGGTGGTAAATGCATCCCTCCCAGGTGCCGCATGTCCACAACAGAAGGTCCCAATACCAGGACTGGAAGTATTTGATAATGTCACACGCATATCTGAGGACTGTCTTACATTGCGCATTGATCGACCCGCACGGAAATCCAATAAAAACAAGCTCCCCGTCATGGTTTTCATCTATGGAGGTGGGGATTCCATTGGTCAAATTTACGACACGGCATATGATCCGACTTCTTTGATCAATGGAGCGGGACAGAAAGGATATCCAGTCATCTATGTTGCAATGAATTATCGTGTGGGTATCTTCGGTTTTGCAGCTACCCAGACACTTAACGAGTCCCGTTCCTTAAATGCAGGACTTCGCGATCAGCGACTAGCATTGGAGTGGGTGCAGGAGCATATTGCTTCCTTCGGGGGAGATCCCGACAACGTGACAATATTTGGAGAAAGTGACGGTGCCACTGGCGTTGGTCTCCAGATCACGGCATATGGAGGCAAAGAAAAGGCTCCTTTTCAGCGAGCGATTATGCAGTCCGGGAGTGCTGCGGCGGATCAAGGTACTGCGACCAACAAGACTATTATTCGCACTACAGAGTTCATCAAGAAAGTCAACTGTAGCTCTTCGGTCGGCATTGATGAGCTTGATTGCTTGCGGAAGATTCCTCTCAAAAAGCTACTACCCGCTGCACTCGAGTATGAATTTAGCTTCGAGGGTTCAATGAGCTTCGACATCTTTGTTCCCACCGCACCCTCCGATTTTATCCCTGATAGTCCGTCAAAACTTCTGTCCTCTGGTCGCTTTTCGCATGATATTGACGTTATAACGGGCTGGACTGAAGATGATCAGTCGTTTTTTACACCATCAACCATCAAGACTGAATCGGATGTCATCGAATATTTTTCCTCGTCAATCCCAGATCTATCTGAAGAAAACATGCAACGTGCTCTTGCTCTTTATCCATCTTCGTCGTTCTCAGAAATGCCGAGTGAGAATATCTCGGCCCAATTTTTCCGTGCAAGCCAAATGTCCCGCGACTATGAGTTCACTTGCCCAAGCATTCATTTAGTGCAAATGAATAAAAAGTACTCCAAGTCGGGCACTTCCAACTATCTCTATATCTTGAACGAGACTATGTTCGCCCCGTTATATGAAAAACAGCAGATATCATACCTCGGAGTTTCACATTTCAGTGACATTCCCTATGTTTTCAATCAGGCTAAGACAAGGTATTCATTCCTTGCAACTCCGCTTGATGTTGAGATCTCATCAAATATGAGTGGTAGCTGGGCATCATTTGCTGTCTCCGGAGATCCATCACACAGAAATGGAACGCTATCCGGCTGGTCTGATGCTTTGGCTCATTCTAGCCCTAGCGTGAGAATTATCGGAGGTCCAGATGGAGGCAAGATGGTTACTATCGATGGTAGTGGTGATAACTCTGAGGATCTCGCGAAAAGATGCGCTTTCTGGAGCTCGCCTGAGGTGCTTGCTCAGATTGGAGTATAATGATAAAAGATAGCTATAAAGCTAGACTTTTGGATCTTGAAGGAAAGTTTGAATGTCTTCCAAGGTTCTAGTTAGATTAAATCAAGTTTTGTTTTGCATTTTCGAAATGAAAATAAGAAAATTCTGATAATATTAATTATTTTGAATTTATGGCTATACCAGTATTTCACAGGCTCTATTCCACAGCAATACGGAACCTGAGCAGATCCTTCTCAATAATCTCATCAAACCGTGCCTCTAGCTCAGTAACATCCCATTTGCAGGAAAGGAACCGTCCATTCAAGACCTGTCGTCGTCTCTCGGAATTTGTGGGTGATGAAAGCCAAGTGCAAAAAGCACCGACTAGATCTGGGCTATCAACAAGGACTGCATTATCGATGACCGTCAGCAACAATACCCTAAATTACAAAAACAATGATAAATTCATATCTCACGTTTGAAGAGCCACTCCGGTGCATCCTTCGAAAAGTCACTGCGCATACCACCAGGATGTACACTCGCACAGAAAATTCCTCTGTCAGAATATTGTTCGTTTATCATTTCGATGAGCCGGGCCTGTGCTGCCTTGCTCACACAGTAGTGAGCATGTGCAAGAGGGCCCGACACTGTTGGTGCCGCCATCGAATTGATTGCAATCAAGCTCCTAGCCACAGAATTTGTCGCGACCAGTAGTGGCAGAAGGTGGTGGGCAGCATAAAAAAGACCCATAAGGTTCACATCAAACGCATTCCGGTAGTCGTCCGGAGATTCCTGCACAACGTCTGGAATTATCGGCCCCGAGTAGCCAGAGTTCACAATAACCACGTCCAGGCGCCCGTTGAACTCGGACTTAACTGTATCCACTAGAGATTTGACTTGGCTCTCGGATGTAATATCGCACTCAGAAACAATTACTTTTGCGCTTGGACTTATCGAGCGAGCCTCTTTCGCTGTTTGTTCGAGGGCTGTGCGAGTCCTAGCAGCAAGAATTAGACCTGATGCGCCCGCTCGAGCATAAGCCCGTGCCAGACCTCCTCCAGCTGCACCTCTACCTCCAATGATGCATACGACAAAGGGAGAATGCAAATTTACCACTGCTGGATCAATTGTATCATAAGGCGCGGTGTGAATAGTCGAAACAAAGTCGCGACAATGTTGTGCATTTAATTGACTCTTTGTCAATGACATTTTTTTAAATATTTAATAAATTGTCCTTATGATCGAGTTTTACTACTTTTCAGTAAAATTATATATAATCTGGAATCAGAAATTGACGACTATCTTATAGCTGGGATATTATCTGCGTGCTGATCGCGATCGGATTTAGTCGGACTTAGAACGGAGACTAAGCTGTTGTTCGGGAATAACCACGAATCACCATCAATGATAGGCCATAAAGCTACTCTTGGTCTTTAAGAAATATTTTACAATGACGAGGGTTGGAAATTGCGCAGGTTTTTATTTGAAGTAGGATTCAAACGTGTGTATTTTCTTGTCATTCATCAGCGGTTTTACGAGTATAGCAGATATTCTGATAGTAACTAAATTAAGCAAAGAAATACCATGTTGAGAAATAGGATCACACCTAGAGCTATCTACTTATGTCCGATCTTCATAACCCCCGAAAACCCCGACTCCTTTGCTTTGTATTTCCTATTGGTTGATCAATGGTGCTAGTATGAATACCGTCTGGGTTGTTAAATATTAGGTAGTCCGCTTCCCCGATACATAGATCTCTATTAGCCTCGCTTAGACTCACAAAATAACGTACTGCTGAGTTTCTTGAGAGCTTACGGGGAAAAGGGTTGGATATATTATCTAGGAATAGTCTTTTGTTCTTGTGGTTTTTCTGTGATAGAGGTGGAGTAACTTCGTGGACCCGCAGCCCACTTTTCTCTCCAGCTATCTAGCGATAATTTCGCCCTCAATTTCATCCAAGGCCGGCTGGCCCAATGGCAAGGCGCTTGACTACGAATCAAGAGATTGCAGGTTCGACCCCTGCGTCGGTCAATTTTTTGGTTATTTTTGCTCCATGCAGACGGGGGAATCATGATCATGGTGAATTTCCCCAATTTTCCGATTTTTTGGCAGCACTTATTTATTGTCTTATAATGATTTTATTGAAAAATATTATCCTGGAATCTAAATCGATCCCGTGACTGCAGAATGCACATTTATTAGTATACTGGACACGGAGAGAAAACTGTCTTGCTATCTGTCAGTCGAATTATGATGAATGTTCTAATATATGTGTTCAAGTTTATTTGACGATGTTACTACCTACCTTCAACCAAGTTGGAACCTTGGAAGTAGGTAGTGCTGACAAAAACTCCAGAATGACTCATCGAGCTTCAACTTGCCTGGAATTTCCCAAGAAGTACGACTATTTCCAAGCAATTGTTAATCTATCACGAGTAACGACAGGGCCTGGCTAGGAAGTCTTTTTTTTCAAAAGGTTTCGGTCGTTTAAATCCATACCCGGCTCATCGAGATCGAATTTCGAGATGACCTCGTCTTCCCGCTTTCATTTCCCGGTCCATGCCGTTTCCAATGACCGTGTTAAACTTACCCCTCTCGATCTCGATCTCCACCTAGACACCTTTTTTCGTCTTTCTGTATCACACCCAGAGCTATATGCACATATGCCAACCGGACCATTTGGCTCTTTGACCGAACTCAAGGCCGAGTTTCTCGAGCGACCGAGTAGCATCTTGTCATTCTCCAATCCCGAGTCCTTTGCATTTGCGGTCATTGATAAAACACGCCCCCCTTCGCCAGAGGACCCCGAAGGTGAGCTCGCTGGTACCGTATCTTTGATTCGGACGTCGCCTGTCCACCTTTGTACCGAGATTGGATTCATCGTTATTCTGCCACCATACCAGCGCAGCCATGTTGCCACGAACACCGTTGGCCTTGCATTGAAATATGCCTTTGAGACGCCGGAAAATGGTGGCTTGGGTCTTCGCCGTATTCATTGGCAGGCTAGTACGACAAACCCTGCCAGTGCTAAATTAGCAGAGAAGATGGGGTTTGAAAAGATAGGATTGACGCCTTGGCATATGCGCTTTATAGGAGGCAAGGAGAAAGGCAAGATTGGAAATGGAAAGGAGCCACCAGTTGGAACCCATTCTAATGACCTGTGGAGAGACACTCTCTCTTTCACCTTCGCCTGGGATCAATGGGGAAACGGTGGCAAGGAGAACGCCGAGCGAATTATGATGTGGTAATTATTTTTCGATTACACTGTTTGAATTCATAATTTCAAGATAAATCACGACTTGGAATACATATAGGTTCACATTAAAGCAATATCTTAGAGCTGAGAATTACAAAACCATCTGCCATCTGACTTTCTTGCCCTTGATCATGTCCAATACACCCATAGGCAAATATTGTTTATCCACCAAGTTCAATCCTCCGAAATCTCTCATCAACTCCTCTGCATAAAGACCAAGGATCCATTTTGTCTCGATCCCCAACCTTCCAAGACCGAAATTCTCACGAGCATCAGATATGGCATCGTCAACCACAGTCGTAGTACGAGGGCCGGCACAAGTAGGAACATTCATGAGTTCTTCATAGAGCAGTGAGTAGCAGTAGCTTTCTTCCTCGCGCAATTTGTTCCATTCATCAATAGACATGAATTGATCAATCTCCTCCATAGCAATGATGTTGAGATTTTCGAAGGCTCGATCGGGCTGCAATTGCTCCAAGAGAGCGCGGCGATCTTTCCGGGTAGTCTTCTCAAACCTCATCTTCGCGTTTTCGTAGCTGGAAAGTTCCTCACTCAAGTAATCATCCACCAGCTCAGTTGGGGTCTTGTTGAGCTGTTTGCGGATGAGAGAAATTGAAATGAATGGATTTCGAAGACCAAGACCTCCTAGTTTTTCAGGGAGGTAGAAAAACGCATCCGGGACATCAAGTGTGCCGAAACGAGATTCGATCTTTTGTCTAAGGAAGCCCGCGACGGTGCACTGCGTTGGCTTCTCCGCTGTTTCGAAAATTGTCTTGTGCATTTTCTCATATGTACTGAGAATTGCATCAATATGTGGCCGTCCGAAGCAATATGCTGGCTCTCCGAAAGTGTTCTTAAAGAACCGACCAATACAACTATTCCAAGTGCGAATCCAGGAAATGATGCTGTCGCACTGATCGAGTTGCGTTTTTAGTTGACGCACATGTGCATCGACTTGAGAATGATCGATTACCCATTCTCCGGATGATGCATCTAGCATGAGGAAACCGATCCTGACTGGACCTTCTGGTAGACGGGAGATGACTTCGCTTCTCATGGAGTCGCCCAGATACGCAGACCCTGATTTGTGCCTGTTGAATTCGAGTCCAGTAATCTGAGCAAAGTTTTGCATGATATCCCACGCCTTGATACATTTCTCTGACTCCCCAGAGAGCCAAATATCATCATGAAGCCGGTACAGCAGGATCCCAGTTCCCTTGTTGACGGCAAGGTCCATAAAAAAGAGGATAAGCTCCCCGATGAGTTTCTCTGAAGCATGTGCTATCGGAATACCCCTTCTACGCTTTCGTGGCCCAAGCTTCTCATGTCCATCAAAGGCCTGGTCCATGTTAAGAGGAGTCTCGAGATATTTGCGAAAAAAGTTGATCCAACGATCCGAAAATCCGGCATAAGCCAGGAAGGCGTAAACAGTGCTGTGTGGAATCGAAGTCGCATACCATTGCAAGTCTGTTTGGATGACAGCTGCTTCTCCATTCAGATGACGCTTGAGCAACGTCTCGGTCACTATTTTTCGGAGCAACTTCTGCTTGACACTTTTCGGTGCGGAACTTTCGTGCGTCTCGAGGTCGTCATCATATCCACCAAAGCGATTGCCTAAAGTGTCCTCTCCTTCTGGCATTGCTGCTAAGAAGAAATTTTCGAAATAGTCGTCTCGCCGCTTTTGTGCCGTAGATCCACTGGCTTCATACATGGCGTAGTATCTTCGGCGGATTCTGTCATTTTTTGTCATTTTATGTCCTTGGACGAAGTTGAACATTCTTTTGTCGCTGATGAGGCTAGTCAAAGTTGATTTTAAATCCCTGCACAGTCTGATACAGATATGCTCAACGAAGATCGTTTCTAGGATGTCATCGTCCATCCAGATTCGATATTTACCGTTCAATTGTTGCCGAGGTAAGACAGGTACGCCCTCTTCGCCTGTATGCCAATCCCAATTGTCTAGGTCGGCATATCGCATATTGAGAACATCAGCGATCTCACTGAGAGCAACCTTGTTGTTGACGAAATGCTTCAATGTTTCTTGCTTTTCGTCAGTGACAATTTCCTCACATTGAATGCCACGAATACATGCTGATAAGGAGTCCACAGTGAATGGATCTTCTCGCTCCCAAATAGATTCCGTGGCTCTGCTCACTCTGTCACGGAAGTTTTTCAAAAGTTGCTTTTGCTCCTCATCGGGGAAGAGGGCATCCAAAAAAGCATTGATTTCGAAAGCATCCGTCTCGTGAGATTTGAAGACCATGCTCTCAAACTGGTCACAAAGCTGCTGCAATCTCTGCTTCTGTCTTTCCTCCACAACCAAAAAACCATCAGAATCATCAGAGGCAGTTTCTTGATTCTCCTTTTCTCTAGACGGTGGGTTCATCCACTCTGTAAGAAGACGTGAATACAAATCGGCGAGTTGAAGCTTGCGACTATGAGGCTCCAGCTTATTGCGCAAGTATTTTTCGAACCCTTCGAGCTTGTGGGTGGGGATCGAAGAGTCAAAACGTGCCTGATCAACCCAGTGTTCGATGTTCAAAATGTCCGCATCACGGTTCAAAGCTGGGAGCAGTTTCCTGGTACTAACTAGGAGATGCTCGACACGCTCACGCAGAGTGGGACACTGGTCCGCGTCTGCGAGTGCCTCGAATTTTCGTTGCTCATATGCATCCCGTTGTTTCTCAAGCTCGTAGATTTTACTCCTAGTGAGTGATTGAAGCGTTCGGGATAAATAAGGGTCCATGTTGGGCGGGGTGAGAAGTCGCCTCCCTGTAAAGAGTAAATTGGTTGAGAATTACTAGTATTCCTGAATGATCAGAATTCTGGGGATTCGCCGTTGGATTTATACATGGATCAATTCGTTCTTCATCTTCTTGAAGTTTTCGGTCTTCACTATTTGGTTCGAGTCCAAGCGTCTCGCTGCCTAAAGCTGCCTGGTCAGATCGGCATTCTGCAGCCTTGCACTTCCACCAGTTTCAGCCCCTCTCCTCCCGCCTGCATCGCGACACGAGGCTGTAGCCAACCAACCAACGAACCCCGCCTTTTCTCAGAGCAGATGAGTCACATTTGAGAGAAGAAGGAAGGAAAAGGCCGATTCTTCTCGGAGATTCCATAGCATTCAATGGTAGTAAATGTATCATTTCCATGAGTTGGGTCGAGATCATCCATGTTCTATGAAAACACAGTGATGGATCTCAATATTATAATATGGCACCTCTAATATGGAACCACGCCTTGGCCTTATCGATCCCCAAAATTGTGACCAACAGCATCCTCCCAAACAAATCCACCTCACTCGGCAATGCATTCTGCAATACCAGCCCAAAATCAAGATTGTAAACAATATGGTGCTGTTTTTCCGTCCAAGCGACCGCGAAATCAAAAGCATTAGAGGCATTCCACAATTCGCCCGAGAGGTACCAAGAATGCTCCAGACCCAGTGTGCCATCGCATGACACGGGCACTTTTCCCTGAAGGACTTTATAGATTTGCACAAAGTAGTATGTAAACAGCACCGTCCGCCGCGCCGATTCTTGCAAAACCCACTCCTCCCAGAAAGTCGCGGCGTCTTCTATTGATAGTGGGAGAAGTTCGGTCGGATCGGAGGGCTTGGGCGTTGGCACTATCGCCATTAGTGCCAGGACTGATGACTCGAGGGTCGTAAAAAGGGCATCGGCTGTTGCATGGGAGCGGATATCTCCGTCGAAGAGTCGCATTATTTGGTAGAGGATTAGGGCTTGGGTGCGAGCGAGGATGTCCAGGGCTGAGGTTGGCTCGGGTGCTGAGAGGAGTTCTCTTGTGCGTGCGTCGAAGAGATTCATTATTACCGGGGCGTTTATGTCGTTCTTGCACATGTATAGAGAGCAGCAGGCGTAGGCATCTAGATTGGCACGTGTTAGTGAGTGATTTAACAAAATGCCCACGAATCAAAGCCATGTAATTGGAGATCTTATACCTTGCATGTCCTGTGGCATATGGTTCTTATATAGTTGTGGATGACACCATGGTGTTCGATTCTCTATTACCATCATCCGAGGCGCGGTTTTGAGAACGTCAATGGCGAATTGGAGATGCGACGCCACGATAACCGGAAGTGGTCTTAATGATCGTGTTCGCGGCAGAGCAACTGCAAAGTATGTGGATGATAGAGGGCCTTCCCAAATTGGAGTAGATGGCTCATCAAAGAAGTATTGATTCCATTCTAACTGATGCTCTCGTAGCTCTGGCGCAGAGCATAAAATTGACTCAGCACACAAGCCGTTATGATTTGGTGAAGGATGTATCATTGCGGAGGTGGGCCACATGATATCCACCGCATTTATTGGTATGGTTGGTGATTCATCCACGAGATCTTGGTAGGCTGCAGGTAGTCTACCGGGGTAAACGCAGGGAGAATTTCTGCTGATACAGCGCGAACAAGCCGGAAAGGCGAGGTCGCAACGCCGTTTTGCCGTCTTGCATGCCTCACAAGACTTTCGTCGAGGTGGAGCTGGCTCATGATGAGCCATGCTAGCCTATCAGAACAGCTGATTCTCGCCAGGAAGTGGAATAGAAGAAGAGCATGAATGAAGCCAGAGACCTAGAGCGGAATTCCGCACGCTAAGCAAGAAAGTGGCGATGGGCCGCCAATCGGAGAGGCTCAATTGCGGGTTGGGTGGGGCTGCTCGGCGGAGTTGCGCAGTATGAGAAGTTGAATTATTCAAGTCTGGACTCTGAATTGAACTGCAGGAAAAATATAAATTAGCTCTGAAAGTCACTACCTGGAAAAGAAATTATCCAAACAAAATATCTCTCTACGGCTATTACACCATGTCTTCCCCTATTGTCTTCGTTTGTGGTGCAACAGGCACCCAAGGCGGCGCTCTCACCACCCACCTTCTACAACATAACATCCAAGTCCACGCCATCACTCGCAACATCCAATCAGAAGCTGCTCAAAAGATCAAAAACCACGGCGTATATCTGACCGAGGGCGATTTTGACAATGAAGGAACTCTCCAAAAAGCTATGATCAACTGCACAAGCCTTTTCCTCAATTTATCTCCAAACCATCAGAACCCATCAGCCGAACTCAGCCAAGCAAAAAGCATCATATCCATCGCAAAAAAAGCCGGCATCACACAAATCATCTACACCAGTGCGATGGGCACCGTCAACCCCGAACGCCTACCGCGCTGGGACCCGACAAACCTCGCCGCCAAAGTCCTTCTCAGCAAACAATCCATCGAGAAGGAAATCCAGAACGCAGGATTCGAGCACTGGACCATTCTACGGCCGGGAAATTTCATGTCAAACTTCTTGAACCCCCCTCGTTCGAATGTATCAGGGTCTCGTCGAGACTGGGAAATTCACGACGGCTTTTACTCCCGAGACGGTCCTTCCTATGGTTGACCCTTACGATATCGGAAGATTTGCTGCGGCAGCAGTATACGATCCGACCCGGTTCCACGGGAAGGAGGTGGAGATCGCATCGCAAATGATGGTGGCAGAGGCTATCATTAAGGATATAGCCCAGGCCACTGGGCGAGAGATGGGGGTGGTCTTTTTGTCCGAGGAGGAGGTTAAGGAGAAGATGGTAACGGATCCTTTTCTGGGACCGCAGTTGCTATTACGCGATATGGCCATTTTCGTGGATTTTGAGATGGTGAAAGGATGGGGGATTGAATTGAGTACCTTTGCGAAGTTTTTGGAGCGGGAGCAGGTTCGGGTTAAGGGGACTTATCTTTGAAAAAATCTTGTGTCCCGAACTCAGCAGGATTGTTGATAGTAATTGTACTTTTCTCTCACTAATGTTAGGGCAATTATCATTCATTTCTAGACTCAGGAAGTTCGATGTGCCGGAGGTAGTACTGTAGATCTGATATCAAAACACGTAGTTATTCTATTCTATTGACAGGCTCTAGAATGCATCTATGTGTATCTATAATTACAGCCTTTTGCAGGCCGAATGAAATAAAGAAAGTCATGAGGGCGTGAGGCACAGCATCGGGCAAATCTACTGCTTGCCGAAGATCTTGACACGGTCTTCAATGGGCTTCTGGACCTTCTCGCCAGCCTGACCTTCGGGGCTACCGAAGACGAGCTGGGCAACCAGGCGCCAGTCGGTGGGCAGGTTCCACTGCTTAGCGACGGAGGCGTCAAGAAGGGGGTTGTAGTGCTGCAGGTTGGCGCCGAAACCAACGGACTCGAGAGCAGTCCAGACTGAATTAAATGGTCAGCATTTGTTTTTTCTTATATGGGGGTAAAAGCAAGATATCAACATACGGAAGTATTGGTGCATAGCGTTGGAGTGGTCAGCCCAGGGCTCGAACTTATCGGCGAAGGCAGCGAATTTCTCCTGGAAACCCTTGATGTGGGCAGGGTCCTCGTAGAAGAGGATCTAGATTGATGCATTAGACATTGTCTTTTGTTCGGTTCTAATTGGGATTTACTCACGGTACCGGCAGCGGCCTTGAAGCCCTGCAGCTTAGGCAGAGTCTGGTTCTTGAAGACCTCCTCAGGGACAGCACCGGACTGGACGAGGGGAGCGAAAGCCTCAGCAGCCAGGTCCCAGAGGCGGTCGTGCTCCTCGTGCAGCAGGACGACCAGGCGGGTGGACTGGGTGTTGAAGGAGCTGGGAACGTGGGTGATGGCGTGGTTGACGAGCTCCTCGACCTTGGAGTCAGGGACGGGGCTGTTCTTGCCGAGCTGGTAGATAGTGCGGCGGTTCTGGACCGCTTGCAGGAGGCCGTCGGTGGACATGGTGGCGGTGGTGACGGAAAAGTTCTTGGGGAGAGAGGTTGAGAATGGACGAAGGGATAGCTGTGCAATTGACGGGGGTTGGGCCGATATTAATGTGGTTTGCGGTCTTGAGGTGGATCCTAGTGTTCGGCAGATATGGTGGAGGGTGGAAGCCGGTCGAAGAATAGTACGAGTGGCCATTGTTGCAGAGGGAAGTAGTCTTTAAATAGTAGTATGATAAAGGAGGCGATTGGTAGTAAAATTGCTTAAAAAAAAGATCGGGATTGTGACAAATCGACGGGGCAGTTCCGCGGTTTTTAAGTATTGCAGGGCCGTCAAAGAAGGGAAATGGTGAAGTTGTATTTCCGTCAGCGCTAGACAATTTGCGGCAAGGCGGCATTACGGATAAATGGAGAATGTCAGCATGACAAACCAATCATTCAAGTTCAAGCAGTCTTTACTGTTGGCTATAATTGCTCCAATAATTAGTTAATTATAGAAAATTAAGTTGACTCGGAGCCCTGGAGGGTGTTGACACTTTAAGTTGGGCACAGTGCCCCAGTGCAGAGGTATATAGTACCGACTGGTTATCAATTAGTACTAGGTACTACTTAACTTGAACATGACTAATAGTACTAGTAGTACTAGTAGTATAACTTGAATTCTAAAACCTTGGAACTCCATCCACTACTAGTACTACGAGTCAGACTTTGGCTTTTATTCCAAAGAGATTCCAAGGCTACCAGCATGACTCTGAGGGTGCGGAGGAGGTAAAGGTAGAGGGGCAAGTAGTACGGGTCGGTCCGGGAAGTTGCTCCAGTAGCAATACTACCAATAGTAGTAGTGGTAGCAGCAGTTCGGTATGACCAGAATGGACTCTACTGTTTTTACTCCATAGATACCGCTAGCTTCCCCTAGAACTTTGAAAGTTCTCCAGCTTTTTTATTAATTTGTCTTTGTACTACTCTCGGGTCTGCACTGACAATGGCCGCCACTCAGCACGTGACTAGCCGAGGAGGGAGGAATACTACTAGTAGTCGATTTGCCATTAGTACGAGTTAACTGTAATATCTAGTGAATCCAACACTGTACTATACTATGCTATGCTATACTATAGTTATTAACTACTATTTGTTAGTTTCATATGGGCGATCAATTAGTAAGCCAAGAAACTGAACCCCGCGGTGGGCGGTGAGTGGCGGGGCGTTTCGAGACAATGTGCGGTTTCATTTCGGGCAGGAAGAGGCTGGGGAGATTGGGAGGAGAGCTACTACGGAGTAGGCTAGGAATTGGTTTCCCCGTTGGGTGAACCGAGAGTACTTGAGTTTTGCTTAGCTTAGCTTCGGTGGCAATTGAGAGCTGTGTGTGCTGTCACGTTCCAAATAACAGCTCTGGCAAGGTATATCCACGGATCTATTCGGATAGCCATACTTGTGAGTGAGTCACTGATTAAATCCCAGGGATCTTGGAAAAGAAAGAGAGAAAGTAGAAATGACTGTAACTCGTGGTAACCCGTGTCAACCCTGTTCTGCTGGGTAGAGAGGGCAAGGTAGAGAGGCAACGCACAAACCGAGCGGGGCTATTTCCCAAAAAAGTGGGGGCTTCTCTTCTGATTTTTTTTTCTCTCCCACTTCCCCTCCTCCCGACCTTCCTTCCTTTCTTCTCTCCCCATCCCCTCTCTATAGGAGCATTTGCACATAGGCATTTTTGATCGTACTCGGGTTCATACTCGGTCTCGATCATTTGTGTGTGTTGCTCTTTTCAACTCTCTTCCTTTTCTCATTACCCCGCCTCTAGGGCTTATTTGAGAGAACAACCGTCAAGATGGTCAAGTAAGTCCTTGGAATGCATCCCCGACAAGATGATGAAAATTTGTGCAAATCCTGAGATCTTTGATGAACATCCCCCAACTAACATCATGACTCTAGCTTCACTCTTGAGGAGATCCGTGCCCTGATGGAGAAGCCGGCGAACATCCGTAACATGTCCGTCATTGCTCACGGTATGTTCACCCCCAAAATCACTTTCTCTCTTCCTCATTACACCATCTAATCATTCATCTACTTTCAGTCGATCACGGAAAGTCCACCCTGTCCGACGCCCTTGTCCACCGTGCCGGTATCATTTCCTCCGCCAAGGCTGGTGAGGGTCGTTACATGGACACCCGTGCTGATGAGCAGGAGCGTGGTATCACCATCAAGTCCACTGCCATCTCCCTGTACGCCAAGTTCCCCGACCCCGAGGATCTTAAGGAGATCCCCCAGAAGGTCGATGGTGACGAGTTCTTGATCAACTTGATCGATTCCCCCGGTCACGTTGATTTCTCGTCTGAGGTTACCGCCGCTCTCCGTGTCACTGACGGTGCCCTGGTCGTTGTCGACTGTATCTCCGGTGTCTGTGTCCAGACCGAGACTGTCCTGCGTCAGGCCCTGACCGAGCGTATCAAGCCCGTTCTGTGCATCAACAAGGTTGATCGTGCTCTTCTCGAGCTGCAGTGCACCAAGGAGGATCTGTACCAGTCCTTCTCCCGTACCGTCGAGTCCGTCAACGTCATCATCTCCACCTACTTCGACAAGACTCTCGGTGACGTCCAGGTTTACCCCGACAGAGGTACCATTGCCTTCGGTTCCGGTCTTCACGGCTGGTGCTTCACTGTCCGCCAGTTCGCCGTCAAGTACGCCAAGAAGTTCGGTGTCGACCGCAAGAAGATGCTTGAGCGTCTGTGGGGCGACAACTACTTCAACCCCAAGACCAAGAAGTGGACCAACAAGTCCGAGGGTGCCGATGGCAAGCCTCTGGAGCGTGCCTTCAACCAGTTCATCCTGGACCCCATCTTCAAGATCTTCGCTGCTGTCAACCACAACAAGCGTGATGAGATCACCACCCTTCTGGAGAAGCTTGACATCAAGCTCGCCAACGACGAGAAGGAGCTCGAGGGCAAGCAGCTCCTCAAGTGTGTCATGCGCAAGTTCCTGCCTGCCGCTGACGCTCTTCTGGAGATGATCTGTATCCACCTGCCTTCCCCCGTCACTGCCCAGAAGTACCGTGCCGAGACTCTGTACGAGGGTCCCCTCGATGACAAGGCCTGCATTGGTATCCGCGACTGTGACCCCACTGCTCCTCTGATGCTGTACGTCTCCAAGATGGTTCCCACCTCCGACAAGGGTCGTTTCTACGCCTTCGGTCGTGTCTACGCCGGTACCGTCAAGTCCGGTGTCAAGGTCCGCATCCAGGGTCCCAACTACGTCCCCGGCAAGAAGGAGGACCTGTTCATCAAGGCCATCCAGCGTACCGTTCTGATGATGGGTCGTATTGTCGAGCCCATTGAGGACGTCCCCGCCGGTAACATTGTCGGTCTGGTCGGTGTCGATCAGTTCCTGCTCAAGTCCGGTACCCTGACCACCGATGAGACCGCCCACAACCTGAAGGTCATGAAGTTCTCCGTCTCCCCCGTTGTGCAGCGCTCCGTTGAGGTCAAGAACGCCCAGGATCTGCCCAAGCTGGTCGAGGGTCTCAAGCGTCTGTCCAAGTCCGACCCCTGTGTCCTGACCATGATCAACGAGTCCGGTGAGCACGTCGTCGCTGGTGCTGGTGAGCTCCACCTGGAGATCTGTCTTAAGGATCTCGAGGAGGACCACGCCGGTGTCCCTCTCCGTATCTCCGACCCCGTTGTCTCTTACCGTGAGACCGTCACTGCTCTCTCTTCCATGACTGCTCTGTCCAAGTCTCCCAACAAGCACAACCGTCTGTACATGACTGCTCAGCCCATGGATGAGGAGGTCTCCCTGGCCATCGAGTCCGGCAAGATCTCTCCCCGTGACGATTTCAAGGCTCGTGCCCGTATCATGGCTGACGAGTACGGCTGGGATGTCACCGATGCCCGTAAGATCTGGTGCTTCGGTCCCGACACCACCGGTGCCAACTTGCTCATTGATCAGACCAAGGCTGTTCAGTACCTGAACGAGATCAAGGATTCCGTTGTCTCCGGTTTCCAGTGGGCTACCCGTGAGGGTCCCGTCGCTGAGGAGCCCATGCGTTCCGTCCGCTTCAACATCCTTGATGTTACCCTGCACGCTGATGCCATTCACCGTGGTGGTGGTCAGATCATCCCCACTGCTCGTCGTGCTCTGTACGCCGCCGCTATGCTGGCCGAGCCCGGTCTCCTTGAGCCCATCTTCAACGTCGAGATCCAGGTTCCCGAGCAGGCTATGGGTGGTATCTACGGTGTCCTCACCCGCCGTCGTGGTCACGTCTACACTGAGGAGCAGCGCCCCGGTACCCCTCTGTTCAACGTCAAGGCCTACCTGCCCGTCAACGAGTCTTTCGGCTTCAACTCCGATCTGCGCTCCGCCACCGGTGGTCAGGCTTTCCCCCAGTCCGTCTTCGATCACTGGGCTATCCTGCCCGGCGGTTCCCCTCTGGACACCACCACCAAGCCTGGTCAGGTTGTTACCGAGATGCGCAAGCGCAAGGGTCTCAAGGAGGTTGTTCCCGGCTACGAGAACGTAAGTTTGCACCTATATTCTATTACTTCACTTTTGATCCATCATTTACTAACTAATTTCTCAATAGTACTACGACAAGCTGTAAAAAAGTTAACGGCCGGTCAAACTGCGCTCTTGGGAGCCAAATATGGAATCTTTTTTTATGAGATTGATGAATGCAATACAACTTCCCGGTTCAAACAAAAATTCCTACCCGCCACTTGGCGGGCTTGCTTCAATCACTGCCGTCTTTAGAAAGTGTGGAGCGCCGAGGGTTGTCTAGGGCACCTTTGGACGCTGTCCGTTTGCTATTGTCTCCATAGTTATTGTTTGATGATGTTCTGATTTTCCTATTTGCTGATTTTTGCTGTCTGGCTGCCATTTGGACATGAAAATCAACATGGTATGCTGGACTTAACTGTTGTGCATTTGCTTGTAGTAGCCTGTCCCTGTAACATTGTATCACAGTGAACTTGTAGCAGCATAGTCTCGCGGTCTTGTAAATGATCAAGTTGTACGTCTCTGGGTACAAGTCAAAGCTCTTCACCAACTCCTTCATATTGACTGCAGCCACCATACGCCACATCTAGCCACACTCGAGAAAATCTTGGCGCCATCATATCATCACGTGATCATTATCGCGCGCCCATCGCGTTTTCAGTTGATTCTTCGCTCCCAAACTTTTAATCCCGAACGCCTGTTGCTGTGAATTGAGGAGAGTTCTTTTCAGCTCTCATAAACTGCATTAATTGACTTGCTGCCTCCACAATTAAGGAGAAATCGCTGAAAACTTCGCGTGAGGAATTTGTCCCACAGCTCTCTACAGCTTACCGTCACCCGAATTCTGGCAATTCCTGGCACCTTAAGCACTCGAATCCCGTTGTTTCTATCAATTCAGTCACTCAAGTGACTGGAGACCCGCGACCATTGTCGCGATGCAGTTCACTGACGCAGAAGCCGACCGGCTGAAGAACTGGGTTGTCAAGAAGTTGGAGGACATGTGAGCCACTCGCAAGACACTGTCGTTTTCCACCATGAATCCTAGCTGACAGATCTTTTCTCTCATCTTAGCTCCGATGCAGACTCCGATGTTCTCGCAGACTATGTGCTGGCACTTATCAGGTCCGACGCGCCAGATGATGAGATCCGAAAAGTTTCGATAGATAACCTCGAAGACTTTCTCCGCGAACGTACGCTTGCCAGAACGTGCGCTGAGTCCTTTTGATCAGTCGCTGACCTTGTCCAGATACCGCCCCATTCGTGGATGAGCTCTTTGCCAACTTTGGCCCGAACTCAGCTCCCGCGCCAGCACCAGCCCAGCAAGCTCCTCAAGCTCAAGCTATCCCGCAACCCGTTCCCACGGCCTTGTCCCAGCAGCCATTCGGTGCACCCACCGGCGCTCCCACTGGTCCGAGAGGCGATTTCAACAGTCGCAAGCGGTCATTCAACGAGGGATTCCAAGGCGAGCCAGAGCGCGATGGTGGGAATATGCAGAATCGTGCTATGAAAACTCCGCGTCGCGGCCGTGGCGGTGCTCGTGGTGACTGGATGGGCATGGGCAGAGGTGGTCATATGCAAGGCCCCGGGCAGCAGTTCCAACAAGGTCAGCCTGGCGGATTCCCTATGATGCCTGGGTTCCCACCATTCGACCCGAATGACCCCATGGCAGCCATGATGGCTATGCAGGGTATGGGTTTCCCCCAGATGCCCGGCATGCCGCCTATGCCAGGAATACCTGTAGGTCCAGGCCAGCCCGGCGCCGAAGAGATGGCCAACCAGCCCTGCCCATTGTATGAGAATCAGGGTATCTGCTATCTGGGTGCTGCTTGCCCTTACAAGCATGGGGGACCCGAGTCCTCCAATAACAACGGTATGTTCTTGTTGTTGATGCTTTTGTGATTATTCGACTAACATTCACTGCTCAAGAATATGATCCGAGATCTTCGACCATGATGCCCGACTCACAAAGAGATGGCTCTATGCGTGGCAATGATCGGGGACGTGGCCGTGGCCGTGGTGCCTTCGGCGGACGAGGACGCGGCCGGTCCGATTTCTCGTCTGCAGGACCAAACGAGGACCGATCTATCACCACAATTGTCGTGGAACAAATTCCGGACGACAAGTTCTCCGAGGAGGCAGTGCGCGAGTTCTTCTCTCAATTTGGCAACATCGCAGAGGTTACATTGCAATCATACAAAAAGATTGCCTTGGTCAAGTTTGAAAGCTTTGCCGAGGCCAAGCAGGCCTGGTCCAGTCCGAAGGTGATCTTTGACAACCGGTTTGTAAAGGTCTACTGGCATAAACCCAAGCGCGACGAGAGGAACGACGAGAACAGGCCCGAGGAGCCCGCATTCAACCAAGAGGAGTTTGAGAAGCAACAGCAGGAAGCCCAAAAATCACACGAGGAGCGAATGAAGAAGCGCCAAGAAGCCGAAGAAGCTAAGCAAGCTCTCGAGCGCCAGCGTGACGAACTCATGAAAAAGCAGCAGGAAGAAAAAGCACGCCTTCTCCAGCGATTGGGCGTTGCGCCGAGTAACGGCACTGAAGGTGCAGAGGAAGATTCCAGCATGCAGGTCGAGGACGAGAATGTGAGCGATGAGACTAAGAAGCTCCGCGCACAATTAGCCGCTCTCGAGGCTGAAGCGAAGACTCTCGGTCTTGACGCCAATGCCGACGCTTCATTCGGCCGTGGCGGTTATCGTGGCCGTGGGGGCTTCCGTGCCCGAGGTGGGTACCGTGGACGTGGAACCTACGATCCTTCATTCCGAGGCGGATATCGTGGCCGAGGTGGATTTGCTCCCCGCGGCCGTGGAGGTGTATTACGCTTAGACAACCGACCTCGGCGAGTTGCTGTATCGGGCGTGTCACTGCATTCGGAGAAGGATGAAGCCCTGCGTCAGCACCTGATGGTAAGTCACTTTGCATGATACAAAAAAAAGTAAAAAAAAAAAAATACTAACTATTTCTCTTTCCAGGGTGTTGGTGATTACGAGTCTATCGAGTCAAACCCCGGCCAATCCGATTCTGTTGTCGTGGCATTCAAAGAGCGATACCAAGCCGAGAAATTCATGTTCAGTCCCTGGTCTCTCACCTCCTCGGGCGAGGCCCAACTTTCATGGCTTCCGAACTTGCCCGTCGCCACACCTATCCCATCAACAGAGTCAAAGAATGGTGGCGGCGATGACGAGCAAGACGTGATGATGGATTCGACTCCGACAGTGAGCGCACCGCCACCACCTCGCAAAGAGAATAATGAGATGGATTATGACGTGGCGGAGGACGAAAGCTGGTAAAAGCATAATATTATCCTACCTCGTGTACCATTGGATGTGTATAGGTCAATTTACAAATATGCATTGGGGCTGTTTGATGCTAAAACTCAAGTCGGCCCCCTCTCTTGCCCGCTCAACTTGTTCTGTCAAAAGCAGAGTAGTCTAGCCCGTATGCGTAAAGGTAGAATTCGGCAATGCTCAAATATTTTGTGGGATCAACTCGACCGAATATCCATCCTGAAGTACCTAGTTAGCTCCAGCTCAAGCCATCGGCCAACCCGACGCACGTATCCGTATCATGATAGCAACTTGAAAGGATAATGTGTATTCTTGTAACCAATATGGTCATATTAGACTTGGAAGAGAGCATAGAAAGAACTCACCGGATCAACCACCATGGCAAATTTCTCAAAGAACCAAGCATAATTGGGATGAATCTTCCCAACACCCACACCCCTCTCAGCTTCCCACTCCGACAAGGGAACATGTCCCCTCTCGCAAATACCTACATCCTTCAGAACCGTCACGCCAGCACTCTTCAATCTCAACACCGCGACGGGAACATCCGGCACTGTGAATCCCAAATGCGCAAAGCCTAAATTCGGCGGCACATTACCGCTGGATACTCCTCCGCCATCGTCCTCATTCTCATCACTCTTCGACTCTGTCCCGTGAACATGGTACAATTCCAATAACCCACTCGTCCGCGTCATGACGGGAATCTCACTAGTCTCTTTAGCCCACGTATCCAAATCCTCCGTACCGGGCGGCGGGTGGCCGAGATAGTAGATCGTGAAGGGGCCGGCATTCATAGAGAACACGACGCGCATTCCGAGGAGGTCGACGTAGAAGTGCAGAGAGCGGGTTGGATCTTTTATGCGGATTGCGAGGTGGTTGAGGCGGTAGTTTGCTGTTGTTGAGGTTTGGGGTGGGTTGAAGGTCGGCGTTGCACCGCCGGGGCAGAAGGCGCCTTCTTCGTTCAAGTTTTTGGGCACATTGCGGAAGTTGTTGGTTGCCATTGGATGTGTGTGGTATTCCTGGTATTGCGGGGCTAATCGTGGAAGGTAAAGAGAATGTGAGGTCGAATTGAGTTGAAGAGGGGAATTCGCGGAGGTGGGGGGAAGTATACTTAGCTTTGCGGGGTATAGTTAGTTATTCTAAGCCCTAGAAGTGCAACCTCCAGGGCTGATAATTTTGGAATGTGAATTTGAATATAATGATTACCCTGCTATTTGCATGATGTCTACTTCTAATTCTAATTCTACTTCTATTCTAAATTAGGCTTGAGTCCGAACAAACTTTGTCGATTTCATGGTACTCTCACGATTCAGTTCCCGATTGGGAACCGGACTCTCCGTTTAGTATCCGTTATACTAGTATAGAGCTTTCTAATAGAACGTCATTTTATCTCACAATAGAATCTCTCTCTACAATCAATCTCTTCAAGTTACTCTCGCTGTTGAATTGAAATGACCGGATCCATGCCACGCAACCTGGGAAACCTCCCCATTGAACTCATACTATGCGTCTGCGACTCCCTGTCACCAGTAGACATCGCCAGCCTCGCGCTATCTAGCCACGGCCTACAGAGGGCGTTGAAAAGATACATCCCGAATATTTTCGAAAAGACTTCTTCCTTCCGACTCACGGAGGAGAATCGCATAGAATTCTTGAAAATGATGGACCCTAAGCTACCGCATCTTCACTTCTGTTTCGACTGTTTGGGACTTCATAAGTGGCGAGATATAAAGCTCTTCAGACTTGATTTTCCAGAGCAGACCCCTTACGAATGTATGAACAACAAAGATGGTCTCTGCATAGGCGGGATTCCAGCTCGCCTCAATTACCTCCCACCTCCTGTTCGATTTCGTTTCGCCAACGTTCAACTTGTCATGAGATGGTTCCAGTTTGGGCCCGATTTCGGAATAAATCCCGATTCCCTCCGCTACACCGAAGTTCGGGAATGCATAGATGGCCTAAGAAAGACCATCCGTCTTATCTCTGTTGAGGCTAAAATTATGTCCGAGGGGCTTGATAAGCCTATGCTCTGCTTGCGAGCACAGGAAAAACGATATAGTGACATTTACTATCGCCTAGAGTCGGACGCCTGGGTAGAGACTCGGAAATACCCGAACGAACATGCTATGATTCTATCCGGCTTAACGTTTCGGCCACGGGACTATATTGACGATATAACGGAGCCCAGAAATAGCAGACCGTGCAGGAGGTCGCGGTTCAGAAATTCCGTATACAGGCCGTTCACATGTCCTGAACTCGAGATAACCCGGTGGATTAATTTGGGGTCAGGGGTTGAACCAGATGTATTTGAGTCGCAGAATGAGACTGATGCTCACCCTACTTCGCGATGCATTACCCTCCTAGAAGACGACAGTCCTCCGAGTCGTCAGACGCATTGGTGTTTTGGCAACCCTGGTCCATATTCACGGTTTGAGGGGGACTTTAAAGAACAACCCAAAGATACAATATGTGTGGATGATCTGGCTTGCCTTAACAGTTATCTTCTGCATGGTGACAGATACCGGCACCTGATGAAACAGATAGCTCCCAGCCACTGGGTCCTACAGGGCGAAAACGAACACCGTTCTGCATGGGAAGAATATGAAGAATCATTTCGAGCAATTTCGAGTCCTTCCCGAGATCTGTGTGAAGTTTGAGGTTGGTCGTTGAAAATTGAAGCAGAAAGGAGCTTAAGTAATAGAGTATGTACCTACTAGTTATTCTTCATTCAGAAATTGATACTAGCTACTAGTACTGTGTACTGATAGCTCGTCTACTCATAGCCTATTGGTATATAATCATATCGAGGCCACCGGTATAGGGCAGCGTTACTCGACGGAACCCACTATCCGGCGCATCCAAGTAGGCCAAAAGCTCTTCATAACCAACATTCGCCATGAGCGTGTTATCAGCCATGATCACGGCACCGGGTCTGAGATATGGCTTGACAAGCTTGACAGCAGGGAGAGCCAGGGGTGTCCAAACTGAAGAAAGAGTCAACAATGGTCCATCAAAAGGGTGAGAGATATATTCACTATCCAAGAGAAGAAAGTCGACAGTTCCCAAGTCCTTCTCCAAAGTCTCTCGCAAATCACCAACCCTCAAATCAATCACGCCCTGAATCTCATCTCCAGCGCGTTCCCAGTTCTCTCGCGCAACGCTTGCCTTTGACGGCTCTTTCTCCGTGGCAATCACTCTTCCCTGCTGAGCCTGGGAATCACGGGCTACATTCTGAGCAACGGCGAGAGCAAGATAGATGGTGCTCACGCCGAAGCTAGTTCCAGCTTCGACGACTGTCTTGGCATTGATGCTGCGCAGGACATGATAGATCAATTCGCACTTATCCTGGTCCAGGGCGATGAACTTGTCGCGCATGATATCGTCGAATGCATCGGTACATTGCTTGGGGAGGCTGGCCCAGTCCAAACCTGATTCTTGGACCGAGGATTGAGAGTGTAGGGCTTTGAGGTGGGCCTGGAGGTGGGGGCTTGCGGTGAGCGGGGATGGGGCCATGGTGGATGGGTTCAAGTTGGTGATTGATTCCGGCTAAACTGTTTAGGTGCAAGGTTGGTCTAGGTGAGATTCGTGTGTAACAAGGTAAGGGCGATGAGAAGTTTAAAAACTGTCTCCATAGAAGTAGGGCTGGGGTGAGTCACCGAGTATGGACGAGCTCTTAGTCAACGCTCAAGGGCGTCGGAATTGCATCGATCCGCTCGGATGTTGTCACGGCACGTACGAGAAGGCATTCGGTGGCTGTTTATTACACTTTGGCTAAATTAATGCACATCTGCCCCGTAGAATAAGCAGACCAAATCCACCAGCACCGTTTTTTACCCTATTTACATAGTCTGGTCTCATATAATGATGGATTATTAGTTTACATGGGCTGTCTTCTGCTCTAAAAGATCCGCGTAGCTACTTAATGATCGCCCGATTAGATTCACCATCTCCCAAATATAGTCCGCAGTGAAAAGTCGCGCCCATAGTCTAGTAACAGCTGCACTGAGTCGAGTATTAGTCGCAAGGAGCCACTCGCGTGAAACATCGTGTTGGGCCTCCATCACCATCTCCAACACAAAGTCCCTCAAGCGAGTCTCCTGATTCGTTAATGCGGGATCTGGATTCACTACGGTCACCGCTTCGAGCCATTTAGCCAGAAGCACTGCGCATTCAAGCGAGCATAGGGCGTGCTGGTTCGACCATAGAGCGACCTGTGAGTGCGCCACAAATCCGATCCCGAGCTTGACTGGGGTACTTAGTGCATGTGCACAGTGGAGCGCTGCTCTTGTTAGGCGATCTCCACGTTGCACGGAGAGATTATCATTAAGACTGGCAGCAATTTGCACTGGATCCCAAGTCTGCAACTGCCGGGCTGAACCGCAGTCTGCATTCAGCCGGATATACGCTAGCCGGAGCAGGGCTGCGGAAGTAAAGGACAGTGGGCCGTGTGGACTGAGGGGGTCAATCGATGACTCTTGATTGCGCTCCCAGCACTGGCACCATCTCTCCAATGCCTGTTCAACGGCAAGCAGCCCTGGTGTTGAGGGGACAGGTGGGCCGAGCCGGTTGTATCGTGACAGAGCCAAGCGAGTCGCTTTGGTCATCACCCAGATGTCTTGAAGCATCGCATGGATCAACACAATTCCACCTAGAGAGGAGAACCCTGGCTCCATTGCACTTTCAGGGGCAAACAAAGCCAACAGGGCAGCTTGGAATCCCGGCTCCCCTTGACTTTGGCTTCGCGCCGCTTCCCATTGTTCCGGAGTAGCAGCCTGCCATTCTCGCTCCGTGCAGGGGAGGTCCATAGATAGCTCTTCGGTCAAGATGACTGGGGGTATGTCGAATACTATTGTTTGAATATTGAAAAAGCAGAAAACGATCAGCTTCGTGCGCTTCACACTTTCATAACGGATCCAGCTGGCCCATGAACCATCTTGCTCCGGTAAAAGGTTAACACCGTCTTTTCTGAGGAGCGTCACCATCAGACTTTGAATCGACAGCGCATCGTGATATGGCGGATTATCCACAAACCACGACGAGACAGACATAAGCATTAGCAGCGCTTGAACGGTTTCAAGGGTATCAATATCATTAGCTGCGTTCACTGCTGGTAAGCTACCCGACTGAAAGACTCTGCGAAAATGCTCTAGCGTGACAGGTTTAGCGATTTGATATAGGCGCATGCTTGTATCCGGCTCTCGGCTATAGCGAGCACCTAGAGCGGCCATGGCGAGGAAAAGTGGAAGTCCCAGAGAGTCGATGTCCAGTGTAGGCTTATGTACGATCGGGTAGTGGTCGTGAAATCCCATCAGATATCCCGTCAGACATCGAGACAGTGCATGGCGGGAAGGCAGCGAAGGATTCGGCGCTACAGTGGCAAAGCCCTTTAGAAGGGTGAGAACTTTATCACGGCATTGACTTGTGACAGGAACGAATCCTGTGGGCTGGCGTGCCTTGGCGCTAGTTTGGTACCCCTCTGGTTGCAGGGATGGCAGATGTGCGCCATGACGGGGCAGCACAGAGCTTGATGGGGTGGAAGCCGTCTCTGCGGATGGATGATCTCTTTCTGAGGACTGCTCATAGTCCGTGACTGGGGAGAATACTAGAGGCGGGAATAGGGGAAGGGGCTGAAAAGCGGGGGAGTAAGGGTGACTCGGCAGAGGAACGCTGTCAAGGAAAGAGGTGAAGTCGTTCCCTTCGTATGAGCCTGCAGTTAGACTATCGATTGCATAGCCAAAAACCGAGCCATCCATCGGAGTCGTCGGGCCTGCCGACGGAGTTTGTGGATTTTGCGATTGGGTTGCAGGCGTCACCGGGGCCTCGCGAGCGGGGAGCGCGTCCGTAAATTGGCCATTGCTCCCTGGCAGTGGCAGATGAGGGTGACCGTGGTTGGCCACAACCGATGCTAATGTATCCAGGCCATCAAAAACGGGACGGGAAGGCGAGGGTGTTTGTGCATGGCTTGCGGGACTGTCTCCGATTTGATGGGTGAGTCGTTCATGACGAGCCAGCAAGTCCCTAGATTGTTGTTAGGAGGGGGCCAGTGACCGGGTGCATGATTGAAGATGGATTAAATACTTTCGCGTGAAGGCCTTGGGGCATTGGCCACAGGTGTAGGGTTTCTCTTTGGTGTCTGTCGAAAGGATTAGCAGAGCGGGTTAGATGAGTCAGAGGCGGAGGCGGACGGACGAGAGCGATCGTGGCGCTGGAGATGCTCCAGACGGGCAAAGGCCCGTGGACATCGGCGGCACTGATAGGGCTTGCTGCTCATGGTTCATAATATTCATGATGCATGATTGATGGGGGTGGGGGAAGGGAAGAGAGAAATGCGGAGAAGTTGGGAAGTGCGGGAAGTTCTCCGTTTCTCCAATTTGGAGAAGCTAGAGCTGCGACCGTGACCCACACTATGTAACTAATTAGTTAGTATCTACAACTATGGATGAAGTGTATACTTAATTATGGATAACTGTACTCGATTAATATTGAGAAAAATAGTACTCCCATCTAACTTTATCTTGTGGTATACTATACTATACTATACTATTATCTATGTTTACTGTGGTATTTGTATGTTACCAATGAATCTCCTGATGGCAACCACGTGCAATCAAGATCGACAGATTCACATTGGGACAAGGCTGGCACATTCAATCACTACTCCCTTTCTCCTCTTCACCCTCATCTCTTCCATTGTGAGTCCAACATGGGTCCACGATTGTATCGCCGTGTTCTACTCACCACTCTCGCCTTGTTGGCCATCGCTGCAGTGATCTACACCATCTCCCGCATCATCACCTTTGCCCAATTATTTGGTCTCACAAAGCCCCATTCCGGCATCCGTATCACGCAGGCCCAGATTGCAGCGGCCCACAGGATAAAGCCCGATTCACGAGAGCCCCTGGTTCCCAAAATTATCCACCAGATCTTCCACAATTGGCACGATGCGAATGATGATACTCTTCGACCAGACTGGGCTGCGGCCCGGAAAACCTGCATGAATCTTCATCCTGACTGGGAGCATATGGTAAGCTCCCGAGACCTTTTTGGATAATTATACCTAGGTAGTCCTCTTACAAAGCTGACAGTTGCTACCCTAGCTGTGGACAGCCAAATCGTCTCGCAAGTTCATCGAGGAGAAATTCCCGTGGTTCATCCCCGCCTACGATCGATACCCATATCCCGTGCAGAAGGTTGATGTCGTCAAATACTTTGTTCTTCGCTACTATGGTGGAATCTACATCGATTTGGATAACGTGAGTGGATTCTCAATCGGCATACCTTTCTCTCTCTGGTCTACACCAACTCGCCTATTGACTTCCACGTTCTTACCAGGGCTGCGCGGCAAGTCTCGAACCACTCCTCTATTATCCAGCATTTACTACTGATGGCGGCCACGGAGCTTTGAGCAACAATATCGTCGGCGGCGAACGTGGCCATCCGCTATTCTCCCTCCTGACCGATAATCTACTCCGCTGGCAAGTGAACTACATACTTCCCTACGTCACGATTATGTACGCCAGCGGCCAGTGGTACTTTACAGCGATGTGGGAAAGATATCATTCTCTACTATCACGCGAAGAGTCATGGATCGTCAACAGTCCCGAGCCCGGGCCAACGCCTCTACATCACATTCTCATGGATGGGCGCCCTGGTGCAGACCCTTGGGTTTTCTTCACTCAGGTGGATGGGAATTCGTGGGCAAATTGGGACAACCGGATGTTTTCTGTCATAGGCGACAATATTGCCTACATTACGCTCTTCTTTAGTAGTGTTTTCCTTCTCGTCTTGTGGGCGTGCATTCGATACTCTAGTCGTAGGTCTCCCGAGACAGCGCATAAGCAATCAGCGGCCTAGGTCGAAGGCAGATGATATTCTCTCCAACTACTCTACATACTCATAATGAATACCCTCTAACTATACCTCAGTCTACAACCCATAGAATATAATCATCCGGGGTCCCTGATCCCAAAGTATCATTGCAGAAATGCGACGAGATACTCTCTTCAATACCGACAAATCTGACTACTTCTATGACTTATCTACATACTTGCCAGTCGTTCCATCAAGCTGCGCTTCCAAAACCGCACCCTTACCATTCAAAACACTCTGAATAGCCTCGGGCAATTTCTGCGACAACTCCTCAACAGTCGACGCCCGACCAGCCCACATCTCCCCACCAGCCGCAGCCTTCGCAATGCCAGCATAATCAGGCGTCGGCGCAAACGAGATATTCAAATCTTCGTTCGTTGCACGCGAGCCATCCCCACTCGGGTGGACCAGCAGCATGCTTCGACGCGGGGCATTCCAGCCCTTGTTATTCAGCACGATGGTCAGAACAGGGATTCCATAGCGACGCGAGATCCAATAGACAGACCCGGGCACAGAGAAGAGGAAAGTTCCATCGCCAACCACCTGCACGACGAATTTACCCTTGCCAGGTCCTCCGTGCTGGACATCTGAAGCAAGCTTGATGCCCAGTGCTCCGCCGCCGCTCCATCCCAAGCCACCGCCGCCGCAGTTGATCCAGGAATTTGGCAGGGTGGCTGCTACTTGGTCAGCGACGAAGTGTGTCAAAGTCACGGATTCAATTGCCCAAATCGCATCGACTGGACAGGACTTTCGCACTTGGGCCATGAGGTAGTTGACATTCAAGGGTGCACTCAGGCCCCCCTCCGGGAGGACTGCGAGGTCGGTAATCTCTTTCCGCCGTGTCTGGTAGGCTTCATGACGGCGCTGGTATAGAGCATTATTTTCATCAGATCCAATGAACTTCTGTAGCTCAGTTTTGCTAGCAACATGCTCATTGATCTGTTTGAGAGCGGTAACAGAATCCGCTCGGAAGGTAGCCATGGATGGGATATAAAAGACAGGAATCTGTTGCTTCAGAGGATCCACGTCGATATGGATGATCTTCGCCGTCTCAGATGGCTTGAACTGGGTAGGGACCCAGGGTACGTCGCAATCAATCACCAGGATAAAATCAGCGGACTGAACAGCCTCGTGTCCAGGATATCGCAGGCCCAACCAGGCCGGATGATCCGCTGGAAAGCACATATCACTACCCCCAGTATCAAGCACACGAATTCCCTGGAAGCTGTTCGCCAACGACACCAGCTCCGTCACAGCCTGAGCCTGTCGACCAGTATACCCAACAACAACCAAAGGATTCTTCGCAGCAGCCAGCTCCGATGTAATTAATTCAATGCCAGCAGGAGGCAACGCCGCCGGGGCAACAGGACCCCAAACCTTCTGATTCAACTGATAAGGCTCGATATCCTCCTCCATAACCTCGCGCGCACCAACAAGGTATACCGGGCCCTTGGGGTCACTCGTGGCGAATTGCAAGGCCCGATTAACGATTTGCTTGACATTCTTGCCGGACTTGATTTCGCCGGAATATCGACAGTATTGCGAGACGATCTGTTTCTGGTCGGGGACGTCCTGGATCCAGTGGATATACTCTGTGCGTGACCCGCGCATCTCGCCTTCAATCGTGTACGGCGAGAGGCCCGCAAAGATAAGGACAGGTGCGCGTCCACAGGAGGCATTGTGCACTGCTGCGCCGAGTCCTTGCGTTCCGACATCGACGTGGACGATGACTGCCTGTGGTTTGCCTGATAGACGGGCGTAGCCATCGGCCATGGATAGTGCGACCATCTACCCTCATGTTTTAGATCAGTGGGGGTCAAGTCAATGGATGTGATTGATTCGTTGTATAGATTGGACTTCCGAAGGTAGCCGAGGAGGGGGGGGGAGGGGTAAGATGCTGATCTTCGAATGGTGTGATCCTCAACTTACCTCATTGGGACAGGTTATAATCGTGGGGAATCGATCTCTCTTCTCCTTTTGACCTTTGACCATAGCCTCGAGGATGGAGGGGTGGTCGGAACCTAGGTTGACGAAGACATGGGTTACGCCTCCCTGGTGTGAGAGTTAGCATGGATTTCAATTTGGACGTCATATTAGATGCTGTGAGGGATTTGGTTACTTACCTCCCATAGAGCTTCAAAAAAGGCAAAAGATGCTGTATAAACCCTGGATGGGGTAAGTTGAGAACTGGCTTCCAGGATGCTCGACGTGCACATACATGATTGCTTTTTGGTTCTTCTTTACAAATGTTTCACACCATAGGAACGCAATGGTAGCTGACGACCTCGAGGGGTATAAATACTGGAAGGCAAATTGATCAAGCTTATTGAGGGGAAGCTGGAGCGGAATCACTGTCCACTGGTAGTGCCTCGTTACTTCGGACACAAGTCCGAGTGATGTGGAGGCGTGGGGGGGCATCTTCTCCAGCTTCTTGCTTTACCGAAGAACCATATTCCAAGGTTCTACATACAAAATTGGCCCCTCCCTTCCAGGCGATAAACCGATCTTTGTTGATTTTATAAATCGATGTGGGATCAACCTCGGGTCGGTATCGACCTGATGAAGAGACCGAGACCCATGTCTAGCACTAGTTGGTGAGCCCCCACATAATAGTAATGTACTACCTAGGTAGGTAGTGACACACCTCGGTCATATAATTCCGCTCGTCACAGTATGCATCTGCTGTATTATTCAGCCGCTACTAGTATCGGGATAGCTTGTCGTTCTCGGAGATAATTGCTAACTATAGCTAGTCAAGAGATCTCCGAGGTCCCAACGTACCAAGAGTTGGTATGGTATGTCTTCGGCAGAATGCAAAACAGATATTGTTGAATGTATGGCTGCCAGCACTCATAGAACTCGATAAAGATGACTCGGATCAACGGAATATTCTATCACTCACAACTAGGTAAATAGGCCGAGCCTTGTCAAGCAATATTGTAACAGTCGCACAATGACAGATGCCCTAGATTGTAGTCCAGCCAAAATCCTCAAGAGTTCACAAATTAAATTCCACTTCATCCACTTGAAGTAACTTACACCATAGGTATTATACTCAAAGCTGCTTGAGTATGGCTCGCCCGTATGATAAGGCCATAGCCGACATCGCACACTACGTCTTCCACTTTAAACTCGACCAGGGCGACGAAACGATATGGGAACGGGCTCGAATGGCACTTCTTGATGCATTGGCATGTGCGATTGAGACCGCAGCAACAAGCCTGGAAGCTAGGACTTTGATCCGGCCACTTATTCGGGACACGATCATCTCCGGTGCGTTTCAAGTGCCGGGGACAGGTTTCAAAGTCGATCCTATCGAGGGGGCTTTCGATTTGGGGGTTTTGATACGGTATCTCGATCATAATGATGCACTAGGAGGGGCAGAATGGGGCCATCCGTCAGGTATTTCATCATATGTTATTATTGTAGATTGATTATAAGTAGAAACAGAGATTAACTAATGAATATAGATAACCTAGCAGCCATTCTTCCCGTTATGGATTGGTTATCTCGCGCTTCGATATCGGGTCGTTCTGGGCATACGGGACCGCCTGTGACAATGGCTACCTTGCTTGAAGCATTGATCAAAGCGTACGAGATACAAGGCTGCTATCAAATGCAGAATGCATTCAATGAATATGGAATTGATCATGTTGTATTGGTGAAACTGGCCTCTACCGCTGTTGTATCCTGGCTGATGGGCTTGACGGAGGAACAAATTATGGCTTCCATCTCTCATATCTGGATGGATGGGCATCCGACCCGGGTCTACCGCTCTAAAACCAGCACGACTCCACGAAAAGGGTGGGCCGCGGGTGATGCCGCTCGCAGAGCTGTGCAGATCGCCCTGTATGTCAGGGCGGGCCAGCCCGGGGCCCCAGAGGCATTGACTGCAAAGCCATGGGGGTTTTTGGCTCGAACATTTGGTGAACGTGGGTTCGAATTTTCCAGGCCATTTGGAACGTGGACTATTCGAAATGTTTTCTTCAAAACGATGCCAGTCGAGGGTCATGGTATTTCAGCGGTGGAAGCAGCTCTCTTGCAGCGCCAGAAGATAGTAGACCAAGGGTTATCCGAGCCAGCGAAGCATATCGAACGTCTCGAGTTGCGTACCTCTGAAGCGGCCAACCTGATTATCAACAAAGCTGGGCCCCTGCAAAATGCCGCAGATCGAGACCATTGTATTCAGTATGTTGTGGCGCTGTCTTTCCTGAAAGGCAGTGCTCCAGAAGCAACCGATTACTCTGATGGAAGCCCGTGGGCAGTCAGTGCTGAGTTGGCACACCTCAGGCGCAAGATAAGTGTTCACCCTGATCCACAGCTCACCCGGGGTTATTTGGATTTGGACATAAAGAGCATTGGCACAGGGTTGACAGTCGTCCTTGTAGACGGCACAGTGCTTCCAGAGGTTCTGGTCGAGTACCCGATCGGCCATGTGCGAGACACCCGAACCAAACAAGCGTTGCAGAAGAAATTCATGCACAATATGGCATATCTGTTTTCAGAGACAGAGATAACCCACATATTGCATGCGGTTGAGAACATGAATACACCGGTCATACACTTGGTGGACTTGCTTGCTCGGCCAGTGGCCAAAGGGAGACTGTAAGACAAGTCTCATTCATCTGGCGCGACCGCACCCGTATTGTTCATATCATGAAATTTTTCAATCAACTTTGCCGACTCCTTGCAGAGTCAAGTAAACATCCGTGCCCCATCCCCAAAGACTTTGCACAGCAATGCTACCACCAAAGTATTCTGCATAGGCACGACTCAGAGGTAATCCATACCCAAGACCAGCAATACTACTCAAATGACCACCACTGCCAGAAAGAGTGTTCAAAGCGTCAAGATTCCCATTCGCCGAATTGGAAAAATCCATATCAGAGAATGTAGTGAAACTGTATGACCAGATATGAGGCAAGACTTCTGGAGGGATGCCGCCTCCCCGATCACGAATGCGAATTGTAATACTCTGCGACGAAGGGTTCGAGTGCCCGATCGTCTCATTCGTATGAGAAGTATCCTCGGCCAGATCGACCCCAGTATCGGCCTCTTCCTGATACGGTTGGTATTTACCGGGAACGTCAGGCGCAGCGGCGATTGTGATCTCAATGGGTTCGCGTTCATTGCCTGACTCGATAGTCGCGCGGAACGCATTCTTCAGCAGTTCTGTAATGATATATTCCACATGCACGGGGATATGCGCGAAGGTAGCCTCTGGCTCTCCACCAATTTCGAGACGTGGGCGGACTCCATACTTGAGCTCGCAGATTTCCCCGACAAAATCCTCGCAGAGCCTGATGATTCGGGAAGGCTGTAAAGCCGTGTCAATGACACCGATGTAGTTGGACGGTATGGAGTTCTTGGGCGAGGCTGGCTCGGCCTGTGTTCTAGTGGCTGGATCATCGTTTACCGGTTGTGAGGCATAATGCAAAGCCAGGTGCTGCTCGGCGATCAAGCGAGTGCCGATACGTGCGCGCAAATGGGTATCCAAGAATCGTGTCACGTCCTCTGGACTGACATACTTTTGACATTCGAGGAATCCCCGCGCGAGGATGGGAATAGTGTTGGTATGTGTTTGGACAAGGTCGGCGAGCGCGTCACCGAAGCGATTCTCCTCCTCGAGAGTTGTGATCTCCCGTTGTTGATAGGGCAGTAGGGCAGACAACGAGTGCTGGTAATTGTTGTATATCTTCGACACATGGGGGTTGGATACGACGATAAATGGAAGGTTACGCAGAGCTTGGATTCGCGAGGCTAACCGCGCGGGGAGAAGAGAGAGGGTGAAATTGGCTGAAGCCAGCAGCGCTTCTTTGGACAGTGGTGGACGGCCTTGTCTAGATAATGGAGATTACATGAGCGGTGGTCAAGATAAGTGAGTTTTGTGAATCAACAGTAATATACCTCAGTAAATCTGCCAGTGTCAAGCGTCGACGAGGACTTGAGGCGAGTTGAGCAACCTCGTCTCTGGCGGCATCCGAGCCGGACCTGTGAAGAGACCAATTGTGAGCCGGCCGCGACGTTGAAGACGGGCGAAGTAAGCTCTGCGGTGTGCACAATAGTCTCCTTTGAGCTCTAACCGGTAGAGTTCTTGACATTATGCCAGCCATTTTGTGCCGTGGGGCAAGAAGGGGGAAGTTGTGTGGGAGATAACTTGAATTCGGTGCTCCTCTTTGTTGGGCGGTGACGATCCGCTGGGGCGGATATCCTCGGCCTGCTTGGCTCTAGTGACTACCATCGCGGTTTTATGATTGTAGGATTGTAGGAAGTTCCCTGCTAAGCACGGAGCAAAGTATCTGCTTAGTATTTGTTTGGTGCTCTTAAAACAAGGGTATATTCATAGAGACAAACTTTTCGGGTTCATATTTCAAACATTCATTTTGTTGAATATCACCCCCCACCATGCGAACTTGAGGGGTGGCTCGACATTGGATACAATATACGCCGTGCATGACGATCTGAGCCTCCCTGCATATCCAAGGTGCAGGATGCATCAGCATCGCCTTTGTACGAAGTGTGATGGTACCCAGTGCTGGGTTACCCACGAAAGCTCTTATCAACATGCAATCAAATAGGGTACAAAACAGATGAAGAATTCATCGTTAAGATGTCATTGACATTCGTTAAAATCAGTCCCTACTACACAGGGGAAAGGACCGTCACAGTCGGGATCAAACGCTCGAAGTATGTACAAAAGATAGTCAGATGGCGCAAAGGGTGTACCTTGTGATAGGATTGAGTCATTGCGCCAAAAGCAAAAGCGCCGCCCCGCTCTCCTTACTGGTCTGGTCGAATCTTTCGCTTATCTTGAGAGGGCCCATGAAGCGTCAGCGATCTACCAGTACAGCGAGACCGGCCAAGAAAGGAAGATTGAATCACTGGGTCGAAACGTTGCCGTCAGCCTCCACGTGGATGTGCTCGGACGACTCCAGAATGGTGACGTTGTCCTCAGGGTACTCGACACTATAAGCTGATGGTGAGTAGATCTTCAAAAAAGTGAAAACTGATTCGCAAGTGGGAAAGAGGGCGGAGGGGGTGGGATAGAGGGGTATGAGGGGCCAACTGGCAGGTCAACTTACGTGAAGCCCTTGATGAGACTATACTCGTGCTTGATGGTGCCTCCACCGCTACGAGCATCATCCTTGGCCCTGAGTGAAAGGGATTCGTTAGCAGAGAGATATGGTGTGTTCAGATTTTGAGGTCGACAAACTTCTCAAGCTCGGCAGGAGGAGAATCCTGCTTCAAAGTGACCTGGATGTGAGTGATGTCAGCAGATTTTCTTTGAGTTGGTGGTGTGGGGAGATCGACTAGTCACATACGTTGTAAAGAGGCATTTTGTTTGAATGGTAAATGGATGTAGAGATTCGTGAATGGTTTAGAGGAGGTTGAGCAAGAGAGAAAGAGAAAGAGAGAGAAAGTTGGAGAGGGAGAGAGAGAGTTGGAAGAGCGAAGGAGGAGCTGTGGTGGAGATAAGAAGAAGCGGAGGTGGGGGGGAGGGGCGACTTAAATACTTCCCTCCCTTTCCCAGTTTAGCAATACTTACCAGGGTACTAGTAGCACCTGCACCGATGGGATATGAGTTAAATTGATAAGAGTGAGTTTTGATTTTTACTTTAGTAAATTGGGAATCTTCTCTTTTCCCACTTGTGCTCCGTACCTAGCGGGTGGTTGTCGACGGCCGGTTACACGGCTGGTCTCCACACTGTTCGACATGAACATTGGATGTCGTGATTGTCTCTACAATTAGTCTACACCTGGGCATACAGTACTAAGTAGCTTCTACTAGCTTACTTGACATAGATACAAGGACATACATATCAGACTAACTACCAGGTTATCGGTGATGATGATGTGTCTCGCACACTCCTTGCGCCATTGATAGATTACCTCATTGTGTGGACCAACACTCTACCTAGGTACACTATTCTGCTGGCCCAGTTTAGTTTAGGTTTGGTCCGAGTTGATGTAACGATGCGGCAAATGCCCGATGACGATATTACGATCCTGGTCCTCAAAACGCGGGGCACTGGCGATCACGTGTATGCATGTCATCTTGCTCTTGATGGAATAGTCCTGGTCCCGATGCTAGTCTAGTATTGATCGGATCACAGTCCAGTATATTCGTCCTTCTCGCGGGATGGCATACGCATCCCGTGTTGGCCTTGGTATTTGGGGCTCTCAGGCGCCTTCCACCCTTCCAGCACCCTGGAGTCCACCAGCTGATACACCTCCACCCCCAGAGGACGACAGGTCGCGCCCATACCTCCCTCCTTGTCATCCCACCCCCAATTAGAGAGGTCGCCTGAGTAAACAAAGGTCAGCACAATCGGGAAATATCGTCCAGGGCATCCGCGTCCTCAATGTCAGAGTGAAACGTACCACCAGGGCATGCGGATAGCGCACAAAGGACATCCACCTCGGCAAAAAACTCGAAGTACTCTCCCGACTTTGCGGGGGAGGTCTCCATAAAGTATTTCCCCTGATCATCCAGACCCGTCACCTGAAACACATTCAGTACATCATGAACATCCAACTCGGTCAACCCGTAGGGAACAACGGCCCGGGTGAGATTCGAGTGGCAGTGGAAATCAAATGTCTCGCCGCCCATTAATAGATTGACGTAAGGGTCGCAGCGAGTCCCCAGTAAATCATGCACTCGGCCTCCAAACTGCGTGGTCCCAAATTCAACTTCCGGCCTGCGCGTCCCATCTGGGCCAAGCACATCATGCAATTGCCCGCCGCCGAGTGAGTCGCCAGTGATTGTCACCAGGGGTCGCAGGTAGGGTAGATTAGACCAAAGACGATCACCAACAGACACATGGGAAGCGTGGATCTGACGGGTGCGAGCGGCCCACATACGCTCGCGGGGGTTGTTAGCATTCCAGATGTTCAAATCACCCACTTGCGGGCCCTGTGGTGTAGTCAACCGGCAGATGTGGCCAGCAGGAACTATCCAAGCCTGGCCAGAGCATGGTCGGATCGTGAAAGATTCCGTGGGGAGACGAGCTGCTGGATCGGATGCAGTTTTGGAGATTGACTGGTAGAGTTGCGAGGTAGCGTGTACGCCCGAGTCAGGAGGGGCCGTGTAGGCTGGTGGGGGTCGACGAGCGGCAGACATCCTTCGAGATGGAGGAGATAGGTCACTTAGTAGCGAGAGCTAGATAGTCCTGGAGTGAATGAGACGTTTCGACCTGGAATCGATCCAAATGCGCTATTGGATCTCGCTTATGTACTAGTATTTATAGGTACAAAAATGCCCGGGTGTACCACTGTTCTCTGTACCAGGACGGTAAATCCCCACTATTCACATTCTTGTACCTAATATATAGGTACTAGTATGTTCATCCGACAGTTGGGACTCGGATCTTCGAATGGTTGCCCCGCATCGTCGATACGAACGGAGTCGAATGGACCTTTTTACGTACTTCTTTTTCAATGTCGGCTCTTGACGTGATCTAGTCCAAGTATCGCAGCAAAAAGATTGTCGGAACGATACCCCGATAGATCTGACGCCATCGCATGAAGGTACCATTCACAATTCACCGGCCCTGCAGAGTGGACCCTCAAAATTGGATCTAAACAGCGAGGCATCGGCCCGGTGCCGTTATCGCTCTCCTCCGCTATATAGCGGAGTGCTCAAAAGTGAGGCAACAAGGCAACAAGGCAGTAAGGCAGAAAATCGAGTATAAGGCGGTGAGAGCAGTTCTGTTCCAGGTCCTCCACGTCCCAAATTGCCGGGTCTCTCCGCCTCGAAAAAATAATTCTGGAGCAGTCGTTATACGGATTCGCTGTCCCTCGTCAGTGCTCTCTTTTGGTGAATTTCCACTGAAGAGAACTGAGGTCTGAGACCTCTTTGCTGCCAAAATGGAGCAGCAGTCTAACAGGTCGCATCGACCTGCAAAGGAGAAGAAGAAATTCGAAGGTATGCTCCCAGCAAACTGGCGCAATCTGAATTTGCGGCCACTGCTTCAAACCTTCATGGAGGGTCATTTTGCTAACTTGATATTTCTACTCAATAGGTTCAAACCCGAAGGCCTTCACATTCTCCAAAACTGGAAAACTCAACCGTCAGCAAGCGCGGTCCCACGATGTACGTCCCAATTGATTCGACAATGCTGTTATACTATTGCTAACCTGCTTTGCTGCGTTAGGTCAAGGAAAAGCGTCTCCATGTGCCCCAAGTGGATCGCATGCCCGAGGAGGCTCCTCCGACGGTCGTTGCGCTCGTTGGACCCTCTGGTGTAAGTTTTCAGCTTGTGTATCATTTCATATCGTTTCAGCACTGACAATGATTTCCTCTTAGGTCGGAAAAACTACCCTGCTCAAGTCTTTGATCAAGCGCTATACGAAGCAAACTCTGAGCTCGCCCCAAGGACCCTTGACCGTTGTCACGTCGAAGAAGAAGCGCCTCACATTTATCGAATGTCCCTCCGACTCTCTGGCCGCGATGATCGATGTGGCCAAGGTCGCGGATATCATCCTGCTGATGATCGACGGAAACTATGGCTTCGAGATGGAGACGATGGAGTTCCTGAATGCCCTATCTACCAGCGGTATGCCCGGTAACGTATTCGGCATTCTCACCCATCTTGATCTCTTCAAAAAACAGAGTACCCTGCGCATGGCCAAGAAGCGCCTTAAGCACCGTTTCTGGAGCGAACTTTACCAAGGTGCCAAACTTTTCTACCTCTCCGGTGTTATCAACGGCCGCTATCCCGATCGCGAAGTCCACAATCTGTCTCGATTTCTCTCCATCATGAAGAACCCCCGTCCCCTCATCTGGCGCAATTCGCATCCGTATGCGCTCGCCGATCGCTTCCTCGACATCACTCCCCCACCAACATTGAAGCCAACCCCAAGTGCGACCGTACTGTTGCGCTCTACGGTTATCTTCGAGGTACCAATTTCCCCGCCAACGGTGCCAGAGTCCATGTTCCCGGTGTCGGCGATTTGACGGTTTCCGGTATTGAGGGTCTTCCTGATCCTTGCCCTACCCCACATATGGACCAGCAAATAGCAAAGGCATCTGGAAAGTCCTCTCGACGCAGACTTGGAGACAAGCAAAAACTGCTGTTTGCTCCCATGTCCGATGTTGGCGGTGTCTTGGTTGACAAGGATGCCGTGTATATCGATATTAAGACACAAAACTTTACTCGGGACTCGGAAGACGAAGAAGAATCCGATAGCGAGGACCGACGTGGTCTTGGTGAGCAGCTTGTTGTTGGCCTACAGGGTGAACGGAAACTACTAGGTGAAGCCGATCAGGGTGTGCGCCTCTTCCGTGGTGGAGATGCGATCTCCCGAGCGGACGAAGATGACGAGAGTGGTCGAAAGCACAGAAGACACGCCCGCATTGCTGATATCGAGCAAGACGGTGCTGCTGCATCTGACGAGGAGTTCAGCGGTGAGGATGATGAGGAAGAGGACGAGGAAGAGAACTTTAGCGGTGATGAAGATGATGATGAAGTCGATGTCTCCGCGCCAGCTGACTTCGAGAAGAAGTTCAAACAGCGTCAGAACGGCAAGAACGATGGTGATGAAGAAGACGTTGCGTTCGCCGATAGTGACTCTGACCTGGGCTCCATATCTTCCGTCGAAGACCAAGAGTTTGAGAGCGGTGGTGAAGAGGACGATGAGGAAGAGGAGGAGGAGGAGGACGATGACGAAGATGATGAGGATGAGGATGAGGATGAGGATGAAGAGGGAAATGCTCGATGGAAGGAGAACATGGTGGCCAACGCCAAATCTCTTCACGGCAAGCGACCTGCATTCCGTGTCGCGGATCTCTCACGCATGATGTACGACGAGTCTATCAGCCCCGCTGATGTTGTGCAAACATGGCGCGGAGAGGACGATGATGAGGAGGACAGCGACGAAGAAGCTGAAAACGAAGAAAAAGACGACTTCTTCAAGAAGACAAACAACGAGAAGAAGGACGAATCCGACTACCGTGCTGTGCCAGAATACGACTATGATGAGTTGGAGCGAAAATGGCGCGACGAGGAATTGATCGAATCTCTCAAACAGCGCTTTGTCACCGGCAAGCTCTCTGCTGGTGGCCTCGACGATCTCGACGAAGTTGACTCGGATGACTTCGACGACGATGAAGATGACGAGGGCGACGGAGCATTCGAGGATCTGGAGACGGGTGAAACCTTCGATGGCTTCAAGGAAGATGGGGAGGAGGATGAGGAAAATGAAGACGAAGAGGCTGAGCCTGAAGAACCCATGGATCTGGAGGCTGAGCGTGAACGCAATGCTCAGAAGAAGGAGGAATTGAAACTTCGCTTCGAAGAAGAGGACCGTGAAGGCTTTGCTAACGCTAAAGAAGGCGAGCGAGATGGCGGGGATGGTGAATTCGGCGAGGACGATTGGTATGATCTACAGAAGGCAAAGATGCAAAAGCAGCTTGATATCAACCGTGCCGAGTTTGATACCCTTGACCCGTCGTCCCGGGCCCGTGCTGAAGGCTACAAAGCCGGTACCTACGCACGAATTGTCCTAGAGAACGTTCCTTACGAGTTTGCGTCCAAGTTCAGCCCTCGTTACCCCGTCATCGTCGGAGGACTCGCTCCTACCGAGGACCGTTTCGGATATGTTCAAATCCGTATCAAGCGTCACCGCTGGCATAAGAAGATCCTCAAGAGCAACGATCCCTTGATCTTCTCCCTGGGTTGGCGTCGTTTCCAGTCCTTGCCAATCTACAGTACCTCTGACAGTCGGACTCGAAACCGTATGCTCAAGTATACACCCGAGCACATGCACTGCTTCGGTGTCTTCTACGGTCCTCTCGTGGCCCCGAACACCGGTTTCTGCTGCGTTCAATCATTCTCTAACAAGAACCCCGGTTTCCGTATTGCTGCGACCGGCGTGGTTCTGAGCGTGGACGAGCACACTGAGATTGTCAAGAAGCTCAAACTCACTGGTGCTCCTTACAAGATTTTCAAGAACACTGCCTTCATCAAGGACATGTTCAACTCTTCCCTGGAGATTGCCAAGTTTGAGGGTGCCTCCATCCGCACTGTCTCTGGTATTCGTGGTCAAATCAAGCGAGCCCTCAGCAAGCCTGAAGGCCACTTCCGTGCTACATTTGAGGACAAGATCCTGATGAGTGACCTTGTGTTCCTGCGCGCATGGTATCCCATCAAGCCCCATCGCTTCTACAACCCTGTGACGAACCTGCTTGATCAGGGTGAGGGTAAAATGGATGACGGCGGCTGGCAAGGAATGCGCCTTACCGGTGAAGTCCGCCGTGATCAAGGCATCCCTACTCCCATGAACAAGGATTCTGCCTACCACAAGATCGAGCGCCCTACTCGTCACTTCAACCCTCTGCGTGTGCCCAAGCAGCTGGCTGCAGAGTTGCCTTTCAAGTCGCAGATCACCAAGATGAAGGGTCGTAAGGATCAGACCTACATGCAGAAGCGTGCTGTTGTTCTTGGCGGCGAGGAGAAGAAGGCCCGCGACCTGATGCAGAAGCTTACCACCCTGCGCAACGAAAAGCAGGCTAAGCGTTCGGCCAAGCAGGAAGAACGCCGCAAGGTCTACCGTGCAAAGGTGGCTGACAGCCTGGAGAAGAAGGCTGCGCGTGAGAAGAGAGAGCGTGACGATTACTGGCGTCGTGAGGGCAAGAAGCGCAAGAACACAGACGGCGAGTCCGGTGGACGTGGAAAGCGACGCGGTTAATCACACTTGGAATTTTTGTACATGTCATTATGGACATAGATACATTTTTGTTTTGCATAGACGGTGTTTTGAGTCCCAAAAGCCAATGTATATCAATTTTTTGTCAAATTTCAACACTGGGTCTCAGATGACTGTCCTATCAGTACTTGCCTCCAGGGCTGATGTAGAACCAACGACATTTGATAACCTGGCCTGGAATTTTTCATTGTCTGGATATCACACTCCCTACCTAATTAATATATTATGTAACATGCTCGGCATATGAACTAGAACATGTCGCTAGTGATTGCCGACCATGACGAACTAGTTCCAAGCGTGCGATGGTTTGTTTCGGCTTGTTTCAACGGTCATGGATAGCCTCACGCTAGCACATTATAGTGCTAGAATGCCTTGGCTCCCCCCTGCTGAGTGAACGCCGCAGCGCCATCGTTCTCCTCACCCCCATCAAGATGAAACAAATTTTTCGTACTCGGTGCCACCGGATAAGTACCCCTTGTGGGAATAGCGCCAAAAATCACTACCAACATCCACCGTCTTTGATTTCCAGGACGTCGGCAGACGTCAGCAGCCCCCCCCTGGCCTACACCCAGTGGAAAGATTCAATATATTATTCAGGGGGCATGCAAATTATGATCAGATTGATAGGAAATAATTCATTGGAGGTGAAGTTTCTCCGGACTAGCGCCAGCAGTGGAGTATTGGTGGCACATCGGTTCCAGCTCTGATGGAGCCCAGACTATCAAGCAGTGTCCAAGCTTCACTCGGCTTGACTGTTTATAAGAATGGTTCTATCTCATTTTTCGTCCTGGCTTCGAAGTTCTTGGTAACCTCTTTCTTTCTTTTCTATCCGTTCTTTATTCTATTCATTCTTTTCGATATTTCATTCTTTCAAAATGCGCAGCGCGCTTTTACTTTCATTCCTTCCCCTGGTCTTGGGATGCAATAATCCTGCCAGCCATGCTTGTGCTTCCGCATACACAGCATCCAGCTCTGAGGCTGCTGCTTTCTGTGCTACTTTCACCGCTAGCAAGGTGACTGCTACCACTGGTCTGCCCAGCTTTGCTTCAGCCTGTGACTTCAAGACCGGTCACTTGTCGAGTGCATGCAGTTGTCTCGACACAGCCTGGGCCACGGCTGCTGCCGGATCTGGTTCCACTGAGGGGGTGAGAGAATATCCATATTGATAGTCCGCAATTTGTGTCTTGTCTAACAATGCATTTTCTTTCTAGTCTAGCGCTGAGCCAACTACTGCCCCGGCGGCAGTCACCAGCACTGTCGCTAGTCCCTCCGTATCGACTAACACACCTGTCGAGACCAAGACGACCTTGGTAAAGACAACCAAAGCATCAACTCAATCTTCTTCAGTTGCTGTCCCGGAAACGACCCAAGCCCCTACAACTGTTTCCAGCAATGTCGCCGCTGCCTCTATTGCCTCGGATGCTTGCGTTGTGACTGAATACGCATCTATCTCTTCTGCCGTCAAGTCTTGCACCAACATCGTTCTTTCCAACATCTCTGCACCTCCTTCTAGCACTATTGATCTGCAGAGCCTCCAGACCGGTGCCACGGTCACCTTTGCTGGCACCACCGTAAGTGGTAAAAATATGCCGAACACCTCAAAATATGATCACTAACGCTTTCTTCGTGCTGTATAGACTTTCGGCGATACTTTCGACTCTGATTTTGATCCTATTGTTATTTCCGGAACTGATATTACCATCACTGGTACTTCTGACCACGTCATCGAGGGCAACGGTGCCGCCTACTGGGATGGTGAAGGCTCCAACGGCGGTCAAGACAAGTGAGTAATAAATTCGTGAGCGAGTGCAGGTAGCAGTTCTAACATACTATTACAGGCCGAACCACTTCATTGTAGTCAAGCATGTCTATAACTCCGAGATCACCGCCCTCAACATCAAGAACTGGCCTGTCCACTGCTTCTACATCAATGGTGTCCAGCACCTCACTGTTTCTGGTTTGACTCTGGACAACTCTGCTGGTGATGACCCTAATAGCGCTAGCGGTACCAAGGCAGCGGCTCACAACAGTGACGGTTTCGATATCTCTTCCAGTGACTACGTCACTCTAGAGAACATCTCCGTCTACAACCAGGATGACTGTGTTGCTGTCACCAGTGGAACCGAGATTACGGTTGACAACATCTACTGCTCCGGTGGTCACGGTCTCAGCATCGGGTCTATTGGTGGTAAGAGCAACAACACCGTGGACACTGTGACCTTCAAGAACTCCCAGGTCGTGAACAGCTCGAATGGATGCCGTATCAAGTCCAACTCTGAGACTACTGGCAGTGTGAGTTTTACGTCCCATTCTTCATAAATGCTGTTTCGTACAAAGAAGCTTGATGAAATGGAAAAGAAAACGTGCTAATTGATATCATCAACTAAACAGGTTAGCAACATCATTTACCAGAACATCACTGTCTCTGGAATCACCGACTACGGTATCGATATCCAACAGGATTATCTCAATGGCGGTCCTACCGGCGAACCTACTAATGGTGTGACTATCTCTGGAGTCACTTTTACTGATGTCACCGGTACCACCACCGATGATGCCAAGGACTACTATATTCTCTGTGGCTCGGATAGCTGCTCTGACTTTTCTTTCTCTGGTGTTTCTATCACTGGAGGTGGTGAGACTAGTAGCTGCAACTATCCTTCCAGTGGCTGCCCGTAAAGTTCTCCCTGTGCTGGACTTTGAAGGAGTATAATCCTGAGTTATAGATAAATTTTGAACTTTAAGAGGTTCGAGTTCAAACCTTCCAATCAACTTGCCATTGTTCCAAGTCTTCTTTGCCAGAGTAATACTAGAAGTAGCACTACTAGTACTACTAGTAGGGGTGATAGGAAGCCCTATGTTATACGGTCACACTGTTATGTCAATTATATCTCAATTATATCATCTACTTCCTCTATACTTCCTTTATACTCTATAGTAATCCGCATTTGTGGCCCGCTACACGTGACCACGCGTCGCCGCCGAAAGAAGGCCCGTTCGAGACGACGCATTCGACTTCCCTCAGGAAACCTTGATACTCCAGTACATCGTCAGGTTCGGTCTTTTGCTCCTATACCTGGCTAGAATTTCTGAAGAATTTATCTCTATTTCATCGGGTTCATCAGGTTCATCGGACTGGATTTCCCTTGGAAGCCTCACCCGCCGCTTTGCCGCTCGTGCTCAACCTTGCGCGTGCTGGTCGATCGCCACTAGATCGGGTAGATGCTCCTGGCACCCACCGCGGCGTCTCTGCACTCTCCCGTCTGTCCTCGCGGACATTCAGATCCTGACCGTTAACCTAGCGCATCCTCGGCTGCTCGACCTCGGACATTTCCGGTGTGTCTCGACAAGCGACAAGGCGCGAGAAGACCCTTTTGCATGTTTAGATCCTTTGCGCGGCCGCGTCATTTTACAATTGGCGCCTGGTCGCGTGCTGTGTGCGCCTTGGGGTTTCCCTGCATTTGACCGAAACTCCCCGCAAAGCCCCCTTTGCTTGACCATGAATGATATGTACAATGGGCCCTCCAGTCGCGGGGTTCCCCATGCGGAGGCCAGTGCGGATACCCTGGCGAACACCGCCGCATCACTTGCGACAGACTCGAGCCGCACGGGACAAGTTCAGGTTCCACGTTCACCCCAACCTCTTTCCTTGCAAGTGAATGGACTTGAGGCTGGGGTTTACAGTGGGAGAGATTCTAACGTCAGCTATGTCGAATCATCCGACCGTGGTAGTGAGACGTCCGACGGCCAGCGACCAGAACTACACTCTGCGAGTACCTTCACAGACTCCGCTCCCAGCCAACCATCCTCTTCACTAAACGACTCTAATCGGTCCATGGAACTCGATAAACCCTACTACATCAATGGCGATATTGCGATGGCGAATACAAATGAAGAAATAGCAACCTTGGAAGCATTGCATAATTTGAAGAAGACGAATGGAAATGGATTAATGAACGGCACCAACGGCGCAGTGAAATTGGAAAAACAGACCAATGGCTCTCTATCACCTCTGCGATCGTCAAACCTTTCCAACCTTCGTTCGAGTGCCGGTTCACGACATACACCGGGCCACAAAAGAACTGTTACCGGAGATGTTAAACACATTCCCACGTTGGCTGCACCTGCCAGCTCGGACGTCAATGGAGCACGTCGTCGGTCAAAAAGCACGGGTTCGCCAGCCCATGGAAGCAGAATTGCCCAAGTAAGGACCCTCTTTGAAGGCTCATGCCTGGGTGTTATTGACGTAAATAAGCTGTCCGTTCATATCCGCACACGACTATCATATGCAGCTGCAAAAATAGAAAAGTCACGGCAGTCACCGTCTAACACGGAACTAGCGCTGCGTGGACTCGAAAGCTTATCAACTTCAAATATTCCCTCGAGTGCGTTAGGCTCGACCCCGACATCAAACTCACAATCTAGTCAACGTCCATCATCAACCGATGCAACATCGAATCATCATACTCACCATAGATCGCATTCAGCAATCTCCTCTCCCGGAAAGCTCCTTCAGATTCCTAAACTGGCGCCTCCCGTCGATATCGTTGCGTCGAGTGGAGACACTCGACGACGGCGACCAAATCCCAACTGGGCCGCTCAACCATTCGATCGCAGCCCGTACGTTCGGCACCGACGCCATCACTCATATCAAGATCCCTCCTTCGCTCGACCATTCAATGGGTCACCAAGAGTTATGGGGCCAGGGACCCCGTCCATTCCGCCAACTAGTCGAACGCCTACATCATCTCAGAACGGGTATTACGGATTGCGAACTCAATCAGAGAACACTGCCATGGAGCAAGACGCAATTGAAACGTTGCTTTTCATGTCCAGCCCCGAGAACTCTGGGTATCGCTCTAGTCCTCGACCCCTACAACCGCCTACCACGCAACATAGTTTGAATGCATCGCTGTATGCCGACAATGAGAAGCACGGAACAGAAGCAGGAACCCAACACAGTCAAAGCCCACAAAGCGGCGAGTCTATCCACAGCCAAGATATGAAATCACGAAGTCTTGGATTGGGCTTGGAAGCTCACGCAGGGGATGAGATCGATCGCATTCTGGACCAGATGGACAGTGACAGCGAGGAAGATGCACGATACGCCTCACATCGTCTTGGGAAAAACCAGCATATTAGAAGGCATCATGGGCGAAGAAACTGAGCATTCGAACAAGATGTGTGTCTTATTCGAATAAACACCAGGTTTGTAATACATTGCATGGACATTTTGGCAAATACTTGGAGCTTGTTGCATTTGCATTCGTGACCTTTTGTGAGGGCTTGGCTTTGTTTACCCCATTCGATCATATTTCATGGTATTCAGGGGCTTGGATCATAGCTATGAAAAGCCTTCAACTCACTACCAATGGCATTACGAATTAATACATTATCATTGCTGATCCGGGTGCAACTCCGTAAATTTTCGACTCCCACGGCCCACAATAAGACCGGCCTGGATCTGTAACTTTGTACGGCAAGAACCACTCGTAATTTCCAGCTCTTCACTACTACTAATATATCAACTTGGGATGAATTTCTTGCATTTGACGATCCTCCGGGCACATTCTAGCAATCTAATCTAGTCTTTTCAATTGTATAACTATTTGGCCGATTTCGTTGCCTCCAATCGCAGGCAGAGAGAGTATTAGTCAATTAATTCAAATTGTGGCCTGAGGCATCAGTCACGTGGACGTGTTTCGTCGACCGCCAACGGCGTTGATGAACATGCCAACCATCAAAGAGATATCACAGCAAGGGCGGTTGGAGCATTTCATATGTTTGAAGCTCACTGAATAATCTCATATTGGCCGGTCGTGGACTTTAAAGGGTCGAGGCTCCCACCGAATGGGCATTTTGTGGTGATCGTCACCGGCAAAGGACCCTTGGATCTGCGAGTATCAAGTACCCCCCCGCATTTGATCGGTACATTGACGACCTGTTGGTAAGTAAGCATTGATTATATGTTGTGTACCCATGTTCTCTCACATGAGCTTCGAGGCTTTCGTGTTGGGCTTTTGTTTTACCTCCCCGCCATCGCCAGTTGCGCGACCACCATATTTACCCTCCCTTTGACCCAATTACTGTCCGCCGCTGCGGACTTGAACATCGAAATGTCTAACCTTGATCGCGAAATTCAGCTCTTGCGCGAAGATTCATCAATTTCGCTTTCCGATAGAGACCTTGTGCTTCGCTTGCTCCAAAATCCAGACCTTTTGCAGTTCTCCAGCACAGAGACGGTTCATAGGATCACCAGCCGCTTGTCTTTGCAACAGAACGAAGAGGCCTCTGCCTTTTTGGATACGCAATCATCACAACGGTATTTGATTCCTCTCTCGGCGTGTTTCAATCATGATTTACTCATCATTCTTCCAGAGCCTCTCTTACACGCTTCCAATTACCCGTCATTGGACCACGAGACTTCGGGCCTGGTGAGACTGCTGCACCAATCCAAGACCCCCAATCGGCTGTGATAAAACGCCGTTCTCGGGATCACAGCTTTCTAGACTCGAGTAGCCTGCTATCGGATTTGCTTGAACGTCTCGAAGGAGAAACACCCCTGACTATCGACCCGGGTACGACCCACGGACGCACCACGCCGCCCAGCCCTTCAATTTACAACAACAATCTAGGTGAGACAGAAACTTTCTTTCGTGACTCTTCCAGCTCGAGTACCCAGGACTCCCGAGCGCTACTCCCTGGTGTCAAGCTTCCCGGTCGCACCTTGAGCCAGTCTTACAGACAGGTGATTGATGACTTTCCTGCGGATGAATGCCCGAATGACAGCGATATTCCTGCACAGCTTTTGGAAATCATACCCCAAAGTCATCAACACGGGTTTCCTGCTTGCGAAAACATCACACAGGCTAATTCATCGAGCGTCCAGGACAGTGAAGGGGAAAAGACTACGCATCGGCGATCAATTGGGAATCGCCCCAGACCGCAAAGCACACATCGTTCTTTCTCTTCGCTCATCTCTTTGAGACGCTCTCCAACCAACCAAGGCCTCCAAATAGGAGTCACGAGGAGGTTCAAAACTCGCATTTCTCGATTCTTTAGGAAATTCAGATCTGGCCCATCCTAGAACACAGTACCCAGCACCTCTCTATTCTGTCTAGTCTAGTCTAGCGACTCAGACATACCGATACATCAAGATGGATTCACGCGCGTCAACTTTCTTAGACCCCTCCTCTGCCATAACAGCGATCACTAGGCATAAAGCCGAGGCGATCAAGCTGGCACGAGAGCAGGGGACTGCCGTCAGGGAAATGTGTCGTCGCGCAAAGACCGAGGTGCCACCATACGAATTTGAGGAATTGATCGGCAAGGGTGCCTATGGCCGAGTGTACAAAGGCCATGAAATACCTTCTGGTCGGCTGGTAGCAATTAAAGTCCTTGATATTGACTCTTTGGACTACAAGTCAAACCGTGACTACCGAGATGAGTCAATCAAGGATTTTATTCATGAGACCAAGGTGATGAAGCAAGTCAAAGACTCAGGCGCTAAGAATATCAACGAACTCATCGAAGCTATCTCCATCCATTCTCAGTTGTGGCTAGTCTGCGAGTACTGCCCCGGTGGCAGTGTGCGGACTTTGGTGAGCTCCATCCCCACCTTTGCCATGTAATGGGCCGCTGAATTAACGCTTGTTAGATGCGCGCAACCGGTGATAAACTCGAAGAGAATTACATCATTCCCATTGCGCGGGAACTTGCTGTTGGATTGCATGCTATTCACGAGGCTGGTATCATCCATCGTGACGTAAAAGGTAATTTGACACCCTGTGCAGTTAGTGCTAGACTTTCCCGCTGACAAATATAAGCTGCCAATATTCTCATCCACGAAGAAGGACGATTGGAGATCTGTGACTTTGGTGTAGCAGGTGTCTTGCAATCGCATCAGGATAAACGCTCTACGTGGATTGGAACGCCACACTGGATGCCCCCCGAGATGTTCTCCATGCGGGGGCAGGCGCACGAGTATGGCAACGAGGTAACTCATACCTCTCTTTGCTTCGACTTTGATTTGCTAATATATTCTAGATCGATGTGTGGGCATATGGCTGTACCTTAATCGAATTTGCCACAGGCAACCCTCCGAACTCGGGACTCCGCGAGCGAATGCAAATCGGACGTCAGCTTAATCGAAATACCCCCAAGCTTGACAGCGACGATTACAGTCAGGGACTGAAAGATCTTATTGCGTATGCGCTTGACTCCAATCCAGCCACTCGTCCAACGATGGCAGACATCTTGACACACCCCTACATTGCTGAAACAGAAGAGGACTACCCGACCCTCTCCGTCGCTGAGCTTGTTAGGAACTACTATCAGTGGTCACAACGGGGTGGGCAGCGAGTGTCTCTATTTCACCCTGGAGGTGCAGCAGCGGCAGAACTCCCAGGAGCCGAAGAAACCGACGAGGATTGGAGTTTCAGCACGACGGATGGATTTGAACGAAGATTCTCTGTCATTGATCTGGATCAAATCGCCGCTTCCCTTGCCGAGATGGAAGAAGCGATCAGCCCGACAACCCCAGCACCCGACAGTGATCTCGGTGACGAGTTCAATGAAGCCGACCTGAATCCTGAGGATAAAGCCAATTTCGACGAGCGAGTCCGCCGTGGTGCAGAAGCTATGGAAGGACTTTTTAACGAGGATATGCCAAGCTACACGTACGAGACTAAGCGCGATTTCGTTCCTATCCAACCCAGCCCCCCGCCTTCCGACCTCCCTCTCCGCACCGAGACGGATCGATCATCGGTCACATCCACTTTTATTGACATCGATATTGGTTCCTTCGACTCCTCCCATTATGCGGCCGGTACACCGGCCGCGCAGCCTTTCCAGCTTGCTGATGCGGACACCATTCGCGCAAATCGGTCTAGTATCCGCATTCCTCGTGGATCTAATGATTCTAGTTCCCAGTCTTCCAACAGTGATATCGATATAAACGAATCTCAGGATGAGGGGTTCAAACCCTCAGGCCCACGACCTCCCACGATGGACTGGAAATTTCCTTCATTCTCCATGGCCCCGCCTGAGGATGGTGAACCCGAAGCTGAGCCCGCCGAGGCCGAGGGCCAAAAAGATGAGCCAGCCGCTGAACCCACCCAAGAAGAAAACTTTACAGACGAGAAACGTGCTACCATGGAATGGACTTTCCCTGTCATGGGGTCTCAACCCGAGGCTATGCCTGCAATCGATGAACAAGTGAGCACCGATACTGATCGCCACGATACCGTGAGAGCACCCGTGCTTGGTTTGCAAAGACAACCTACGCACTCACCCGCAATTTCTCGCCCGTCAACCTCCGCCTCGAACAACTCGAGCATGTCCGACTCTGATTATGATCCATTCCGCTTTGATCGACCAACAACCCCAAAAGCTTCATCGCAATCCACTTCATTCGACCCGAAATTCCCAAGCTTGGTCGATAACGCCTCCGATGATGACTCCACCAGGGCCCTTAATGATTCTGTCGGGATTCTTGATGGGCCTGGACCTGATGAAGAGGAAGAGGAAGAGGTCCAAGAGGAGTCCCATCAAACGTGGCATGAAGAAACGGATATCATATCTTTGGATGACTTGCCGCTGCCCACTGCCATCCCGGTGCCTGACAGGCCCAACGACATGCCCACCGAGGAATCTGAGCCAGGATCACCTGTCATCGAGGAGCCCTTGCAGACCGCTCGTCGTCGAAACAATATCTCCTCGTTTCCTACGCCATTAATCATCGACAGTGATGCCGGTATATCGTTTCCAACCCTGATTCCCCCCAATGCCGACAGTTTGATGGAAAGTGCCGATGATGCAACGGTTACAGCTGAGCTGGATCGTTTGCTGGGTGACTTTTTGGGTGCCCTTTCAGCAACAGCAAAGGCTTTCTCAAGGGCTGACGATGAGCCGAAAGGGGATGGTGTCGCTCACCACGTTGCCGATGCAGTCCCATAGTCTCAAACCTGACGAGCCTTTCTCTTGGTACTTGATTTTGGATTCATTGGAGCTTAACAAAGCATACCAAGTTCTTGATCTTCACTTAGAGCTTTATTTCTGCATGATTATCGCCTACACATTCGCTCATTGCGCGCGTCTATGAGTTATCATAATGATACAACATATTTTACAGAATAAAAGAAAGTGATGTTTTGTTCTTATTACCGATTTCGATCAATTTGAATTAGTTTATTGAAGTGTTCAGATTAATACAAGAACAATGAATGAAGTCTCAGGTCAAGTACTAGTGAGTACCCAAGGTCACCCCAAGGCAAGTACGGCAGTCGGAGGCAGACAACCCACAACCACATTTCTTTTTGCTCTCCTCTCCTATCTTCTTCCTCCCTCCTCAAGTCTTTTTTTTGTTTCTCATTATTTTAAATAATAGCTCCCCGCTCATTGCCATCATGCTGGGAGGGTTCTCTAGCAAGAATTCGTCAGCGTCCTTCGCCCCCCGGCTGGTTCTAGCCCTACCTCGGACGCACAAGGAATGGAATGACGCGCTTACAGAGGTCAAAGGCCTATATCTTCAGAAGCAGTATAAACAGTGTGCTACGCGGGCCAGGTATTTTCTCAGCCCTCCAAGTCCACCGGTATGTTCCCGATTCTACTTCAGCCCTTGCAACCTTTTTGAAGCGGAGATCCCCAATTGACGAGCCATGCCACAGATCGAGCCCATCCACCAAGTCTTCCTCAATTTCTACGCCGCTATATCTTACGAGCTACTCGGACAGGCAGCCCACCTCTATTCGAGAACGAAGGTTTCTTTCTTGAATGCGGCGCTAGATTGCTTTGCCAATTGCGGTGCTGTTTTACCGGAACCAATGCCTCTGCCGAAGCGCCCTACGATTGAGAAAACACCTCCCCCTCCAAGTCCACCTGTATACTATCCTTCGACACCTCGGACACCTAGACGCAGTCTACTTGCATTTGATGGGGGGCTCTTCCAGTCACCGCGGCGTGATTCTCTCGTTCGAAGTATCACACGACTGATCGACATCTCTCTTTGGGATTTGGAGGAAGACGACCCGTTCATTTCGGATGATGAGAAAGGCCTCGAGAACAAATTCAAGCTGTCTCTCTCTCCGCTCGCAAGGAAGACAGCGACAAAGGCCGAAAGGGATCGTCTCTTCCGAGTCATGCTCTCCCCGACCAGAACACCGGCAGCCAAGATCAAAGAGCCACTGAAGAGAAATACTACCGCCAATCTTATACCCTCCCCCCTGCGTGTCCGCAAACCCTCAGAAGGGTCAGGGCCTCGCTTGGCCAAACCAAAATTCGTCGAAACCCCCAGCAGCGGCGGCAGTTCTCCGAAATCCCAGAGCAGAAGCTCGAATAGACCTCGCCCTCCACCCTTGCCTTTGAGAATCATCCCAGCCACAGAACTAAATATTGACTCTCAAAAATGCGATATACGAGGTCTCCCCGCCAGAAATACGAAACGCCCACCCTCCAGCGGCATAAACAATGTTCAAACTCCGCGAAAGACCACCGCGCCTGCGAAACCGACGGAAGAAATGACACCAGCGCGCGTGGCACAAATCATTCGATATAACCGCGACATTGAGACTCTGCACTCCCAAATAACAATCAACATAAATTCGATACAGCAGCACGTGGATCACGTCTTGGATATTCAACGCACCCGTCGATCTCATCAGATGCAGCGCTCCATCTCATTCTGGAGCTTTGACCCCATCAAGTCTGGGAACGACGACGAAGAGGAGGAGGGACTTGGCGCGGGTAAAGATAGGGAGCCGATTCTGGACGAATTCGGCAATTTCTTGGTGAAGGAGACGAAGGCGCAGCGGATTGCTCGTCTGCGGTCGGAGGGGTGGGAGACTGTTGGACTGCGTTCGCCACGGAGTACATGGAAGGGATCGCGGTATTATCAGGAATTTTGCGCTATGGTTCTGAATGAGATGTACCTGGATCGGTGAGATGGGGGTAGTAGAATTATGGAATGGAATGGGATGTTTTCGATGAGTGAGTCGAGGGTTGGGGTATTTGAAATGATTTAATTTGTCTTCTATTTCTGTTTTAATCTTTCTTTTCTTTCTTTGTTCTTCTATTTTTATTTTTATCTTTATTTTTCGGAGAATTCTTCTCTGATCGGCGGATCTGCAATGTACAGATGGGGTTACATGAAGCTTATTCCGATGATTTCGATTCATGAATGATGATATCCAGTATACAATATTCCGAATAGCTGATTCTAACTTGGATGGGTGAACAATCCTTGACGTTATCAAACGATTGAAGACCTCTGGACCGACCATTCCATGGCGTAGAAGCAGTAGAATATTATCACAGCCCTTTGCTCAACACAGACCCAAAGCTCTGACCCATTCCACCTTTTCCGAAAATACCCCCGAGTTGATTTCCCAGTTGGTCCTGGATCTTGGAGAGATTCTCATCCTCGGTGAGCTTCTTCGCGGTCAGGCTTTCTAGATGGATGGACATGGTATCAGTAAAGGGAAATATCCGAGAGATAAAGAACAGAACAGAACACAGGAAATGGAAACATACTTTTCAAGCCATAGGAAACCTTTGTCTCGCCCATTTGATCGAGCAGGATTTCTTGCAGTCTCTTCTGGTAGGGGTCCAACGTGCCGGAAACCCATGCGGCTACTAGAGCCAGCTGGGAGACGAGATAAAGAATGAAGTAGAACATTTTACTTTGATTCTATTATGAGAAGGTGTGATGAGTCTGAGTCTCAGTATTCTTTGTCTTTACTAGGACTCCAGGGCTGGTTGTAGTTAATTATTTATACATACAAACTGGATCAAGCCTATGACGTCCTAGGCGTGGGATATGACGCTGCGTGCAACATAATCTCGGCGTGGTGGGGTCTACTGTCTACCTACCGTACAAATCAGGGGATTCGGAAATAAATTAAATTGGATTTGATTGAGGACAGTACATAAGTAATAGTAATCCTAAAAGTTGGGAGATTGTAATGGCTCTTTTCGAGTGTTCAAGATATATAAGGTATTCCCATAGCTCAAGTGGGTTGTATACAAGCGATTATCGCATGTTTATGTAGTAAATTGGTGGGCTAGGCTTCCACTTACTAGTCACTGTGTATTCTGTCTGATTGGATGCTATTTTAGAAAGACTGTGGATCATAATTAACTACTAGTAGTAGACCGCTCTGTGGTTGTGCCATGGTCTAGAACTAGTGTTTCATGGACTCCGCGACCGATGAGTGCCCCTGGGGATTGAATGAAATGGATAGAATACCTAGGTACCTAGATAGGTAGCAACCTTGCGAGGCGTAAACGAAAAGGTAAATTGAGAACCAATGGAAGAAAGCCAATAATCAATAATGTATAGCATACTACGTAGTAATGTATAGGGCAGCGCTAGGCGGAACCACCTTGACCCGATGCAGTCAATCCCAGCGATCGGACTCCAGGTCAAGCCAACATGGCCAATGAAGATGGCTGATCCAATCGATTATACTCCGTCTGTACACAGATACTAGTTTAGCCCCCAAATGTACATTCAGCTGTGGCGGTGCGACCGTTGTGTGGTCCGTTGAAGGTACTCCGTAATCAGCCCCCAAATCGCAAGATTCCAGCTATCGTTAGAATTCAGGAGTTTATTATTTCAAGTTGAGTCTGTTCCCTTTATTCCCTCCTATTCCCTCCTCTTCAATATATCTCTACTATGAACGGCGAACAGTGCTAGATACCTAATACCTAGGTACTAATAGTATTCCCCTGAGACCACTGGCAGGCGTCAGCCGCACCCACTTTCACTTTCTGTTGTTCCCAACTCCTCCTTCCCCCCCCCCGCTAGCCCCTCAAGGCTGAAATTTGTCTTCCTCCACTAACATCCCATCTCCGCTAGATATACCTCCACTCGCGCCAGGACTGCTTCTCTTCCTCTTACTCCTGCTCCTCCTCCCACTCTCCGGCTCCCTATTTCAATCCTCTCAACTTCGACCTCCCCCCCCCCTCTCCGCTGCGGGGTTCAATAGCCCGCTTTTGCTACCTGACAACGGGTCCCCTGCCCCCCCCCAGGATAAGCCTGTCGCACTCCGATTCCAATCGACTTGGCTATAGGCAGCCCTTTTTTCACACACAATGAGTTGTGAGTCAATCTTATATACATTGGTTTCGGGCTTTGTTGCTTCCCGACTGTGAGCGGCCGCGTGGTTCACCCTGCGCACCTTTTGATTCGAGCCCAGTGCTGCTGGTCTCGGCCTGCATTGCGCCTCTACCATGTGGAATTTATGTTTAGTCGGGATCGCGACCTTTGTTTTTGTCAAGTTCTTTGCTGTCGCGAGCTTCCTGGCCGATCTTGTTTTTGCTCTCTACACTATTTATTGCGATGGTCTGCCTCTGCTTCTTCTGTTTCTTGACATCCACGTCTATACCTACTTCGCCCTGCTCTGGCCCAGATCTTTCCCCCATTGACTTCAGCTCTACAAGTATTTATTGCTCCATTTACTGACGTCTTTCGAATCTTACAGTCGCAAATATGCTCAACAAGCTGTCTGGACAGCCGGAGAGCTACGAGAAGAAGTACGATTCGTCCCAGTCCCGCATTGACTCGATTGATACATTGTCTGCATATACTAATGCTTTATATTTGTTTCCTCTAGGGCTCTCTACAAATTTGGACGCACTCTAGGTGCTGGTACATACGGAATTGTCCGCGAGGCGGAGTCGACTTCGGGCGATAAGGTTGCGGTCAAAATCATCCTCAAGAAAAATGTCCGCGGAAATGAGGGCATGGTCTATGATGAGCTGGAGATGTTGCAAAAGCTAAAGCACCCCCATATTGTCTCTTTTGTGGACTGGTTTGAGTCCAAAGTGAGTCTCAATTCAACTTTGGCTGGGGTGAATTCAGAGTTTAACCAACGGCCAAACAGGACAAATTCTATATCGTCACACAACTAGCAACCGGCGGAGAGCTGTTCGACCGCATTTGCGACTACGGAAAGTTCACAGAGAAGGATGCTTCACAGACAATTCGCCAAGTGCTTGACGCTGTCAACTACCTGCACCACCGAAACATCGTCCACCGAGGTCAGATCAACCCCTTCAACACATTCTATACCTTCATCATATCTGTTGCAGTCTTACTAACCATCCTACCAGACTTGAAACCCGAGAACCTCCTCTACCTCACCCGCTCCGCCGACTCGGAATTGGTCCTAGCTGATTTCGGTATCGCCAAAATGCTGGAGAACCCTACTGAAGTTCTCACCAGCATGGCAGGCTCCTTCGGCTACGCTGCACCTGAAGTCATGCTCAAGCAGGGACACGGAAAGGCTGTCGATATGTGGTCGCTGGGTGTCATTACCTACACCCTTCTCTGCGGTTATTCTCCATTCCGCGCTGAGAACTTGACAGATCTGATTGAGGAATGCCGAGGAGGCCGTATCATTTTCCACGAGCGATACTGGAAGGATGTTTCTCAGGACGCGAAGGACTTTATTCTTACCCTTCTGCAACCGGATCCCAGCAAGCGCGTCACCTCCGACGAGGCCCTCAAGCACATGTGGTTGACCGGAGAATCCGCCAGCGACCGCGACTTGCTGCCCGAGATCCGCACCTACATTGCGCGCGCCCGTCTTCGTCGTGGTATCGAGATCGTCAAGCTCGCCAACCGGATTGAGGCTCTCAAGATGCACGAAGAAGATGGCGAGAGCGCCGATGATATTCCAAGCCCCGTCGCCATGGCCGAATCTGCTGAAGAGGATTCATCGGCCAACGGGGATTCTTCTACAACTCCTACCACCAAGAAGCGCAGCCTGAGCAAGGTTGCTCGTGGTGCTATCTTCCGCGAGGTGGTTCTGGCCAAGGTTCGCGAAGCCAAGGACAATGAGGAGCGAGAGAAGGTTGAGCGTGAGGCACGTGAAAAAGCTGCGCATCATTAAGATGGTATCTTTTGGCGATTCTTTTCTTTTCTTCTCTTTTCTAATCTCTGTTTGTCTCTGTCTCTGTTATTGCTGTGTTGATGACTTTCAATGCTGGTTTCATGAGTTGTAGTTTGCTGTCATTCTGGATATAGTTTTTGATTCCCCAAGGTCAATACAGTCTGCATATAATCTGTCGAGGTGATCACGACAGATTACTTTCAAGCTCACCATGCGCAATAAATCTTTCCAATACAATAAATCTTTCTAATAGTACCCTACCCTAGTAGACTACTACTAGTAGCCACTAAAAAGTATGACACTCTCTGGTCCGAATGACGACCCCGGGATATCGATCACGTGAGTCTTATCATCCCCGCCAACCGCAAAGAACTTTGGAACTTCCCCCAGCTCAAGGCACGTCTTTGTACCCCTTCATCTCTTTCTACTTTCCCCCTTTCAACGTTATCCTACCGAAACTTCATCCAGGGTCCCATCTTCCACCTAGAGACCAAAGATACACCGAACACCCTACCAACCCCCGTGGGTTCTATCCTTCTTTCGACCCCACCCAGCGGGTGTCCGTTACCTTATCAGCAAAGTACATTATCACATCGTCGACTAAAGTGAAACACAATGGCGAGTTCTTTCGCCAGCAAGCGTCTGAGCAAGGTATGCTTGTGTTTCTCACGCTGGACTCTTCAATTCCGGCTCTCCTTAACTCGATTGAACTTTGCTGACCAGGAACTTCGTTCACACAGGAGCTCATCAAGGTATGACGCTATCCACATAGCGCCCCTATAAACCTTCTTCTTCCTCTACCTAAATCGAACGATGTGAACTCAAAACTTTACAACACTTTTTCTGACACCCTCTATTCTCACCAGATGCAAGACCATGTCCCACCGGGGATCACCATCGTCAAGTCAGACAGTCTTGAAGAATGGCAAATGGATATTAAAGTTCTCGATGAAAACCCTCTCTACAAGGGCCACACCTACCGACTCAAATTCACCTTCAATAACAAATACCCAATCGGTACATCTATCACACCCTCCGCCCTATCCTTCTTTTCCTCCAACTAATGACAATGCAATTACAGAGCCTCCCGAGGTCCAATTCATGGATCTTCCTACGACATCCGAAACACCCCGCCCGATCCCCATGCACCCGCACATCTACAGCAATGGAATCATATGCCTTGATCTGCTCAGCACGATCGGCTGGTCTCCTGTTCAGACCGTGGAAAGCGTCTGCATGAGTCTGCAGAGCATGCTCACGGCCAACACCCGCGACGAACGCCCGCCAGGCGACAGCGAATTCGTCGCCTACAATCGCCGCCGAATTCGAGACATCCCCTTTGTCTACGAAGACGATAATGTTTAAGCAGCTCCAGAGGCTTAGCACAGTAAGTCAATGACTACTGACCAGTCTTGAGCCAACATTCGGTGAATCGTCTTCAAAAGGGCTTCGTTAGCATCCGGGAGAGACTCCTCAGAATCTCTTAGAATCGGTCACTTCTATTTCTTACATATCTTCTGGCCTTGCATTACTGGCGCTGGTTTATCTGCGGTCGATCATTTAGTCGAGTCGGTGGGAGGGTTATGACGGCGTCAAGGTTGAAATTTACATCACTCAGCGAATTACATTTTTATCTGAAATCTACTCTTTCTTTCGAATATTTCATCGTTGTAGAATTTATAACGTTGAATAGCGAGTACCAACAAAGACATTTTTGGTGTATATAGTAGGAGTAGTAGATAATCATTTAGATACTAGTAGTCTTTATGGGAGTGAAGTTGCCGTCTGCTACAAAGATATCAATATACTAAATGGAAACCTTCCAAGGTTGGAAGACTAGAGAAAGCTATGGACCAGAAAGAATTCGGAGACAGCTTCCCTTTCAAGCTTGGAAATTACCTAGGTATCGATCCGCCTTCCCCGCTAATTTGACTCGATAGGACAAGAATCCTTCGGTTTGATTCGCCAGGTCGCTTGGACTCCCAAACTAGGTGCTGTGGGACCCGTCAACGGGCCAAAGTGTACGGTATATAACACAGAAGCAATCTGTGGGCAATTTGCAATTCAACGTGAAAAGAAAGCCAAATATCTTGGTTCTTGAATCTAAACAACTACCAAAATGGTGTCACTCGAGCCGATTGATCTATTCCAAGGACGCCCCGCACCAGACCTCCTTCCAACAGAACATCTCAAAAATGCTGCTGTTAAAGCCCTTTCTGATAAAAGCGTCTCAGACCCCGGTCTAGGCTACGGACCTGATGAGGGATATTTCCCATTGAGACAGAATATAGCGAGTTGGTTATCAGCTTTTTACGAGACCCAGCAACCTGCCAATGCAGAACGTATCTGCATCACGGGCGGTGCAAGCCAGAATCTGAATAGTATTCTGTCAGTTTTTACTGATCCTCTTCTGACCAGGATGGTCTGGCTGGTGGAACCTACCTACCATCTCGTTTTTCGCAGCTTCGAAGATGCGGGTTTTCATGGGAGGATGAGGGGAATACCGGAGGATGAAGAGGGTATGGATGCCGATGCTCTCGAGGGGGCTCTGGGGTTATTCGAGGAGGGTGAGGATTCAATTCCCGACATGGCTAATGTAAGAAATTCACCCTTCCTCCAAATTTCCCAGGCAGTGGATAATAACGATAAATACAGAAAACTTCAATCAAACCCCACAAATCCTACCGCAAAATATACAGACATGTCATTTACTGCGTCCCAAGTTTCTCGAACCCCTCTGGGACGACGATGACCACGTCAAGACGCGAGTCGCTGGTCAGAATAGCGCGGAAATTCGACGCACTGATCGTGTGCGACGATGTCTACGACTTTCTCAACTGGGATCTGCAAGATGTGAAACATACGCCGAGTTCGTTCCAGCGCCTTGTTGATATCGATCGCACTCTTGACGGAGGTCCGTCAGATTACTTCGGGAATGTGGTTAGCAATGGTACTTTCAGCAAGCTTATAGGCCCGGGATGTCGTGTGGGTTGGGCTGAAGGGACGGTGAAGTTTGCATATGGTCTTTCTCAAGCGTATGTTTTGTGCGCCCTTCAATCTTCAAGCTATTTCCATGAAAGGAGATACCTATAGAAAGATCAAATCAAATTTGAAGACGTTCAGGCTAACGAAAAACACTGGCAACATTTAGGGGCCAAAATATTTCCGGCGGTGCACCATGCCAGCTCATGTCGACTTTCGTCAATGAGCTTCTTGAGGGTGGGATTCTGGAGCAGCATATCGCAACGGTTCTTATTCCACACGGTCGTCGGCGACACTTGGCCATTCTCGCTGCTGTGAAGGAGCATCTCAGTCCTCTCGGCGCGATGATGTCTTCTGATATTAGTACGGGAGGCACAGAATTAGGGGGTGGTTATTGTATTTGGCTCAGACTGCCTGCTCCTCTCACGGCGGCTGAGGTTTGTCGGAGAGCATCCGAGACGCAAAATTTGACTCTTGGGTGTGGCGATGTATTTGAAGTTCCTGGGAGTAGGTCTTCGGAGAAGGATCTCCGTCGAAGCTTGAGGTTGTGTTTTATGTGGGAGAATGAAGAGAGGATAGTTGAAGGGGTTGAAAGGCTGGCATATGTTGTTAGGGAGTTGCTTTTTACTAGTAATTGAGTTATTGATTATTAGATACTACATTGTACAAATGGGAGAAAGAATTTCCTATTGGCCTTTAGATGTTTTAATTTTCCAGCACGTAGACTCATCCTACTATTGAAAGAAATTCTTCAGGCCTTATTAAACCGAAGCTTTCATCACACCGATCCAGGTTGAACGTGAGTCGATGTTTTCGAACATTCTGGTGGCATATCAACTCGGTGGGGCCGGTCTTCCCAATTCGGTAGTCGAGGCGATTTGACCAATCATTTCTACGACCAAAAGACTTCCTCTGTTGAAGAGAAGGTATATAATGCGGCCAATTTTCAGCCGATTTGGATTTTATCTCCTCTCTTCCATAATTCTTCCAGCATCTCAACAGCACACAATCAAGTCAAAATGGTCAAAATCGAAACATTTGCCGTGGAGCAGGTAATAGGCCCACCTCCCCTCAAAAGAAAGATAACTTCGGCTAACCTAGTATGAAGTGGATGGATCTTTATGAGGACAATGCTAAGCACAATCTGGCCGAGACCTGCTGTGCATCACTCTCGCTCAAAGAACTCCAATCCCTCTCAGGAGAGGAGACGGACATTATAGATTTCTCGCACAAGCAGACCTATGGTGCAATTCGCGGCTCGAAGGCTCTACGTTCAAATATTGCAAATCTATATTCGGGCAATTTGACGACTCCCTTGACGACCGAAAATGTTCTTGTCACCAATGGAGCTATTCACGCCAATTTCCTCGCTCTCTATTCTAGCGTCGGCCCCGGAGACCATGTCATCTGCCACTACCCAACCTATCAGCAGTTGTATTCTGTGCCCAAATCCTTCGGAGCAGAAGTTTCTCTTTGGAAATCTTCCGAGGCAAATGGATGGAAGTTGGATCTGGCAGAGCTGAAGTCTCTGATCCAACCAAATACCAAGCTGATCATCATCAAGTAAGGAAGAAAACCGAGAACCCTCAATCCATTGAACTCTACTAACCATTATTAGTAACCCTCAAAATCCAACCGGCGCAATCATCGAACGCGAGGCGCTACAGGATATTGTCAATATCGCCAAACAGCACGACATTACGATTCACTGCGACGAAGTCTACCGACCACTATTCCATTCCCTGGGCCCAGCAGAAAACCCACCATCTATCCTAGACTTCGGATATGAAAAGACGATTTCAACCAGCTCGATGTCCAAGGCATTCAGCTTGGCCGGTATTCGACTTGGATGGATCGCATCCAGAAGCTCCGAGATCATCGAAGCCTGCGCAGATGCGCGTCACTATACTCTGATATCGGTTGGACAACTCGATGACAGTGTCGCGACGTATGCATTGTCCAGCTCCTGCGTTGGCAATCTACTTCAGCGCAATACTGAGCTTGCACGGCAGAATCTGAAGGATTTGGAAGAGTTTGTTCGTTACTATGAGGGATCGGCGACGTGGGTTCGCCCCCGGGCTGGAACGACTGCGTTTATAAAGTTCGTTAAGAATGGTGTCCCCGTTGATGATGTGGCGTTTTGTCAGCAGCTTTACGAGAAGAACGGGGTTATGTTGGCTCCTGGTAGTCAGTGCTTTGGAGACGGAGAGTACTTCAAAGGATATGTTCGTGTGGGATATGTCCCTGAACGACAGGTGTTGGTGGATGGGTTGAAAGCTCTGCGGGAATTCATGGGAAATGGGTTCGAGAGTGTACCCCTCGCATGATGCAATTGGATAAGTGCGACCAGGTTAGATCCGGTAAATTGTGATTGGATCTATTGTAGTATCTATTAATTCTTTATCATTGTATGGCTAGAAGAGAACCAGCTCAAGCCCAAGTCGTGCAAAGTATTCATCCCATCGTAAATCGCTGCCGGATTCCCAGTACTTCTCCAGCAATTCTCGAGTTCTTGTGAAATTCCCCATTCCGAAGTTTTGCATTATGCCCATCCGCTCTCGTATCATGTCTCGTTCACTTGGGCTAGTTGTCTCACAACCCGCGCTGAACACTGGCCATAGGATCAAGATGTTTGCTGTTGATGTCAGGTTGATATTTTGAATAGCGTCGAGGATATTCTTGATGTCTATTCTGACTTTGATGTGGTCTATTGGTAGTAGCTGGACTCGGCGGTGGAGGTGGAGTAAAGCAGAGTGCACAAAAGCCAGATGTGTGCTTCTCAACTCGGTAGAAAAGGCTTCTCCTTCCTGGTATGATGGACCGGAAAGAGGCTTCTCTACCAAAGACATTATGTCGCTTTCGAGAGCCTCCACTTCGGCAATTACTCGAAGTGATGCCAATTCACCAGGGCTAGTGTCGGCAGGCATATTATCGAGTCTTTGAGAGCGGACCATTTGGGATATTCGTACCATGTACGGGATCAAGTCTATTGAGTAGCCGCAGATGTCATCGATGTAGTCATTTCCCAAAATTGAACCTCTATCCAACGGTCCATTCTCGGGATCATGAATACACTCGCCGTCAATTCCTGACAAGGCTGCGATGATATCCATAGTCTTGAACCACTTTGCTAATGATAAGAGAAATGGGTCATCGGTGGAGTATGCTTCTCTTTGGTGCTGTAGACACGCGGCCAAGAGACGAAGGACTCCTCGGAGATGTGTTCGCCAAACGTGCATGTTTCCATTGCAGACATCATTCGTGCACAGAGCCATCGCCGTAGTAATCGTTTCGGCTTTGAGTGACTGGTTTGCATCTTGAAGTGTCTCACGCAAACTAGATATTGCCATATTCGTATATTTCAGACAAGTCACTTTCGGGTTCGGGGTTGAGTCTTTGATAAGACGACTGTGGTGGCTGCAGGCAGACGCTAGAAGGGCGTAGAGCAAGTGAGGAGTTTCCATGGCAGCACCGATCATCCTTTGGAGGAAGAAATCCGGGGCTGCTGGAAATAGCATCTTCGAGGTCTGGGTGCCAAATATGTGCATCAAAAATCTGGATTCGTTCGATGACAGGAATGGCGATGGGTTGATTGGAGGTTGATAAATCAGAGACATGGGTTTCGAAGACGAAGGCGAGCTTTTTGGGACAGGAGAAGATATTTCTCTGCTATTTCGTCGCGGTGTCCTTGGTCTCTGTGGCTTAAGAGCAATGATGCTTAAGTCGTAGCAACATTGTCGGGGAAACCGGATGCATCGCGAGCATACGGGCTTCTGCAGATCGCACTAATAATGACAGTCAGTTATGATCTAATGTTACGGTATCTAAAGAGGACGAAATACCTTGACTTTCTTTCTGCGACACTCGGTACAGCCATCGCGCCTTCGGCGGGGGCTACCGGAATTGAACTGGGCATTGAAAGAGATCCCGCTATGAGCCGGAGCCGCCATGGTGTGAATTCTGACACTCGAGCCCTGCTCTGGGGATTTTCATTGAAATGCCTCTGCAGAGTGTTCCTCTTCTACGAATATTCCAATGATGTTTGTTCTTGAGTCAAAGCTACGGGCTCTGATTTGTCAGATTTGTCACCTCTTTGCCTCTCCAGATCCACATTCAACCCTCATACGGTCATCTAGGCGATCTCGCCAATCATAGCGACCCGTCAGGTCCCGCTCATATAATTTCAAGTTCTTAGGTCAACAGCATTCAGGATCGATTTGCGAGCCCTAAACAAATAATGAAAGCATGGGTCTCCGTGTGATCATGGAGCGAACTGAAGCTATTGTCCCCAAGTCTACGAGCTACGAGGTTTTACTGGACAAATAGAGTAAAAGGAGGTCTCGGAAAAATTCGGATGTTCACTATACACAGGGGCTGATGGGAGGTAGAGGCAGAAAAGAGACAAAAGAAAATTGACAGGACATAATAGAACAACGCCATGAGAAGAAAACATGGAGAATTTGGTACACCTGGGTCAGAGTCGAGGGTTCCTAGGGTAATCACGGAGAAGAAGAAGATTGAGTCGATGCATCCCTGCTCTCGGTTTTTGAACCCTATAATGAATGGCACAGAAGCCGTCTAAAAAAGGGGGGCCATTTCATAGTCTTCTTCCTGTTTTTTTGGATGGTTTTTTGTATTATTGCGTTGCGGGGATGTTTTACCGGTCGACTTCACCGAACACCAAATCCATGGTACCTAATATAAAGTTAGAATTATGAAACGATGGCAAGCCATGATTGTGGAGATGGGAATGCTTACCGATAATAGCGACAGCGTCAGCCAGAAGGTGACCACGAGAGACCTGGTCGAAACCACCCAGATGGGCGAAACCAGGGGCACGGATCTTGCAGCGGTAAGGACGCTCGCTGCCATCACTAACCAGGAAGACACCCATCTCACCCTTAGGGGCCTCAATGGCGGAGTAAGTCTCGCCAGGGGGCACAGAGTAACCCTTAGTGAAGAGCAGGAAGTGGTGGATCAGAGCCTCCATGTTCTCCTTCATGGCGGTACGGGGAGGGGGAGAGATCTTGTAGTCCTCGACACGGACGGGGCCCTCGGGCATCTTGTTCAAGCATTGGTGGATAATGCGAAGGGACTGACGGAACTCCTCCATACGGCAGAGGTAACGGTCGTAGCAGTCACCGTTGACACCGACGGGGACATCGAACTCAACCTGGTCATAGGCGTCGTAAGGCTGGGACTTACGAATATCCCATGGCACACCGGAACCACGGAGCATGACACCAGTGAAGCTCATGTTGAGAGCATCACGGGCGTTGACAACACCGACACCCTGAGTACGCTGCTTCCAGATACGGTTGTCTGTGAGAAGCTCCTCGGTCTCATCGATACGGTCACCGAACTGAGTGGCCCACTGGTAGATATCGTCGAGCAGACCCAGGGGAATATCTTGAGAGACACCACCGGGACGGACGTAGGCGGCGTGGAGACGAGCACCGGAAACACGTTCATAGAATTCCTATAGCACAAAGTAGGAATTAGCACATTGCCGATTACTTTTCCGACGAAACTCCGGGTTTCCGGCAAACTTACCATGAGCTTCTCGCGCTCCTCGAAACCCCACAGGAAGGGAGTCAAAGCACCAACATCCATTGCGTGGGACAGGACGGACATCAGGTGGTTAAGGATACGGGTAATCTCGCCGAACAGTGTCCGAATCCACTTGGCACGATCGGGGATCTCAACGTTCAGCAGCTTCTCAACGGCAAGGGCAAAGCACTGCTCGTTGGTCATCATTGAGACGTAGTCCAGACGATCAAAGTAAGGCAGGGCCTGCATATAGGTCTTGTACTCGATCAACTTCTCGGTTCCTCGGTGCAGCAGACCGACGTGGGGATCAGCGCGGATAATCTCCTCGCCATTCAGCTCCAGAATCAGACGAAGCACACCGTGAGCAGCAGGATGCTGAGGACCGAAGTTGACGGTGTAATGGCGAATCTTGCGACCCTTGATGCCCTGAGCCTGGGATTCAAGGCCAGCGGGCTCGTCCGGGGAAGAGGTACCGGGCTTGTTGGCCAGGGAAGTGAACATCGGGTCGGTCGGAATGAGTCGTGTAGCCTGATAGCTCGTGGCTTCCGCATTCTGGCGAGGAAGTGTGGTCGCAATTGAGCGAGAGCGAGGCACAGATGTGTTCAGGACATTGGAGGGGCGGAGGCAGAGCCTTTTGGGCGCATTGCCCGCGAGGCGAGTGAATGAGGCGGCCATAGAGGAAAGTGAGAGGAGAGGTCCGGGGGGGGGTCGAGGAAAGAAATCTGGGCCTCAGACCAGGCGCATTCAATGGATTGGAGGCGGAGTGGGCTCGCTGGGCGGAAGGGAACCTGCGTAGGAGACGAGGTCCGTCTTGCACGTCGTGCTCCATTTTCAAAGTCACGTGCTCCTAGCTGCCCGGTCATCAGTGTGGATTTGATTGGTCAATTGAACCCCACCTATATTGCACTCAGCACTTTAGGGGCTATACCATATCTGGTTAGCTTCTTACCCCTTCACCAAGGCTTACCACAAATTCTTTCTGCCTCAGGTGTCAACCCATCCCTCTTTTAACTGCCACTCATAATTCTGCCATTTCTGCCTCAGGCCACCGGAAATACTTTGGAGGCCGACCCTCACGAGAAATTATTCTTATCGCCGATCAACCTTCACCTCTACACTTCACCCGTCCCCTCTAGCTTGCCCACCATGGCACCTCTCGTCGCATCGCAGGGGGAGCTGCAGCGTCGTCGTGTGAGTCCGGATTTTTTCCTCTCTTCCCTTTCTCCCCGTCTCAAATATTAATCCATCGCCTAGATCATCGACATCAATGCAGAGACTGTCACCAACATCCCCTCCACAGATTTCCCTGGTCATTGGCCCGGAGAGTCACACGCCTGGGCCCTCGATCAATTCAAGGAGGTATGTCAATTCTCCGCTTCTTGGCCGCTGTTCATTAAAGCTATTCCCTAACCGCTTCTTTCCGACTATAGAACTTCAAGGTCGACTACCACCGCAATGACCCCTACGAGGCCTCATTCTCGCTAATCGGGCTGGATGCTGCGGTCGCCAATGCCTTTCGCCGCATCCTTATGGCGGAGATCCCCACTCTGGCTATTGAATACGTCTTCGTCCACAACAATACCTCCGTGATCCAGGACGAAGTGCTCGCCCAGCGTCTGGGTCTGATCCCGCTGAAGGGTTCCGTGGACGGAATCAACTGGATGCGCTGGTACCGGAAGCCCACCGAAGATGAGGAACCTTCCGAAGACGATGGTCCCTCCGACTTCAACACCGTTGTCATGCACTTGGACGTCGAGTGTACCAAGAATACCGATGCCCACCCGGCTGAAGAGGACCCCCGCAAGCTCTACAACCACGCCCACGTCTACGCCAAGGATATCTCTTTCGCCGCCGTCGGTCGTCAGGAGCAATACTTCGTTGGCGACGGTACTATCCAGCCCGTCAACCCGGACATCTTGATCGCCAAGATGCGCCCCGGTCAGAAGATCGAGATGGAACTCCATTGTATCAAGGGTATCGGAGCTGACCACGCCAAGTTCTCCCCCGTTGCAACCGCTTCCTACCGTCTGATGCCGGATATCAACATTCTGAAGCCCATTATTGGAGATGACGCCAAGAAGTTTGCCAAGTGCTTCCCCAAGGGTGTCATCGCTCTTGAGCCTGTCACCTCTGCCGAGGCTTCGCGCAAGGGCAGTGGCTATGAGGGCCACGCCGGTGAACAGAAGGCTGTCGTCCGTGATGCTTTCAATGACACCGTCAGCCGTGAGTGCTTGCGCCACGAGGAGTTCCAAGGCAAGGTCAAGCTCGGCCGTCTCCGCGACCACTTCATCTTCAACATTGAGAGCACTGGTCAATTCGAGAGTGATACCCTCTTCCTGGAGTCCGTCAAGATTCTCAAGTTGAAGTGCGCCCGCTGGAAGCGTGGCTTGAACGATCTCATGGCATAAAGCCGCAGGTTCCTTCAAATCTCGCAGTTATAACCTTTATAATGCATTTCACTGGCGTTGGAAATCTTCGAGCTTCGTTCGCGTTGTACATTTACGAAAAAAAAAGTTCGGTCAAGATGTTGGCTTTACGAGGCCGGAGTCCGGATATTACTTGTTTTTAGATCAATGAGGGCAGGTGGCTGTCTTTGGGAATAAGTTTCCAGAGAGTTGAATAAAGCTAAATTTCAAAATCATTCCAGTCGTTTCATTGTAATTTTCTCGTGCCTAGGAACAGGACACGGAGATTTATTGAAAGTTTAGTCTGTATCGGAAGTCGATGGTGTATGCCGGATCACTGACAGCCACCTCCTCGCCATCTTCGACAAGCTCACGTAGCTTCAGTCGCAAATTGGGTCTGGTGTGCTCCTCCAGCTGAGGTGGGAAGCGCTGGTACAGAGTCTTCTCCTCCGTTCGCAGACTTGGTTTCTTCAACTGCGCTTCAGCTCTCTCTCCAAGGCTTTCGATGAAATCACCCAGTGTCATATCCGCATTTACAGTCATCTTCCGTGCAAGATTACCACAGACAGGGCAGTCGGGCTTTTTCTCGGCCTCGAACGTGTAAGTGTACACTCCCTCCTCACCGGCATACATCATGTAGTTCTCGAGGTAAGGATTACACGATGTCGCAATCTTCAGTACCTCCGAGGTCGTGGATGCTGCAATAACTGCATTGGTGGATGCAATGGCCGGAATGATGTTCTTCACTACGCCTTGGGTCATTTGGAAAGTAACGCCATGGATGTGGAAGTGCTGTGCCCGTTGTAGAGCAGCATTATACACCCAGGAGATATGTTCCATATCGTCACTGTCAAAAGAATCGTCCTTGCGCTTCTCCTGCCACGCAATCTGGTGGGCCCATTCGATGCAGTGCTGGGGCTGGCGCGGGATAGTAGCAATCGTGCAAAGCGGGACCGCAGGTCGAGGCGCGTGCATGTCAAGTTGGCATTCAATGCATGAAGATAGTGTAGGTAGAATGACACGGGCCTGGCCCTTGAAACCTAGTCCACAGTTAAAACGTATCATCATAAGCTTCTCGTGGAAAACGTACCTTCAGTTCCGCCATCGATCAAGGGCTTCAAGCTCTCCGGGTCCTCCGGGTCGACCATTCCAATCAAAGTTGAGTTGATCCAGCGACGGGCTTCAATACTGTCGAGACCACAGATGACGATTTTGAATTGCATATAATAATCTTCATCTTTGTCTTGGATTTTACCAACGAAGGGTGTGATCTTGACGCCTTTGACACGTTTCTCTACAAACGCCGCGGCAACTTCTGCCTTTGGTTTACCTATATCAGCCTGACGGAACAGAAATTGGCGATTCAGGTTTGAGATATCAATGGTGTCTACCTATCATGTTAAAGTCGGGTCACGAAAATGAAAGTCAAGGAAAAGCATACCCATGTCGATGACATGAATGTCTTTGAATCCTGACAGTGCCAGATTCTTCAATATTTCGCATCCTAGTCCACCAGCTCCTCTGGATACGTGGGTTAGTCTAGACTTCACTTCGAAGAGATATTATTCATGCCAGGACGAACATCACACTGTTTTATAATTAGTTAGCACATCTCTTCCACACAAGTAGCTATGAATCATCTTACAGGATTTTGGAAGATTCTAGAGCCTTGACTGTTTCCATGCCAGGTACCCAATCTTCATCACTGTAGGGGCCAGGCTTCGATAAAACCTTATAGAGATGCTGCCTGTCCGATGTTAGTAAACATCTTCTCAAAATGGAAGGCTAAGGAATTTCCTTTAATTCTTACCATTGGCCCTGCTTGTCTTCCATGGTCACACTTGTCGTCGTCATTTCGAGATCAATCAACAATCGTCCACTTGACGTGCACGCGCGAATTCTTTAGAAGTGATGAGATGTAGTCCCACTTCGCAGGAAATGATCAATTTGGTGATTTCGGGACAGTTCTGTCAGAATGTGATTACAGGGATTCACTGTCGTTGAAACTATCTCAAGGATTGAAGGGTTCTCTCCAAAGCGAGAAGAAGGTTGTGATGGTGAAGAGAGGATGGAGATGACATGGCGGCGTTGGTGTTGGTGTTGGCGGGCAAGGCAGGCACGGACCACGTGACTGTGGTTGGTGGCCCGCATACAGCTTAAGCCTCAGGGTGGAACAGGCGGCAGTTCAACTTGGCTTTCGACTTCATCCCGGTGATTCAACTCTAACAATGGATGGCCTATTGACTGCCGTTAAAACTGTGAAGCGAGATCAGAACTCACCCCTGGTCGCTGCTGAGGTTCAGGCTCGCGAGAATCCCGCGAAGCCCACCATTGATTTTGATCAACATGATATATCTTCACAACAAGCCATTGATATTCTGGGATCCGAACCTGATCAGGACGAACTATTCACTATATTATCCGCCATTGACCCTTTCAACACATCCAGACAGATTCAAGATCTTGACATTCGAATTCCCAGTCCAACAGCAGCTCAAATCCTCCGACTTTTAGTCAGCACCACCATCCCTGGTCATTGGGCATCACTGGATAAAAAGGTCAAGACGTCGAAGGAAAACAAGACCCGTGCAGCTATTTTGCGATGTCTTAGCAGTGTGGCAGGTCTTGGATCTCTGATCACTCAGCTCCGATCTCAAATAGCATCAGCTCGGGCCAATGTTCAACAAGCGGAAGGTTCTAACACCTCACTTGCGATTCGGGATCTTCTTTCCGTTCTTGCTTCTTTATTGGAACCCAAAGATCTTTTGTTCCGACTTCATTCAGACATTTCAGTCCTGCATGGCAACAAAACAAAAGAGCAGGTTGCGTGGCGTGAGCTAGCGTCTCTTGTTGGCGCTGGGAAAATTCTCTCAACAGCAGCCGAGGCACTTACTCTCTCTAATGAATCTGAATTTCCGTCCTCTATTTCTTGGACGGGAGAAGGGTCTCGCTATACGTCATGGCTTGGTAATAATGTTGCCTATATGGCTTCGAAGCTACAAGTGGACGACGAAAGCGGCTGGGGATCTCTCGCTTTCTTGACAGGCCGAGGTCTAAGTTTGGGTTATGCAGGCAAGCATGACAAAATACTCAAAATCAAATGGCATTTTCTAACTTGCTTATAGATCAGCTCGTGCGAGAAATCTACTCGGCTCTGCTTCTCGATCAGCAGCTCGTGAATAGATTTGGCCTGCTTCTAGACCATCTTCGGCAGTCAGAACAACTCGTCATGCTCGAGGCTATATTCCGCGACATCCAGAAGCGTTACTTTTCAGCAGAGAATTCAGGAGACCATGAACAGCTAGCCACCAATACCGAGATCATCTCCAGCGTGGCGGCTTTATGCTCTACAATTATTGGCGATCGATCATATCTAAAAAATCAAATATCAGAGTGGTTGTGTAAGAGTCAAGGCGGCTCAATACAGACCATAGGGTTGCGTCGAGCCATTTTAGCCGCATACCACGACTCTAGTGGTAAGTTTCCTCGTTTTATGCGGAGATATACGTCTAACAAATGCAACCAGATTCTCTCAAAACATTACTTGTGCGTAGCCTCGAAACCTTTGGTGACAAGTTTAACGTCAAACACGTCCCACTCATTACCCAAAATGGTGTGTTAGTTTCGAGTCTTAGTTTCGTTTATTTTGAGACTGACGATTGAAATATTACAGCCAATGCCCAGACTATTCTTCTCACCGCTGGTCATTTGAGACAACTTGACCCATCCCAAGTCAAGGATATTGGTCGCACTGGCGTTTTCCTCAATGCAGTCTCTAACAGGCTGGCAGCATCATCAAATAGAGCACGATTTCTCGGCATGATTGTTGGCACCGCGATATCTGAGATTATCGAAGAGCCAGGAAAATCACTCAAATTCGACCTCGAAGAGATGCAAAGTGAGGAAGCATGCTGGTATCTTAGTCTGACTAAAGTGCAAGACAGAGTCGGGCTACTGGAATCTATCAAAGCATTGCAGACGCAACAATCAATGACTCACCAGAAACCCCAGAAGGAACCTCGTGTAAACAGCGACAAACGACCACAACCACGTTCAGGGCAACAGCAAAGGAGTAAGATCGTTGCTATCGAAGAAATTGATGACAGTAGTGATGCAAGCGATGAAGACGAAGATCTGATTCCCTACGAAAAGCCCGATGATGACGACGATGACGACGATGAAGATCCTACACTTGTCCAACGAAACAAGCCCATTGCTCCTGTGTAAGTATCTCATTAATATTCCAGATGGGCATATCACTAATCAACACCTAGGTACATTCGAGATCTTGTCACTTACTTACGGGATACCGAGAACGTGGAACGTCATCAGCTTGCCATTACCACCGCGCCATCTCTGATCCGCCGCAAAACTGGCTTTGGCAGCGAGCTTGCTGAGCAAATCGAGGAATTGGCTCTTACAATAGTAGGCCTCAACAACGATAATAAACATCCACAGTTCCACGAGTCTCGTCTTCAAAGCATGATTGCATTGATCGTTTCGCAGCCCCTCAAAATGGGCCGCTGGTTTACTGCGATCTTTTTCGACGGCGATCTCTCCCAGGTCCAACGATCTGCTGTGCTGACAGCTCTGGGCCTGAGTGCCCGCGAAGTAGCAGGAAACGGAGAAGATGATGCCCGAGCTTTGAGTCTCCCGAAGCTACAAGATACCTCGTTCCCTTCAAAACGGCTATCGCCTGCATTGGAGACTATGTTCCTAGGTTCGGAGAACGAGTCCCCAATCGCAAAATTGACACAGAAGCTGTCGCAGGCGTCGTTGCAGCCATTGGCTGCTAACGCCGCAGATGAGCTTACCGGCCCTAGTGCATTGAAAGTGCGCACTTTCTCATCGCGCATGGAGGTTGAGAAGAAGCGTCAGGATCGTGAGACCCAGAGACAAAAAGGCATGGCGAAGGACTTGAACAAGGTTCTTGCCGAGGGATTCTTCTATCCTCTTCAAGGACGCTTCGAAATCATGATGCTACAGTTCTCCTCGTGAGTCGTTGAGCTTTGCTCCCTAACTTTTGGCGAATGTCATCACTAACCGAGTCCAGATCATCTGCGCCTTCCTACAACCCATTCTTCGTTCCGCATATCCTCAGCCTTTTTCTCCAGACGATTTCTCTGGTCGTCTCGACGGCAGGCCCTCATACTCCTTTTCTACCGGGCTTGACCCATGAAACTCTATCTCTACTTCTTTCTCTGCACACGAGCCCCGCGTCAAGTGAACCGACTGTGGCCGCCGCGCTGCTGAATCTATTCCTCGCAATTGTGGACTTGAACATCGCTTGCGGTTCCAATGGGGAGGAGCGACTGGTCACTGAGTACGCCTCGCAAGTGATCGAGCTACGCGAATGGGCCTCCGGGGTCTTTGACCGTACACCGTCCAGCAATAAATCAAGTCTTGGCGCCACAGTCGATCCAAACGAGCAAATCAGGACACTTTCGGCTGGGGTGATGGTCCGGCTTGGAGAGGTTATTGAACGGTATCAAGGTCGATTGATGGGTGTCAACTCAGGCTTCAAGTATTGAAACTTGAAACTTGAATCCACATGAAATATTAGAGCCAGTTACGCATACATATGAGAAAGAATTAACTTTGAGAAGTGTGATATCGTGATATTATTCTAGATAGGACTAGATTTGAGGTTCATGATGTATAGTTTATTCAGTTTTGGCGAAGCTACCCTTTTCAATGGCAGCGTCCATCATACGGTCACCGCTAATAACACCCGTGGTACAAATGATAATTCTCCGACGCGGAGCCTCCTGGGCTGCGATGAACCGTAGCGCAGCAATCTCGGTGAATGTAATGCCACCTAAGAAGAATACATATACGTTCTTCGTGCCGTTGTTTCCACTGATCGTCTGTCGGGCCCGGACAGCTTTGTCGTCGCCCTTTTGAACGATGCTGAATGTGGCACCGCGAGCACTCTTGACCACGTCCTCGAACCCGAGCCAGCCGGGAGACGCCGCACTGGCGTTATTTACTGTTGCAACCGGTGTACCACTCTTAATGAGCGACAGCATGTAGGGTTTTTGTAAAACGCATTGGACCAGCCGTACGCTAAGGGGAGCAAAGCCACTGTACACGTAGGAAATGTCATTGGGGTCTTTCTCGCTGACGTCCTCAATTACCAGTCGTAGATTCTTTCGGAGATATCCATAGTTTGTCTTGGTGCCTGCCTGTGCACCAGACGTGGGGAGGAGCATTGCAGTAGCAGAGGACCGGGGTTGTAAAAGTTCCATCTTCTCTAGTGCCCAGAAAGTGAGAAGATGTTGATGACCGTAACCTTGCAGAACCTGTCTTTTGAAGTTCTCCAGGTCACGGGGACGCAGTCCACCATTCATGCACGACTCCAGACACAGCAATCGGAGTATATTCTTCAAAGGCACGTCTCGCGCAATGAGCTCTTCAATGTTCTCATGCTGGTTCGTAGGGTCAATGCCTGCTGCGCTGTTCTGCTGGATCTCCAGCATCTTCCGGAAGGTCTCGGAGCGAGTCAGCCTCATGATCTCCTCGGCAAGATTAGTATGAACCCGAAGGCTTTGGTGTTCTATTTGGTAAGTCGGTAACTTGTTGACGAACTCGCGTAGTTCGTTTGTAGACTTGGCCGAGTGGCGTGTCTCATAGTCAGTTTCCAGGCGACGGGCCACTCTGTGCAGGAGGTCACCGACAATAACAAAATTGGCGTCTCGCAATTGATTGAACAGCTGATCTGACGCGTCAAGTTGAATCTTTCTCTTCAACCCTTGTTTGGCCTGCTGGGGTGCCTTGGAAGACTCTTGAGCTTGTGGCCCTGCAGCTTGGCCGACGATACTAGTGTCCACTTCGGCTTGGTTGTTTTTGATGCCCACAAATTCATCTACCAAGCCCTCATAGGTGAGTTGAGTTAGTAGTGGTGTGCCAAAATCGACATCACGGTCGATGATGATCAGATTCTCCGTGTCAGCGGATGGAAGAAGACCTCGCATAGAGGTATCAGCCAGTCCGGAGCTTTCCTCGGCATCCAGCTCTTTTCGCATGCGCAGCAGAAGGTCCGCCAGACGACGCGCATTGTCGCCTTTTCCTACAATACGCGGAAAGTACCCGTGTCTCTGTTGGATGCCCATTAGTGCCTTGGCGGCATGGAAAATGCAGCCGGGGTCCTTGTTCTAAGGGGAGTCAGCGAGGGATTCAGAGCGTGACATGAGTGAATTCACTTACCAGATACAAGTCACCGAAGGCATCGTCTAATTCTAGTGATAAGATATCCTGTTCCAGTGGCAAGAAGTGGAGTGGGAACTCGGCGATTGTGACATCTCCGATGATCCCCGCATCTTCTAGGACGGCATTGCTTACGAGGGTGCGTCGAGGGGTGAGGAGGATGGAGAACTCATGCTGGATATTGCCATTGTTCTGTAGGCGTTTGATCTGTTCTAAAAAGAAAGGAAGGATGATGTTAGCTCAATCTGATGACTATCGATCGGCGGGCTACTTGATGAAAGCCAGATAAATGAGCGAAAAATGACCAGATTTCAATCTAGGGAGCGTAGGCCGAAGCCACAACCGATTACATAGAGATGGAAGCTCATATGTAACTGCTGGAGTCCCAACGAGACAGGGGGGAAGCGGGTAAAACAATGCAATGGCAGACAGAGAAGGGCGAGGAAGTCACGTACCTGCGACGGTCCGGAGGTGATGAGCCTTCTCACCACGAACCAGGAAGACGACATTGCGCTGCGACGAATCGATGTTTGCATTTTCCAACAGGAAGATGCGGTCTACGCCGTACTGCTGAAGTTCGGAGAACTTGACGAACAGGCCAACTGGACCTGCCAGCTCCTGACTGATGACGAGGTTCTTCTTTCCCCGAGCCTAGGCAGCATTAGCAGAGAGCTCGGAGAGTGGTAGAGAGTACCATTACTCACGCCTTCCAGAAGGGCTAGCAGTTCCCTGCGAGCCTGATCTCTGCAGTAGTCGGCATCTCCCTGAGGTGCCATCTGTGCGAGGAGGGCGAAGTCAAGTGGGCGCAGTGACGGGGGGGCAGTGACGGGGGGGCAGTGGACAGGCAGCAAGCAACAAGCGAAAAGCAGCCAAAACCCAAAAATAGCGGGCGGAGAGGCGAAGCTACCCTCTTTGAGACTAGTGGGGTATTCAAGGGCTGAGTCAGCTGTACTGAGGTATGAATGCGGTAATATGACCAAAATTGCCACTTTTACTGCATGTCACATCCGTCACGTTCTTATTTGTTGTATACATTGGGCACTTTGTACATCGCCGCCGCTCCCCTGAGGCGCCAATCAATTAATTCAATCGAAACATTTTCTCGCCTCGCACTCCCCTACTCTTTCCCTTTAATTTCCTCTCCTCGTTTGATCATCTAAAAATCTTACCCCCGAAACCTCCGTCTCATTGATTCATCTCACAAGCATCCTCTTCCAAAAAGAAATCCCAACCTCATACCCGCCTGCGTCATGGGAATCTTCAAGAAATCCGATAAATCCGATGCCGACTCCGAAGAGTCGACCCGTCGTGGTCTTTTCGGTCGATCCAAGAATAAGAGCCCCGCGCAGTCCACCAACCCTTACGCTCAGCCTGCCCCCCTCGATGCCTACACCAAGGCCAAGATCAACGCCGGTGTAGCTCCTCCCCCGGCGGGTGGCATGGGATCCCCCGCCCCCGCAGGCGGACCCCACGATATCCCAGGTGATAACAAGTACCAGGGAGGTGGATATGCTGCCAACCGCTATGGTAACCAGGGAGGATATGGCAGTGACCGATTTGGCAGTGGAAGTGGGAGTTCTGGCGCTGGCGCCGGCGCCTCACGATATGGATCGGGAGGTTATGGAGGTCTAGGCAGCACCGACCCCAACGATCCCAATGCCGACGCCGCTCGTAATGAGCTTTTCGGTGGTGGTGCCAGTAACGGTGCCAGTAATGATGGCCAGGGGACACCTCAATCTGGCGCCCCGCCTCCATACTCAAACGACCAACCGGCCAACTACGGTGGCGGCAGCAATGAGTACAGCATGGCCACCTACCAAGACCGACAGTTGACAGCGGAAGAAGAGGAGGAGGAACAAGTTCAGGCTACCAAGCAAGAAATGCGCTTCATGAAGCAAGGCGATGTTGCCTCCACCCGGAACGCCCTCCGAGTTGCAGCCCAGGCCGAAGAGACCGGTCGTTCAACTCTGGCCCGTCTAGGCGCACAGGGTGAGATGGTCCACGGTGCAGAGAAGAACTTGGACATGGCTACAGTGGAGGGACGTCTTGCGCAGGAAAAGGCTCGGGAATTGAAGACCCTCAACGGAAGTATGTTCGCTGTGCATGTCTCCAATCCTTTCACCAGCGCTTCACGCCGTCGTGAGCGTGACGAGCGAACCCTCAACACGCATCGCGAGGAACGTGATCAACGTACCGGAACCCGCAATGAAGCCTACCAGACCAATGCCCGTATGGAGCGTGTTTTCCGTGATATCGACCGCGAGTCGGCCAGGCAGGGCAAGGGCAAGAAGGCCAGTGTTACCGAGCGAGCCAAGTACCAGTTCGAGGCCGACAGTGAAGACGAGCAGATGGAAGACGAGATCGAGCAGAACTTGGACCTGCTCAGCGGTGCCGCTGGCCGGCTGAATGGTCTTGCCAAGGCTACTGGCAAGGAGCTCGACGAGCAGAACCGACACCTGGATCGTATTACTGGCAAGGTTAGTACTCGGAGGCTTCATTTCTACTGTCTGACTGTTTTTCTAACCAATTTCTTCTACAGAGCGACTTTGTCGACGATCAGATTGCCATGAACCGGGCCAAGCTGGACCGCATCAATTAAACCTGACCGCTTCGGGAAGAGCTGGGACATGCCTGGTGCTGTACAGTTCGCTTATCATCGACATCGACATCGACCTCATGGGATGACCTCTCATTACAGATATTAATCACAAACAACGGCCGGCGTTCTAGGTGGTCGTTCATTTCTTCTGCATTTGGTGCCACTGCGGTGTTGCGCTGCGCTGGTGGGATGTTGGACCAGCCATTTAGACTATCAATTCAGTATCATAATTGTCACCCAATTGTTACATTCTCAGCGGTATTGTCTTTCGGTGGTACGTAAGAAAATGATATCCAAACTATCAACTTAACCTTCAAACTCGGTAGCTGGCTAGTGTGTTCATCTGGTGACATCGACGGTATGCCAGCCGAGCCTAGACATTTTACTACACTCGTTACAAAGCTCTGCGAACTGGAATTCGAACTCATTGTCAACAAATACAAATACAAATATGCATACTGCATTCTATAGGCTCCATCGATTTCAACGAGGTCCTCCTTCAACTCGAAGTTGCAGCCAACGGAGAGTGACTCTCCGTCCGCGGGGGCGTGTGGGGCATCCCCGGACTGCGACTCCCCGACGGCATTTACACTTTCGAAGTATAAGAACTGCTGTGTAACGACAACTTGCTGCATCTCAGCCAGCTTCATTCCACGGAGATCCAGCTTTCAATCATAAGCCCTCCTCTTCACCCTTCCACCATGTCTACGACCCCCTCATCCTGCGACATCCTCGTCATAGGCAGCGGCAACGCAGGCTTCTCCGCCGCCCTCTCCGCCGCCCAAACAAACCCAGAAGCAGACATAATCCTCCTAGACAAATGTCCCCAAACCTGGGCCGGCGGCAACAGCTACTTCACCGCAGGAGCCTTCCGCACCGTCCACAATGGCCTCCCCGACCTCCTCCCACTGGTAAACAACGTCAACGACCCGGAGAAAGCCAACCGAATCGACATGCCCATCTACTCCGAAGCAGACTTCGCCCATGACTTAAACCGCATGACGAACGGCCGCACAGATCCAGCCCTAGCCAAGATCCTAGTCCAAGACTCGCGCAGCACCATCGCCTGGCTGGCGCAGAACGGCATCCGCTTCCAATTATCCTTCAATCGCCAAGCATACGAAGTAGACAACCGCATCAAATTCTGGGGCGGCCTTGCGCTGAAAACAGAAGATGGCGGTAAAGGCCTGATTGAGGATCACATACGTGCTGCAGAGAAGAACGGCGTGCGAATCTTCTTCGATATGGCCGTGTCAAAACTTCTCACGGACGCGGGATCGGGATCTGGCGCCGTCATCGGTGTTGAAGGTCACCACCGCGCCAGCACCAGCGTCAAGGACGCGAATATCAGCACGAGGACCAGCCGTGCAAAGTTCGCCATCCGCGCCAAAGCCGTCATCCTCGCAGCCGGCGGCTTCGAAGCAAATCCCCAACTCCGAGCCCAATATCTCGGGCCGGGATGGGATGCAGCTCGCGTCCGGGGAACACCCTATAACACCGGTGATCTCCTCCAGATCGCGCAGCGAGACGTCTCTGCAAAGACGGCCGGGAATTGGTCCGGATGTCACAGCGTAGCTTGGGACGCAGACGCACCTGCCCACGGCGGAGATAGGGGTGTGTCGAACGAGTTCACGAAATCGGGCTATCCGCTTGGGATAATGGTTAATCGGGACGGGGAGAGATTCGTGGATGAAGGGTCTGACATGCGGAACTACACGTATGCGATGATTGGGCGGCGAATTCTGGCGCAGCCGGGTCAGGTTGCGTTTCAGGTTTGGGATGCGCGGACGACGGGGTGGTTACGGGAGGAGGAGTATAGGGCTTCTGTGACGAGACATTTGGTCGGGGATAGTGTTGAGGAATTGGCGGATAGGTGTGTTGAGGTTGGATTGACTGGGAGACAGAGGTTTTTGGATACGGTTGCTGAGTACAATGATGCTGTTCGGGATAGTTTGGCGGGGAAGAAGTGGGATCCTGCTGTCAAGGATGGAGTGAGTACGTCCGGGTTGACGGTGCCAAAGTCGAATTGGGCGTTACCGATTGATCGGGCGCCGTTTTTGGCTGTGAGGGTTACTGCTGGTGTTACTTTTACTTTTGGGGGATTGGCTGTTAATCCGGAGACGGCTGCTGTGGTTTCGGAGACGACGGGACAGGAGGTACCTGGTTTGTACTGTGTTGGGGAGATGCTGGGTGGTCTTTTCCATGATAATTATCCTGGTGGTAGTGGATTGACTTCGGGTGCAGTGTTTGGACGAAGGGCTGGACGAGCTGCAGCGAAGAGTCTTGGAGCAGGAAGAGCTTACAGTAGACTGTGAGAGAGTATAGAACCAGTAGACAGTCATATTTTACATTTACAAAGGAAGAGTGGAGTCAGATGTTCACTGAAGCGCTCAATTGTTGATTAGACAATAGTTTTTTTTTACTATAGTGACTGTAGTGGAAGACACCAGCGGGCTTGATATCGCAGTCACGCTCCGCTGGGTTCACCGAAATGTAGATAAAAATTAATAAACAACCACTCTCACACCAATGCCAAGGGTATCAAACCAACACCAAATCCCAAACTGTACACACGGTACGATTGAAACACAGTAGAGCCGGCTAAGGAAGAAACAGACAGAAGGAGAGTTGGAAGCACATTCGCAGACACGACTCAGCAGACAGGAAGAAATGTGAAAATGTAAGATAGAAGGCTCTAGACCATGCGAGACAGATGCAAGGTGAAGAATATTAAGAAGAGAAGAAAAAAGTGGTTGCCTGCTGTGGAGGTGGAGGAAAGAAGAAAAGGTGAAGATAAAGAAAAGACAATAGTAAATGCCCCAGAAAAGAGAAAACATCGCATCATCACAAGCCCATTGGTATCGAAAAAGCAGAAGGAGACTCCCAGGTCTAGCGAAAGAATAAGAAAGAAGTGTAAACCATGAACGCAAACCAGCCGGCACCTCTATGGTCATAACGTGGGGGGGTAATAGAAAAGAGAAAGGGAAAAAAAGGTCACAAAAAAGAGAAACGTCGGAAAAAAGCTCTTCCTTTTCGCAGCCCCTGATGTAAGAGATAAAGATCCACGGTCACAGACCCATTTGTTGGGTACGAGATGATTCTCCCGACACCCGATCGGGAGGTTGAAATGAGAATGTGTGAGATAGAAAGGGGCGGGTGAAGATGAGGTCCAAGCTGTTGTACAAGGATTGCCATCTGAAATGGCCAGCTAACGCAGTTGGCCGGGCTAACTCCAGATGGAAGACGGCCGTAGCGGGAGAGGCGTGGATAATTTGGCGAAAGGATTGTGGCCATGGAGTCAGGGGCCTAAGAAAGAGCGCGCGGAGATGAAGCAGGTTCATTCGTCGCAGAATTGAAGATTTTCAGAGTATGCACTGATGCGTGATTTACTCATCCTCATCGGGGGAGCCAGTGTCCTTCTCGCCCTTGTGGACCTTCTTGTGTCGGCGCAAGTTTGAGACAACGGAGAAGTGTCGCCCGCAACCCTCCACATCACACGCGAATGCTGTAAACTTAGTTAGTCTCATGTTTTTTTTTGACTCTTTTTAGTCCAAGAGAAATTGTGCAATAGTGAAAACTTACGTTTCTCGCCGGTGTGGCTGTACATGTGTGTTTGCAACGAAGAAGGGCGAGTGAATCGCTTATCGCAGACCTTGCACTTGTGCTTCTTCTGGGTATTGGAAGGCATCTTCGAACTGAATTGGCTCATCATGGACTGGGGTCCTGGAGGCGCGCTACCAGCCAGAAGGCTGGTCGGCCGGGGAGAGTACGCGACTCGTATGACTCAGATGTTGTGGAGCTGTAGTCGGTCACGGAGGAGTCCACGGAGCCTACGGATGCGCTGTAGTAGGGGTAGTTGCTACCCGAGGAGATCGAAGAGGCAGATGAGTGAGTGGAGGGGAAACCGTAGGAATCGGCGGATCCTCGTGTTGTCCCGCGAGGTCCGTAGATGTTTCGGGGGGGTCAAGTCCTGGCTGAGCGCCACCATTCCACGGCTAGCGTCGAGGGCATCGCCAAAGGTGGGAGCGGACGCGGGAGGTTGAGAAGAGCCGACGCGAGCATCTCTGGGGGGGGGGTCAAGGGTCAGAAATGGGGAAATTGCAAGTATGCGATTGTGATGGGCTGAACTTACGAGTGAGAAATGCGACGAGGGTCTTGTGATTGGGGGTGAATTGGGGCGTAGCTGACTGGCGCATAGCTAGGCGGCGCAAAGCTGCTCATGGGGGGAGCGGTGGTGTATGAGGGAGCTTGCTCAAAGGTCGTGCGAGGCACTTCGTGTTGCAGACCCATCACTTCAGGCCCATATCCGGTTGTGTAGTTGCTCGCAGGAACAAGGGAGGGCGCGGAAACGGGGATGTTGGGGTAAGGCATCGACATGGCGGCAGCCCGTCCGACTTCATCTTGCTTCACCGAGTTGACGGGAATGCTGGCACCGTTACCCATGGAAGTCGCGTAGACTGGAGGTGTCGAGTGCGAGGTAGTGTGCGCGGCAGCCCACGGGTCTGTGAATTGAGGAGGAGTGTGATGATAGACATTGTCGAAGCTCATGCCGCCATATGGGCGGTTTTGGTTTTCCATTACCATCGTCATTGAGGGTGTATGTGTTTGTCGCGGGTCGCGAGAGATATCGCGCGCCGAATATCTTCAAGGGAAGTAAGAAGAAAAGTTGTATGAGGGGGAGTTGAGAAGTGATCGACTGTCGATGATCCAAGAGGGAAGAGTAAGGTGGTGTGTGTGTGTAAGGTAGAGAGAGGGTATAAAGTAGAAGAAAGGGTGAAAGGAGGAAGTGATAAGCAGAAGATCCCCTTATTTCTTTAGATTTTCTGGATCGATCAGGGAGAAAGAAAAAAAAGGCAGTCTGGGGAAAGGGGATCGGCGAAGCTTAAGAAGGGACAAACAGTATAACCTTCCTCGAAGTGAGTTGAGGCACGATAACTCCAAAGAGCCACTGACGACGGTTGCAGATCCTCGAAACACTTTTACATGTAATTTTACCTTTACCTTTTCCCTGGGGTCCATTTTTATTTTTATTTTGTATTTTATTTTTATTTGATTTTTTATTTATTTGATTTATTATTATTTTTCTTTTCTTTTCTTTTCTCGTCTTTTATCCTGCAGGATTGGAGGCATTGCTTAGTGCCAAAAGTGGCACTCTTTCTGTCTTCTCTATCCTCGAGAACCAGTTCCTCGGACCCTCTTCAATTCTACTATGTATGTTCCTGATGGAGTCATCCAGTTGACTCTTGATATGACGATGATCTCGGGCTTTTTTGTATCATCAAATTTCAATAATCCCCCATTCAATATGCACCGATTAGGTTGAGGAATGGAAGATCGAGAGAACCCCTCCATCTTAGACGCGCTGCAAAGAATGTAATGTAATGTTAGCTGTCCCTGTACGGAGTACCGTTGATCCATCTTGAAGTATTCAGTTTTCCAGAACCAGAAGAAATCAGAGAGCCGGTACCTAGGTACTCTTCTCCATAGAGAACCACAGAACCAAAGAACCCACGCTCGGCAACCATAGGGGACTCCGGGATCGGACATACATACCCTCGACAGATGGCTAAATGTTACGAAAGGGGGAACCATCATGGGACCCAAAAAGCAGTCGGTGACCTCAGTCCGCCAAAAAGGGGAGAGAGAAGGAGGGGGGGGCAGAGGCAAGTCCACGCTTTACTTTCTGTTGGAGTGGAGCATTGAGGGACGGGCAGGAAGAGAATGTCCCCTGTGAAATGCCTCTGAATGGTCCATCTGTGCCGTGTCTGCGGGGCGCGCTAAACGCGAAGAGGGAAAAAGGAGAAAAAAAGAAAGGGACGCCAAGAAATAAACTCACGATGCAGCGACCAAGGTTCGCCCTGACTGTGTTTCAAGGCGGCGGGGATGGTGATCCCATACGTCAAAGGGTATACCCGTTGCGTGGGGGGTCGGGGGAGGCTTTTCTAGTATGTCTTGGAGTGATTACTGACTATATTTGATTTAGGGAGAGATGGAGAGACATTATTTGTAGCTATATACTATCTGTGATAAAAAAAAATTAAAAAAAAAAATTTATAGGATTAAATCTACAAGTATTTTCAAATTCCTATAAGAGAAATCCCAAAAGTGAAGCTTGAACCCCCAGGTTAGGGTTACGCCTCTCAAGGCAAACCCAAATGTGGGAGTCCTTGAGGAGGGGGGGGGGTTTCCACGGGGGGGACAACTTTGGACAGCCCATTATTGGTGTAGACAGAGAAGACCCTCCCGGAGGCAAAAAGGCAAAACTGGGCCAAAATGGAAATGAAAAAAAGGAAAAAAAAAAGAAAATAGGACAAATTCCAAATGGGACAAAATGACGATTCTCACGCAGGGTGTTCAGCCATGTACTGGACAATTAGTACTGCATGTGGGATAGCGAGGGAGGGGAGGCCTTTGACACGGGCCATCTTAGGTTTAGCGTGGGAGGCGACCTTACTTCACCTGTTGGCTTTATTTGATTTCATTTGATTTGATTTGCTTTTTTTTCTTCTTTTTGCCTTTTGACCCCATTTACGGTGTACACTAGTAGTGCCATGCCATTGAAAGTATACTGACTCCGTGCCTCTCTGTATGTTCGGGAAGAAATCGCTTTTACCTAGCATTATCGATTCGATAGCCTGTGCATTATTGACGCCTACATTCTCCTCTCCTCTCTCACTCTCTCGAGGAATTTACCAGCCAATGGGTAAAAAATGCGCATGATGACGACGGTTTTTTGACACCCACGCGCAAGAGCCCCCTGTTTCCTCCCAGTCCCAGTCCCAGTCCCAGTCCCAGCCTTACTCCAGTTCAAGACCCATTCGACACCTCATGGTGGGGATAGATAGATGTACTCCGTATTCCTCCTGCATATGGTCGAGGTGGAATGTTCGCATTGAGCACCACTCTTAAATGGCAAATTGTAAAGTTGTGCTCCATAAACTTCAATACTTTATCCACCTCCACTCGATCAAGATATCCCGTACGAAGTAGTCTTCCGCCGATTACATAGCAATGCAGCGGTGGATGGACTACATACTTCCTCTAGGGTACAAAGTAGATACATGACGATATATGGTTTCTTCTGCAGAGTCGGGTCCTCGTCCTTTCGGCGCCATGCGACCTGTATCACTTAGCCGTGCGACCTGCGACCGGGCTGGGAAAGGTGTGTCATTCCTTTCTCGTATCTCGGAGTCCTCAGCTGAACAACGACGTCAGAGAGCGGACCAGCACATCCCGCCATGGGGACATTAGCGGCGCGGCTCCTGCAATAGCGCGGCAGATGCGAGCGCTACCCAGGATCGGACACATCACAGTGGAGGACCGAGCAAATCGTGCCCCTCCTTCCAGCTACTCTTCTCGAGGTCGAGGTGGTCAAGGTGGTTGAGGTCGAGTTCGTGGCTGCGATGGCGATATCCACGCTGATTTATTAAGGTGGAGCTCTTTTTGATCGATGCCAACTGCTAACTCGAAACTATTCCCCCCCCTCTTCCCCTCCCACCCCGCTAAGCTTCTCGATCACAAGGAGATGAGCCGAGGGAGGCTGAAGAAGCCCCTCCTACTTAAACTTTACACCTAACTATTTCCGGTAGAAGTTCTCTTCGACGAGCAATTTATCGCCGGAAGCCATCGCCGGACTATAACCCATGCACTCCCTACGGTCCCATGGCTACTCATTTGAGACAAGAGAGGAGTCTTGGGATCCTCGGGCTTCACGGGAACCACCGCCACTGCGGAGAGCTGCTCGGAAATTCACCTGTCGGATCCACGGACTGGCAAGCCTCGCCCTGGTGATTAATTTCCCTTCTCCGCATTCCACCCAGCCCAAAAATCAAAAAAAAAAAAAATTGCCGCCCACGTCCCACGGTGGCCGGATGATCCATGGTTAAGGTGCTTTTCTAGAAAAGCCAAAGCATAAGAAAGTAAATGAAGTGAGATACGAGCATCCCACGGCGAACGGCAGTTCGTCTCTCAGATTATCACCCGGCGTGGGTTTGCCGCATGCGGTAAACTTCAATGTAATGCCCATGGGTCTGGGAAGTTGTTCCTAGAGGATAACCGTGGGTCCCTACGATCCCGTGTGAATGGTTGGAGTTCGTGGGAGATGGTGGTTCGACTCCAAATTCTAAATTCTAAATGCCAAAAACTATAGGCCTGAGTAGTCTTGACTCCCGGATCATAATCCGGAGAGGGCAGAGTTCGACGATTCCTCCCGCTATCTGGACGGCACAACGGAGATGAGCCATTCGGAGAAGCAAACCTTTCATGTACTAGGGGTGATTCAGTTCAAAGGCCTGGCTCGGAGTTGAGCTGGGTCGGGCAACGATCGGTTCAGTGGGACACACACATCGTAGTAGGAACGAGACGGGCCATAGTTAGGGACTATAGGATAGGAGACGCGGGAGGACGAAGGGAAGTGTTCTGGTCCGGGTCTTTTTGATGGAGTGCAATTTCATTTGGCCCCGTTTCGAGACTCGACCTGAAAAAAAAAAACAAGCACCAAAGCTGCTGTCTTACCCCCTTTTCCTATGCCGTGTCTACTGGCCCACTCGACTCACCGAGCTACGTCAGATTCTTGTTCTGCTACAGAGGGAGTCCTCCCCGGGGGGCCCGGAGGGTTGCGCTTTAGTTGAACTGCAAGTTGACCAGTAATTACCTAGTTGGGAAGGGTGAGGGCATGACAGATATGGCTTGGTAGGCATTCGTGCCCAATAAGTGGAGAGTGCCAAAAGCCTCCCGGTTTCACCTGGTTCGAAACCAATGTATCTCTGACGATATTTGTCCCCGGGAATTGTCAGCTTCGGACTTGAATCTTTCCCCTGAAAGAGGACATTGTTTTGGTGCCGACCGTTGGGTAACCACCGCCATGGGAAGACGGAGGCAGCCGGATGAGCACACCAAGAAGATACAGAGACGATCGCGAATCCGCAAAGTGTATCTCCGAACCATCGCTCCACCCACCATCACGACAGAAAACGGAGGCCCAAGCTTATGACACGGGATATGTGGGGCAGTCGTGGATGTTGCCCATGTCGAGGAAGAGCAAGAGCGCAGTTGACCGCTTCTTGGCCTCAATAGAGAGTGGAAGTGGAAGTGGGAGGGGGGTGACACGGCACAGAAAATGATTTGATTTGAGATTCTTGTTTTTTTGCTCTTCTCTTTCTCTGATTTGCATGTCATTTTTCCACCATGCCTAGGATTATGACGCGTTACTGGAAAAGGCCAGCATAACGCTTGGCCCAGTGCGGTGTTGGACACATGTTCACTATCCGAGGAACGCGCCAAAATACATGTCAGACTCTCAGGCTCCCCTGGATTCTTCTTCTCTCCTCTCCTCTCCTCTCCTCTCGGACGTCAAAGGTCACGCACGGCTGTCAAGAGGGAAGAGAAGAAAAGGGCGGTCAGTATCGCTGAATTTTCGGAGAAATCATCCCCATTTCCCCAGACCAATTGCCGGTTTGTGTATGTATGGACGGAGTACTCGGTACGGGGTCCGCTGATTGACTTGATCGAGAGTTCTTAAGATTGACACCATCTGCAATTTGCTGCTTCATGCTCCATACCGTACTATGTAGATGAATATCTCCATCAGA